GGTGTATTTGCAGTGTATCAGCAATGCCGCACCACAACTACCGTTTTTGTTGTGAGTGTGTGTGTGTGTGTGTGTGTGTGTGTGCGTCACGGACAACTCGTTCGTCATCATTCTTCGGCACTCGAAATCCTTTTTTGTTTTTACGCTCTCTTCTTCTCTCTCTCTTCTCCATGTGTTTGGTTTCACCTGCCCTCCTTTCTCGCCACTACCGTTTGTAAATTAGCGTGTGGGGTCTTTCTTCTTTGCTGCTGATCTTCTGGTGATCTCGACTGTTCTTTTATTTTTTTACTATAATCAACACCGTTGCTTTCGCTACGTCTATGTGTATACGCATTTATTTCCGTATGTACTCTTGGAGGTGGGGGGGGGGGGTAGGAGAGGGGGGCTCTGTGCATATATATATACAAGAAAGAGGAGTGCGGCTGCTTTTTCAAGTCGCTTTGGAGTCAAGGAGCAAGCATAGCTAAAATATATGTGCATTTTTTTTTCTTTTTGATAACTGGTTTGCTTCTTCGCTGTCATCAAGCAAGAAGAGGGATAACGGTGGCCATGGCGTCTTTCTCTCTTCAAATTCCGCCTCTATGGGGAGGTGAGAAGCGGCATTCCGCAAGCGTCACCGCTAGTATTTTCTTCCTTTTTTCGCCCACGACAATCGACACCAAAAGAAAACGCCAACAACAAAACAGCCGTCAGATTTTTCTTTTTTTACATTCGATTGACCACAGTCCTGGTGAGGCAAATGATAGCGAATCACAGCGCACTTGAGGCCACGAAAATGCTCTTTACCCGACATCACGTGAATACGCGGAGCTTTTAGCTGAATCTAGGCAGCAGAGGATGCCCAAACGGCCTGCCGTAGATGTTCCCCGGCCTGCAAGCCGCCCGCATGGAAGTCTCTTTTTTTCTCTCCTGCTGTTTTCCTTTTCTGCCTCACCGGTGTTTTCTGTCTGTGTATGTTTTCTCTTTTTTGTGTGGCTTGATTGCGAATCAAACGCACACACACACACTCTCCCTCCCTCCCCTCTCTCCTTCTTTCTCTCCAGCTTACATTTGATAAGCGGCAGTCGTTTGAAAGCAACTTTCGAAAGAACAAATGAAATGTTGAAGCTGAAGCACGAACCCATCGCGTTTGTTGTTGATCGCACATATATTTTCGATGGCAGCCAACACATCATTTAAGCCATTGCTTTTTGTTGTTGTTCGTCTTTGTCTTCCACGGCCTTCTTTTTTGAGCTCCTCGTTTGACGCCTCTTTGTCTCGCCTCGTAAACTGTATATAGATAATGAACAAAAGAAAAGCAACGGTGACTTCGCTCTTTCCCCCTCCACAACTTTGCGCAAACTGTTGACGTGGTCGTTCACCTCTTCTGTTCCCCGTTCTAAGTAAGCTGACACTGCGTCGTTTGTAGCTCTCTCTCCTTCTCTGTATTCTTCACCCACTTAATTGCCTGCATATATCTGCCTGATAACTGTCAGTAAACGGCAGTGGCATACCTCTAATTTTCCTTTCTGTTTCGCATTTTTGCCATCTCGGTTGTTCTGACGCGTGTTGTGTATCAGCTGCTTTTCTCCACAGCGTGTACTCGCTTCGTTCTTCAAAGAAGAGCGTCCTCCAAAGCAGCGCGCAACCGAGCAAAGAAGCAGCCAAAAGAAATCAAAAATGGAGAAAGATGCCGACGCTTTTGGCGTCGCCTCCCGTGCAAGCAATGGCTACGTGAAGCTGTCGGACATGATCGGACACAAACGTGTGGACGTCCTCACGAAGGAGCACCACGGCCCTGGCGGCCTCCTCGCCGAGCTCGGCGTGCGGGGCAGCCCGTTGGGCACCTCCGTAGACCTCAACTCGCCTGAGCAGCGCCGCGCCGCACTGCAGCGACGTGAGGTGGGCATCCTCGTGAATTCCGCCCTCAGTCGGCAGGTGCGGTACGGCGTCAACGTGCTACCCGAGCCGCCACGGGAGACTATCTTTCAGTTTATCCGAGAGTCGATCCAGGACGACCGCGTCGTGCAGATTTTGTTGGGAGCGGCAGTAGTGTCGATGGTGCTTGGCATGACCACACCGGACTTCCGCACGGGAGAGGTAGACCTGTCGACGGGCTGGATCGAGGGGGCGGCGATCTTCGCCTCCGTCTTCATCGTCACGGCGGTGAACGCGGTGAACAACTACCGCAAACAGGAACAGTTTGCGGCGGTGATGCGCGCAGAGGACGCGGCGCGGCGGCCTATCACGACGTGGCGCTACGTCCCGCTGCACACCAGCCCCAGCAGCGATGGTCTGGCCTGCGTGGCGATGGAGCTGCCGAGCTCGGAGATTGTAGTGGGCGACGTTGTGCAGGTCAGCTCCGGTATGCAGCTGACGTTTGATGCCGTCCTGTTGGAGAGCTTTGGCCCTATCATTACCGATGAAAGCAGCGTGACCGGCGAAAACGATGATGTGTTGAAGCAGGTGCTGACAGATCCCTTCCTCATTAGCGGATCGTCGGTGCTGGATGGTTCGGCGGAAGGCATGGCGCTGGTGTGTGCCGTCGGGTCGAACTCCTTCTCCGGCGAAATTGCCATGTCGATTCAAACTACCGAAAAGACGAATACGCCGCTGCAGGACCAGTTGGAGGTGATGGCGGACGTCATCGGCAAGTTTGGTGTAGCCGCGGCCGTGGTCACTTTCGTTTCGCTGCTTGTGAAGGAGCTCTTCATGTACTTTGCCTACGGAACCCAACTGTACGCGATGCGGTTCTTTGAGAACTTAACGACGGCGATTGCGATCGTGGTCGTGGCGGTGCCGGAGGGGCTGCCGCTGTCGGTGACGATCTCCTTGGCGTACAGCATGCGGCTGATGTTGAAGGACGGCAACCTCGTGCGTCACCTCGCCGCGTGCGAGACAATGGGCGGTGCGACCGTGCTCTGCACCGACAAGACCGGCACCCTCACCGCCCCGACGATGCGGGTCAAACAGGTGTTCCTGGCGGCGGTCACCTACGCCAGGGACTGCGCCGGCGAGGAGAGCAGCGCCGCTTTCGCGGTGGACAGCCGTGGTGTGCCGCGACCGCAGCCACACCCTCACGCATCGCGGTTGCTACCCGTAGGTCTGCACAGGGATGCGGCGGCGGTCTTTGGAGGGAATAAGGCCACGAACGGTGCCAGACCCAGCATCGTGGTGCCCCTGCCTGCGTCCACCGTGCAGCTGCTCCTGGACTGTATTGCCGCCAACGCCATTGATCCGGAGGTGGGCAAGGCCACCAACAAGACGAGCGAGGCGCTGCTGCAGCTGTGTCACATGCTGAGCTGCACAAGCGACGCCGCCACGGCGCAGGAGTTGCAATCCTTCTGCCACACGCGAGATCGCATGTTGGCGGTGCTGCAGGACCCCAGTCGCTGCCGTCGGCATCTCTTCAGCTCGCATAGTAAGATGAGCCTGTGTATGCTGCGGCTGGCCACGCCGAACGCCAGTGGTAGCAGCACCGGCGGCGGTCGCACACGCCTCTACACGACGGGTGCCGCCGAGGTGATCTTGGCTCGCTGCACCTTGTACGTCAACGATCACGGCAACCCCGTCCCGCTGACCGCGGAAATGCACGCGTGCTACGAGCGCACCATGACCCAGTACGCCGAGTCGGGGCTGCGGGCGGTGTGCTGCGCCTACCGCGACGTGCAGGGACATGCGGAGTCAGCCTTGTGGAACCCGCCGCAGGTGCAGCAGCGTAGCGGGACTGCCGCCCCCTGCGACGGCGACTTTTGCATGATTGGCATGGTGGGGTTGGAGGAGGATGTACGGCCGGAGGTGCCCGGTGCGATGGCGCAATGCGTTGGCGCGGGGCTGCGCGTCATCATGATCACGGGTGACGCCACGCTCACGGCGATCAACATTGCCCGTCGCTGTGGGCTGCTGCGGCACTCCGGTAGTCCGACGTCCGTCACCGCCACGTCGCCGACGATGAGTTGGAGCCACTACCACCGCACGCCGAGCCCGACAGGCCTGTCCACCGCGGTCGGACTCCTCCCCGCCGCCTTCGTCGACGCCAACACGAACCCAGTCGACAGCAACAGCGACGCCGCCGTCTTTGTGAATGCGTCCCCGCTCGGCTACGGCGACGGTGGCAGTGGCAACCCCGCGGGGGTTTTAGCCTCCGACGGCGCCTTTGGCCGCACCGCCTGGGCCGTGCAGAGCCCCCCGCCCCACGCGTCGCCGCAGCAGCTTCTGGACGGCGGCTTCGCCCTCGACGGCCCCACTTTTCGTCAGCTGAGTGACGCAGAGCTGCTGGAGCGGCACATTCCCCACATCCGCGTGCTGGCGCGGGCGACGCCGATGGACAAGAAGCGCCTGCTGCACCTGCTGCGGCAGCTTGACTCGAACGCCGTCATCGCCATGACCGGCGACGGCACAAACGACGCCCCTGCGCTGAAGCTGAGTGACGTGGGCTTCGCGATGAACGGCGGCAGCGATGTAGCGAAAAGAGCCTCCGACATCGTGCTCCTGAGCGACAACTTCATCGGCATGGTGAAGGCCACCATGTGGGGCCGAAACGTGAAGGACAACATCCGCAAGTTTTTGCAGTTCCAGCTGACGGTGAACTTTGCGGCCTGCATCGTGTCTTTCTGCGGCGCCATCCTGAGTGAGCAGAATATGTCGCCGCTGAAGCCGGTGCAGCTCCTATGGCTGAACTTGATCATGGATACGCTGGCCGCGCTGGCCCTCGCAACGGAGCTTCCCTGCGAGGCGATGCTGCTCTCTCGCCCACCCGAGCCAAAGGACACCCCGATCATCGTGCCAAGCATGTGGTTCCAAGTCGGCTTCCAAAGCACCTTTCAGCTTGTGTCTCAGCTGTTCTTGCTGAGCTGGGGAAAGTCGTTGGTGAGCCGCGAGTCCCATGGACGTTCCACGTCCACCACCGTCACCACCGCCGCCGGTGCGGTCGTGTCCGGTGAGGTTGCCTTCAACGAAGCGCACATCTGCTTCGTGTTCAACACTTTCGTCTGGATGCAGATCTTCAACTTCTTCAACGCGCGTCTGCTGCACCGCAACGAGGGCTTCTTTGCGAACTGGGCCGACAGCTCCGTGTTGCTCATCATCGTGAGCGTCATTGTCGTTCTCCAGGTCGCGATTGTGGAGTTTGGCGGCAAGATCATGTCCACTGTCCCCCTCACGGCCCACGAGTGGTTCTGGTCCGTCTGCATCGCAAGCATTACGCTGCCGGTTGGCGCGCTGGCGCGGGTGCTCTACGCGCGCTACTCCAGCCGCAACTCAATCTGCGACGGCTGCTCCCGGGGCTTGATAAGCCGGTTGGGGTATCACCTGCCGGACAGCAAATACAAGGGGACGTAAAAGCGTAGAGAACAAAGCGGAGAGGTGGGGGATAGCGCGAAGAGATGTACACGGGGACGAGGGAATCGCGAGAGACAGAAGGCCTCCGTTCACTGAGCTGCGGTGCGGAGTTGCGTCTGTTGGTTGTGCATGTTTGTTTGTGTGCTCCTTCTCATTGAATCAGAGAAATTATAAGAAGCCTGGGCAAAACACGAGTAGCTTAACAAGTGCGCGTCGTGTTTGCCTATGCTTGTCAAGCATGTCATGCCCTCCTTTCCGGGGGTTTTCTTCTTCTCTTTGCTGCTCCGCCAACCACTTGTGCTGCTGTGGTGGTTGTTTGTGTCGTGCCGCATTGTTACTGCTGCTGCTGCGGCGGCGGTTACTGCTGTTGCAGGAGAATCGTGAGATGAGCTCTTTGTGCCCTCGTTCAACTATGCATCTCCATTTTTATTTACTTACCTTTGTTGTGCCATTTAATAACTGTTTTATTCCTACTGTTCCTTATGTTCCCTACTTCATTGGGCTCTAGTGCGCACAGTCGTACATACGTGAAGTGGGGCTTCGTAGTCCTCCTGTCGACGGCGTCTTAACAGTTCGGCGGAGTCCTCAGTGCGTTTCGACAGGTAGAGAAAAAAATAATAATGAAAATTTCCTGTTGCCCCTAATGTGTGTTGAGCACGCGTTTCAACCTCAGCACGGTTGGTGGAAGTGTGGATCTTTCTCGAGTGCGTGTGTGCGAGTGTGTGACGCTGACTACTTCTGCATCGTCTCCGTAACGGTACAGAAGCTGATGGTGGTAATGCACGGCAACACTCAGGAGTGGCGTGGAGAGGGGGGGAAAATGACTTCACAACCGCACCGCAGTAATGGGATCGTCTTTTAACCTCCCTTATCGTGTTCTTCTTCGCTTCGCTGCATTCATTTTTCTTCTCTTTCTTGGTCTCCACCGCACGATGTTCATCTCGATGAAGCATTCTCTTTTTTTTTTTGTCCATCCTTTACGTTCGCGCCGATTCATCCCAATCCACGTACGTCGTGCTTCATCGGACCTTGGTAGCTAACGAGAAAGAACGTCTCATTCATCCATACATATATATTTAAACAAATAAATATATATATTTGATATTGGGAAAAGGACAAGCAAAAAAAAAAACCCTCAGTGTGTCTGTGCGAGAGCACATCCCCAAAACGGTTTATAAAACACATTTGTTAAACTAACAACGCAAAGAAATAATTGAGCTCCCTCCCCCTCAAAAAAAAAAGGACGAACGACGTTCTTATTCTCCACGTCTAAATTTCCTTCCTAAATTTTTGCCACAGCCTCCACCTTATTTGGTAACCTGTCGCGCACAACAACAAGAGGCGTTCCAACGAAGTCATATTTTGCCTCTTGCGTTGCCAACGCTTCGTAAAGACTGTCGTCCTTGATTGCATTCAAATACATACCTAACCGAACGGAATTGTTTACGAGTGCCTCTTGTTTCTTTTGGCTCTCTTTTCCGTTTCCCTTTTTTCGTGGTGTTGTTCTCTCTTAGTACGACTTGCTTCAAAAATCCTTTTTTCCGATATTTACTTGTCACTTGCGTCTCGCTGTGTTGGGTCTCCTTTTCCATCGTTTTCTTTTTTTTCTCTCTTTCTGGCTGATTTTGTTGTTTTCCAAGCTGTTTCAAACGGACTTATTTTGCTCTGAGGCGTTCTCACGTTTGCTAGTGCGTAATTCCCATGTTTTACATCTTTCTTTGTTTTCGCCGTTGTTTAATCTAGCACGTCAAGGTCGCGCAGCGGCGTACTCGGCGTTCGCTAAAAGGCTACTCTGAGGGAAAGAAAGCCCACGTTTTCTTGTCGTTCAATTGTTCTCCGCTACGGCTTTTTAGATTGAGGTGTTGGTGTTGGTGTGTGTGTATGTCTGTGTGTGTGTGTGTGTGTGTGTGTGTGCGTGTTTCCTTATCCGCACATTTAATACATCTCCACTCTCAAGCTTTCCTTTTGGGTTTCTTTTTATCCTCTAGTTATTATCACTGTTGACAGCTCCTTCTTCTTTCGGTGCTCCTTCGTCTCAGTTCTACTTATCAGTCTGTGCTGTTTTTGTCTCAATCTTTTTCCTTACTCACGAATCTCGCAGCCTTCTCATATTTGCCTTCTCTGTTCCTTTTTTTCTTTCCGTTGGTTCTCTCCGGACTCTTCACGCCACACTGCAGTGTCACGGAACATCAGAGGGTATTCGTGCCGTCACCAACCCGGACTCCTTTCCCCATCTGTTTCTCTAGACAGCTTTATTGTTTCGTCTTACGTTATTTTTTTCTCCTCGTGTATTGTAATTCTAATAGCAGACATCGAATTCTTGTTTACGAGATGCAGACGAGCTCCGCGATGGCCGCCAGCCAGCTGAAGGCGACGCTGACGAGCAATCCGCAGGACAACACCGAAATACCGTCGCTCTTTCACACCTTTGGCCACAACGACGTCAGCAGCGGCGATGACGACGTGGTGGAGGTGCTAGAAGTGAATCAAGCAGATGAATACCACGCTGATTCCTACTGCGGTGCCGCTGCCTCTGGCGGACGTGGGACGGCGGTTGCCGCCTCTGCTGCGCGAGTCGGTGCCGTTGCTGCCGCCGCGGTATCCATGTCTGCCACGCGCGCCTGCGCCACCGCTTCACCCAACTCGAGCCACACCCACTACCCGATGAGCCGCAGCACGCACAACCCCTACGTGTTGCTCAGCGGCACCGATGGAACTGCCCTCTACGGCCTCGACACGTCCGTCACGACGGCGTCGAACAGCGTGACGGGGCGGCCCACACACCAGTACAGCTTCAGCAACAGCACCTCGCAGAATCCTCTGACCTTCCAGTTCAACTCGTCTGCCACCGGCGGTGAAACCAACTTCCGCACCAACAGCCCCTCCGCAAACATCGCAGGTAGCGTGAGTCAGCGACGTCAGCCGTCGCAGCCCCCGCACTCGGTCCAGCTACCGCAGATCCAGCCCGTGCCGCTGCACACCGCTGGCGAGCCGGCCGACGGCTACTGGCGGGACGGCAACCCCATGTCGATCTCTAGCACGGATGCCCGACTCGTGGCGACCACCACCGTCGGCACCCTCTCCGTCGGTACCTCTGGGGGGTTGCCGACGATCAACGTGAATGTGCGCCAGCGCATCCGCGCGACGGCCAGCTCCCACGCGAGCTCGCTCAACACGTCGCAGATTACGATGCCGGTGGTGCAGCCCGTGTCCTCGTCCGCGGCTGGAACAGCAGACATCGCAGCCACGGCGGCGCACCTGCCGCAGCCGGACAGCACGACTCCGCTAGAGGCCGCGTCCCTGCAGTCGCGCTCTTCCAGCAGCAGCGTACGCCGCCCCGCCAGCTCCAGCACCAGCAGCGTTGACCGCCGTCCCCTCCAACCTGGCGGGTGTCCGATGAGCACGGTGTTGAACAACAACAGCAGCAGAGGCCGCATGATCAACGTGCCGAACTGCGCGGTGGTGGTATCTACCGAGGAAACGGATGAGCGGTCGAACGCGTCCGTGAACGTCTATTCGCCCGACACTTCGCACCTTCAGCAGCAGCAACAGCAGCAACAATACGTACAGTACCCACCCCACCCCCTACCAGTCCTACCAATGCCGCAGCAGCTACTACAGCAGCAGCCGCAGCCGCAGTACTACGGCTACGGTCCAACGAACATGTCGCCACCGCATTCACTCTACAATCAAGCCCAAATGGGCTATGCAGAGCAGGGCTACGCCAGCGTACCGCCGCACCCCAACGCCTACGACCCTTCCAAGATGGTCGCCTACCTGCCGTCACCACCGCAGCAAGTTCTGGTACCCCAGCAGCAGCCACCGCAGCAGTATTACGACCCTCAAGCGCAGCAACCGCAGCACATCGCGGTGATGCAGGGCCCCGTAGCGGAGTACGTGAACCAGTACGGTCAGGTGATACCCAGCCCAACCTACTACATGGGCTGCACGGCGGTTGCCGGCGTCGGCGCTTCTTCGGTTGGTGTCCCTCCCATGATGCCGGGTTACGGGTATCAGGCCCTGTCCACCATGCCCGGCATGCCGACGTACGGACACGTGGTGCAGCAGGCCGGGTATGGCGGTGGGGGAGAGACGCGCACGCATCGCAGTGGTGCGGGACAGCGGCAGCAGCATCCGCAACAGAGCTGCCCTGGTACCGGGGACGTCTCGGCATCCTCATCCCCGCCGCAGTTCTCACTTGCTGCCGCTGGCGCGTCGAACAATACCAGCGTTAGTAACAATAGTATTCCCAACAACAGCAACAAGTACCCAAAAGCCAAGTCGCAGCTGCAGGCCAAGCAAGGCGGGCCGAAAAAGCCCGCCGCCCCCTCCTCCCATCAGCTCGACGGTAAGGCTGCCGCGATGGGCGAAGACGGTGGAAACAACGATAGCAGCGCATCCACCTCCGAGGTGAGCAAGAAGTTCCCACGGAAGCAGGACGAGGCACGCTTCCACGCCGACCGCAGCGCCGCCATTCAGCTCTTTGTGGTGGTGAAGAGAAAAATGGAGGGCAAGCGTTACGCCTGCCCGCTGCCGGCGACGGCGGTGCCGATCGGCAGCCAGATGCTCGTCGAGGGTGACCGCGGCGCCGATCTTGGCGAGGTGCTCGCCCACGTCTCGGTGGAACAGATGGCGCGCGACTGCGTCTTCATCGAGGGTCGCCGCAGGGCTGCGCTGGAGAAGATGCACGAGCAGCGCGCCAGTGCCGCCACCACCGACGGCGCCGGCAAGTTCGATGAGGCGGACACGGCGGACCTGCCGCAGCTCACTGGACAGGCGGCGCTTGATTACGTGCTGTCCGTCAAGGACTGGCCGTGGTTAATCGGCCCTGCCACCCCGGAGGATGTGGAGAGCCTCGGGCCGCAGCGGGAGGCGGAGCGGCAGGCTTTTGTCACGGCGAAGCCCATTGTGCAGCAGTTCATTGAGAACCGCTACCAGCAGCGGGTGGCGCGTAGCGAGCAGGTGCAGCGTGCGACCGGGAACGACGCGGGCGCTGCGGCGAAAGATGACGCCGCCGCCGCTGCCGCTGCGGGAAGACACACGCAGGACAACGACTCCGACGACGGGGAGCACCGCACCTCGCTGACGTCGCCGACGGAGGAGGAGCTGCACACACTCGAGCTCATCCACCAGGTGACCCTCGTCGACTGCGAGTACCAATTCACACGTGAGAAGATCACGCTGTTTGTCAGCCGCCCGTCCCGTAGTGTATTTGTGGACTTCCGCCGGATGCAGCGCAAGCTCTACCGCACCTTCCGCTGCCGCATCTGGATCGCGTACATGGACGAAATTGCTGATGACGAAGACGCGCCGGAGTCATTTGTGTTCGTGCCGCCTCCATCGTCGTCTGCCGCTGCCACCGCGGCGGTGGCGGACGCCGCCGATGACGGCAATCAAGAGGATGCGTAGAGAAAAAACTGAAAAGCCGCTCGTTGTGTTGTAATCGCTGCTGCGACCTGAATAATTTATAGGCAAGACGAAGAGATGATAAACTGGAGTCTTTTCGTTCTTTTCGCGACTGTGTCTCGGTGGCCTGATAATATTGCTTTACTTGCTTGCTTTTCTTCTCTCTTCTATGGAGGTCTTAAAAAAAAAACTGAGTGTGCTAATCGACTCATCTGTCACGACAGAGAAGGTGAAGTGGGGAACTACTCTGTGGTGCCTACAACAACAACGGAACAGGCGAGTGTTCGTGTAGCATTCATAGTTTCTCCATTTTTAAGTATGTCGTTGAGTTTGGTTGGGGAAGCCAGTGATCGCTTGCACCGTTGATCTCGTCCTGTGGGTGACCGCTAAACATTGGGGATCACAGGAAATAAGACGTAACTTTTTTCTTTCTTTTCTATCTTTTTTTTTCCACTACGATCAAAGATATGCTTGGAATTCTGAAAATGCGGCAATCAGAACCGCTTGGGCTGTCGTCGTGGTTTTCTTTGTTTCTTCTTTATCACCTCCATGGGTTCACTGTACTTCATTGATAGTTGGGGGGAGACAGATGGAGGCATCAGGAGCCGCCTATATATTGTTTTTCACGATTAGTTTGCTGTGAGATCTGATGCATTCGTCTACATGATGTTGTCAAGCGCGATGCGCGCCCTTCAGTGTACGTGCGGGAGTGTGTGTGTGTCTGTGTGTTCCTGAGCCTGTTGGTTGTTTCAGTGCGACCTTGCATCGCAGGAGCCTGCCGTTGTGTTTGTCTGTCATCCATTGCGCTGATGCGCCGCGAGAATGAAGTTGGATCTTTCTGATGATGAGTTAAATTATTGCTAGTATTTCTATAAATGTATTTGTATCTGCGTCCCTTGACAGTCCTTTTCTCTGTACGCACCCATACCACATCTGATGTTTATAGCTTCGCTTTCTCCCCCTCCCCTTTCTATTGTGCGTATGTAGACCTTTTCCTTTTCTTTTTCTTTGCCTGTGCGTGTGTGCGTGTGTGTGTGTGTTTCTCCCTTTCGTCTTCGTTGCTTCTCTTCTGCTGTGCTGTTCATTGGCGTGGAGGACCTTTGGTACGCGGCGCTGATGTATTACTCTTTGTCTGGCCGCAGACTCTCCCAGGGCTCTTCCGGGTCAGTCGTGCGTATTCATTTCCTCCTTGTGCTTTCCTCTCTCTTCTGTGGACAACAATACATTTCTGTCCTCTTCCGTCACACAAGTGATTGCTTTCAGAAATCAAAATCGGTACGTTTTTCTTTTTTTTTCTTTTTTCCCCTTTTGTGTGTGTGTGTGTGTGTGTCTGTGCGCTGTTACTTGCCCGATGCATATAGGGAGGGTCGAAAAAGGAATGTGGGGCGACGAACTCCTCTGCCGGACTGTCACACATGAAGGTCAACGCGGGGGGGCTTTGGCGTGCTCGTGGTGTTTTGTTCTTTTATTAGGCCCTTGCTTTGCTATTTTAAGTTTATCTTGTCGTACGTCTTTTGGGTCATCGTGAGTTCTCTACGCGCGAATCGGCCTGCCGATGCGTATTGCGCCAGAAGGAAAAAGAGGAACTGTAGAACAGGTTTGTTGTGGTGGAAGACTGGACTTCGGGGGCATTTCATGAAGCTCTCTTTAAAAAAAGAGAGAAAAAGTGTTCCTTCGCCATGTCACGTAGTGGAGCACCTTCTTCTCGCCTGTTGCGCAGATAACCGTCATCTCATTTGCGCACCTTTTACTTTGGCGATTGCCATTATGTTATTTTCTCTTTGTTTTATCATGCGGCTCAGGCCGTTCGCGTGCGCTAAAAAAGTATATATTTCTTTTGTACTCCACAAACACCGTTTTTGTGCTTGTGTCGTTTCCCTGTTATTATTTTCATTCTTAAACTTGATAATCTGTGCGTGATGTTCTGCGAAAAAAAAAAGAAGTCAAAAACCATGGTAGCATCGCGACCGATAACGGCCACCGTCGATGATGGAGGCAACTCGGTTGCTCTGGCAGCGAGGTCGTCGACCTGTTTCGGCTCTTACGCCCGCAAAGCGCAGCAGTGCTGCTGTTTTGCGACACACACACGAAGGAGAAAACGCTCCCACCAGCTCGCAGCCTGTTAGCGCGGTCCACGTGTTTCCCTTTCTTCGCAAGGGTTCGGGAGAAGAGTGGGAAAACGCCACCATTGTCGGCATTCTCGCTCCCGGGAAGAAGCAAAAGAAAAAAAAATGCAGCGGCAGGGAGGGGGGGGGGACAAAGTCATAAGGATGAATGTCAACAATGCCTTGCAGTTCGTCTACTCGTTTTTAACTCCTTTCTTTTTCTCGCCTAATACCAAACAAGAGAGGGATTTAAGAGGAAGAACTAGTACAGATATATATTTACCAGAGCCGTATCGCACAACTCCACACTCTCGATACCTATATACAACATTGTCAGAAAACCTGGCAAAGCATGCACGACCAGAAGAAGAAGGAGAAGAAAGCGCTAACTCCAGAGGAGAAGGCGGCGGCAGCGGCAGAGCACGAGCGGGTTGGGGTGCTCTACAAGGCTGTCCTGCACACCTCCAAGGTGCACGACTACTCCATGAAAACGTTAGACGATACGGAAAGCTTGCTACTGGCGGTGCCGGATGCTTACTCGGCGTATAACTGCCGCCGCCGCGCACTCGAGACGGTGTGGAAGGCGGCGGAGTCCGGCGCAGTGGCTGCCACCGCTGCAGAAGCAAAGAATGCGGCAGCGGCGCCACCGATGACGCGGCAGGAATGGCTTCAGAAGGAGCTAAAGTTGAACTCCAAAGTGCTCCTTATGAATTACAAAAACTACAACGCCTTTGTGCATCGGCACTGGGTGTTTGACCAAACGGAGGCGTTGGCCAAAGCAGAGCTCGTGCAACTTGGGTCACGGGGAGGAGACGGCGCGACGGCTCCCAATGACGGTGCAGCACCGTCTTTTATCCTTCTTCAGAGCTTACTGCAGAAGGAACGGGCGCAGTGTGAACAGCTTCTGCAGATGGATGAGCGCAACTTCCACGCGTGGAACTACCGTCGATGGGTCGTGGCGAAGGAATGCCGCGCCAGTGCACTCGCACGTGCCTATCTTCACGCCTCTCCCCTCTCCAGTGAAGGCATGCAGCCCGCCACGGTTGATGCGGGTGCGGTGGCCACTGAGGAGAGCTCCCCAGATGCGTTTACAGCAGATGAGGCGGCTGAGCTGGCGTACACGACGCAAAAAATCAAGAACAACTTCTCCAACTACAGCGCGTGGCATCAGCGGTCTCTGGCATTGAAATCGGCTGCGGCCCGCTGGCGCGAACAGCTGGCAGGGGCCGACAACAGCTCTTCCACGGAGAGAACTCGGAAGGAATGCCACAAGGCCCTCCTCACGCAGCTTCGCGAGGACGTTGGGTTTTTAGAGCACGCCATTTACTGCGATCCAAACGATCAGTCTGCGTGGTTCTACGCCCCTTTTGTGCTGCAGCTGCTGCGTGACAATCAACAGACGGCAGAGGAGGCCGCAGAGGCCGTCGCCCTCACGGATGTGTTCGTGAACGCGGTGATTGAGCTGATCGCAGAGGTGGACCGCGTGGGCACTGATGATGAGTGTTACATGCCGAACTACTTTCTGCTGGATCAGCTCCTCGGCCTGCAGGCCGCCCTCGGCGAAGACGGCAAAGCGGCTGTGGCGCGCTACACCGATGCGTTGTGCCAGAAGGTGCCCACTCTGGCTGCTGCGGCGACGGACAGCGAAGCGGACAAGACGGGTCGCTGCTTTCGCTTTCTGCACGATCGTCTTTGCAAGGCAGATGTTCTGCGCAAAGGCTTATACGACGACATGTTGAAGAGGGCGACACGGAGCACGGCGTAAACCAATAAAAAGAAAAAAGGAACTGCTTTCCTTTCCCTTCTCTTATCGGGTCCTGTGGTGCTTGTTGGTGTAATCAGTCAAGGCATTGCTTTCATCCAAGAACTCTATCTTGGGAGTATGCGTATACAAATCCTGTGCCACATGCGGCTCCTGCTGCTTTTAACGATTGTTCTTGCTGGTGCGTTAAGCGACTTTCATTATGATTAACGTTTGCGATAAGAGGGATAGGATAGCTTATTGAGGAAAACACTTGGTTTGATGTTGTTTGCCCAAACGTCGGTGGGTTAAATAGAATGCGGCACAGCGCGTATCAGATTTGGGTTCGTCTGCACAGCGGTCGTAGCTCAAGCCTGTCGTAGACGTTCACTTCTGTTTTTTGAGAGGGGTTCCATGTGTTTTGCTTCGTAATTCACACGTTTCCAAGTCATCAATTCTTCTTATTTGCCCCCCGTTAATTCTGACTCCGTTCTACAAACACTAAACGGCTCTTGCAATTCCAACCCCTGCTTTCGGGAACCACAACTCTGCTTGCGGCGTCTCCGCCTGGAAAAAGGTTTATACGCTTCTTTTTTCTTTCTTATATTTGCGATATCAACATTCAAAAGACGAGAGGCATTTTTTTGGCTTTCCGAAGAACGTTTATACTCTCTGTTCTCAGCCGAGGTTATATTTTTGACAAAAAAGAATCAAACTGCAAGTTTCTGCGCTGCGCGTACGCTGACCAGCGATCGTTGTCTAATCTTCGTTTATTCGTGCGAGTGTGCGTGTGTGTGTGTGAACTGCAAGATCGCACTATCGATAGAAACACTTTTTTTTTAGCCGGAAAGCGCATTTGCTCTTGAACGGACACCTCAACTGTACTTGTTTTTTCAAAGGAAGGTGCCGAAAAAAGGAAAGAAAAATGGGCTGCACCGGTTCGAAGAACAAGGAGAAGAAGCCCGATGGCAAAAACGCGGCCGACGGCGCCGCGCCGGGTGGAACGCAGCCACCGCCGCAAAACAAGGGAGATGCGGCGGCGCAGCCGAACGGCGGTGACTCGGCCCCGGCAGCCGACAAGGCAGCCGCGCAGCAGGCAGCCTTAACGCCGAGCAACAAGTCTGTAGAAGCCCCCGCGGGTCGTGCGAACGGCAAGACGGACGCGGGTTCTACGGCAGCCCCAGGCAAAGGGCCGCGCAGTGGTAACTCGGACGCCGGCGGCAGCAACGGCGAAGTCGACGAGGACGGCAACCCGGTGGTGCTGCCGAAAGGCGATTGGGTGAAGACGGAGGGCACGCCCTACTACTACTCAGCGACGGAAAATCTGTACTACCACCCGCCTAGCTGTCAGTTCTATGACCCAACGAACGAGATGTGGTACGACCCCGAGAAGGATGAGTGGTACCACGACGACGCCTCGGACGAGGAGGCCGCGAAGACTTCGTAGAAGAAGAAGGGGAAGAAGAGCGATTATTTATATACAGAAGCGCGTGCGGCGTGAGGTCTCTTCTTTCTCCTTTTTTGTGTACTATTTAATGCAGTATCGCGTAGCATGCGGCAGTCGGTGAAGCATGCAACTCTTTTTCTTTCTCCTTTCTTTCTAGGACGGAATGTCTTTTTTCATTGTTTCTTTCTTCTTCTTATGAAATACAAAGGAAAGACTTCACCAAGGACGCGATGCGACTTGCACGCAAGTGTTAGGGCGTTTGTGATTGCCACGACGTCTGAAAGGACCTTTTTTTCCAGTCTGTCTCTCTTTTCCTTGCCTGTACGTTTCGCGTGTTTCTCTTGCTGATGTTTTTCTCCTTCCTGTACTTCCCCTCATTTTGTTTGTTTTTCTTTTGCGTTTTTCTCTTCTTTCCTCCTGTACGTCGTCTGACCATCGACTAGTCTTTTTCGTATCTTTCCTTTCTTGTCTCAGACTCGGAATGCCCTTCGCGGTCGTAGGAGTGTTGCTCCCCTTCTCCTTTCTTCGTTCAGTGGGTATGTGTGCTCATCGCTGGATGCGCGATTCTTTTTCTTGTTGTTGTGTTTTTACCTGTCGATTTTTCGTGTTCTCTGATCTCGGTGGCCGTTTCCGTATATATATTTTTTAGTTGAAGATCGATAGAGCATGTGCTGTAATGAAAGATTCGTGAAGCCACTCACTCTTGCGTCCTTCTCGTTCTGTTTATTATTATTATTTGGTTTTTCTTCCGTGGTGTGTGCGCGTATGCGCTGAACGTGCGGATGTGAAGTGGAGTTCTCCTGCTCCTCTGCGGGTCAGCCAAGCTCTTCTCTTTCATCGTCTCTCTTTGCTTGATTCTCCCGGTGCCCCTCAAATGGCGGTGTACTCGGTAGAGCGTGGATGTCGGAATGCGGGTGTTTGTTGATGTCGGGAGAGCAGCAAGTTGTGGCGCGGAGCGGGGCACCCCGCATAGAGAACTGGGAAAAAGACAAGAGGAAGATCGGATTGCAGTGCTTGCCTCTCTTGCACATAAGAACGTAAAAGGAATTAAAAAATGAAAATGAAAAATGCTAACGTTGCCCTGACGGCATTGCGTGTGTTGCGCCTTTCCGTTGCCGTTGCTGCTTTCTCACTTCGGTACCAAGTTGCCTTCAACGCAGCCCTTTTCCCCCTTTTTTTGCGTTCGGTTTCTGCCTTTTTCTCTTCTCCAATGATATTTGCGACTCTACGGCGTACGAGGCGCGCAAATTCCCAACACGAGCAGAAGCCGGGAGGACGGGTTCTGTGCGCTGGAAAGCGTACGCACCGGCTCTGTTTCCATTTTGTGAAACGAACGAGCCAAAAGGAAGAAGAGAAGAAGAAGCGGAGCTCAATCCGGTGCGTTGATGCCCGCACGCCTTAGACGCTCGTTCAGGTCCTGACAAGAAGACTGATTCTCTGTATGCATCCTGTATTTGTTTCAGTGTTGTTTCCTTTATTTTTACTATTGCCTCGTTAGTGTTCTTGATTTGTGTGTGTGTGTTTTGGTGTATTTGTGTATTCGCGAGTATATATACATATATATCGAGCTGGCTAAGCCTCTTTAACCTCTTCCTTTCAACAAGCGATGCTTTCAGAGAGCGAGAGAGAGAGAAGGAGAGCTTTACGGCGAAGAGGTGAGCTGCAGCGTAACCAAGACGCCAGAGAAGCCTACCAAACTTAAAAAAAATAGAAGAAACGTGATGACATTGAAAAAATAAATGAACTCGTTGTACTATGTAACGAAACAAACCAAAAGGAAAAAAAACTCCAAAACCCTTACAGAGCTGCCACTAGGCATCTGGTGAAGAAGGCCATCGACTGTGCGATGTTCTTGCAGACCCGGTCTCGATGCTGGTCGTGGTCTTCGCAGTTTTTTTTTTCCGCGTTTCTCGTCTTTTCCTTCAGCGAAGTGTAAACGGAAAACCCCTACGACGTCCCTTGTCGTCCGTTTGTTCTCCCAAGTCGACTGCAACTGCTAAGGTTGCGGGATTCGTTGTAGGTCTTTCTTGCTGTTGTTGGAATCGCAAATGCAGTTTTGTTTTATGTGCCAACCATCAGAAAGCCTGAAGGCGGTCTTCGACTCGGCTTCTGTTTCTCCAAATCACGCTATTCCTCTATTTCTTACGATGTTCTTCTTCTTGTGGTGGTTGGGGAATGGTGCACCTCCTTAACCCTCGTGTCTGTCTGCAGTCCTTTTTGAAAGCGCGTCTGCGTTGGCTTGCCGTTTTCTTTTTTCTTTGTTGTTTTTGTGAACAAATAACGAGGTCGTGTCATATCGTTTTCTTTTTTTTCGTGGGTGAAGTGCATCTCGGTCCCCATTGATAACAATTATTGTTGCTTGCACCGCTGTGCCTTACCACGCACACACACACATCCGCACACACGCATCAGCAGCCGCTAGTGCTGTCTCTGCATCCCCTTTCTTTTTTGAAGATTTGTGTACGCGTCGTCAAACGCCATGGAAAGTCACTTCGACCTGGCCTTCTATGGAGACGCCATCCTCACATCGGATGATGACGAGCCCGAAGACGCGCCGCAGGCAACGCTAAAGCTGCTTGGCGACTTCCCGGAACCGCTGACGGAGCCGCAGCGTCGTGCCGTGCTGCGCTACGTGTCGCAGCAGGTACACGAGTTTGAGCTAGTGCGGCGGCAGGTCGCTGTGGTGGAATTGGGCTATCTGGCCCTGCTGCGTCTGGTGAAGCGTCTCCGCAAAGAACAGGCGAAGCTGCAGGCCAGCCTGGACGACGAGGGAGAGACGAAGATGAAAACACCAACGACGGCTACGGAAGCAACCAACGCCGATTCGGCTGCTGCTGCCGCTCCCGTCGCAGACGTCACATCTTCAACTGCAACGGTGCCGCAGACGCAGGACGCAAAGGGATCGAGCAAGTCCGCTGCAGCACCAGCAGCAACAGCAGCAGCGGCAACAACGGGGACCGCGGCGTCGAAGGAGTCCGCTGCCGGGCCGAAGCGCCGCCCCGGCGGGCTCCTCCTCCGCTCTTCCGTCTTCAGTGGAATGCAGCGTGTTTTGCAGGCGGCAAAGACGGAGCAGCACGATGCGAAGGCAGAGCAGCTGGCGAAGCAGCGGGAGCGCATCGCGAAGGAATCACGGCTACATTTGGTCTCGCAGGACCTCGCGTCGCAGGAGGCGCTGCTCGAGCCGCTGCGGCGTAAGTACCACTGGGGCGTCGCACTGGCGCAGGAGGCGGCGGACCAGGCCGGTCCTCTGCTGACGCTGTTAGAGGACATGTGGCGGCTAGAGGCCCTGTACCCGGCTCGCTTCTCAATGCACGCCGCCGGGCACCTGGAGCCGCTGATGTGGTCTCCTGGCGGTGGCGAAGGCGCTGGTGTGGGCGATGGGAATGAAGAAGCGGAGGCAGAAAAAGTTGAGGGCGCAGAGGCGTTGCGGCCGACGTCGGCTGCGTGTGCTGTGACATCCGCTGCGGTGGCGTTTGTGGTGCCCTTCGCTCCCGCTCAGTATTCGAGTGAGGTGGAGGATTTGATTCGGGCGCAGGTGGAGGACATCATCGACGAGTACTTAGCCTATCGCGGCCGCATCGATCCCGTCTTGTATCAGTTGGAGCAAGAGCAGCAGGCGGCCAAGGCGAAGAAGGTGGATCAGTTGATGGACCTCATCGGCGTCAAGGGTGCGGAGGCAGGAGCGGAGATGCTGGCGATGGGTGGGACGGCCATCGGCGTTGGGCGACCCTCGCACGTGTCGGCGGCGGAGCTGACGGGGAAGTCGGCGCAAACGATGCTGCACATCTCCTCTTCCGACGACGACGAGGATCGAGTGGAGTCCGGCGTTGGTGGGGTGGATGCGGCGGACAAGGACCGCCAGGACAGGGAACAAATTCGCACCGCTCTCACGGCGCTGGATGACTTCGAGGATGCGTAAGATATGGATAAGAGAGAGGGAGACAATCGTGGAGCGGTGTGCTTTTTACTTTTACGATTTGATGCATCGGCGGAGATGTTGTTGGGATATGCAGTGAAACATAATGAGGAGGTGATAATTCTTGTTGTTGTTACTGCTGTTGTCTCTGTGAAGGTGGCCAGCTGTTGGGATGGTGTATTGAAGAGCGTGAAAGATTCAACCTGTGAAAAGAAGAAGTGAATATAAAAAAGCTCTCGATGCATGCTGACCCTGGTTCGAATGGCAGCGGCAGCGACACGAACAGGTGAATGCGAAGACAGCGTTCTCGTCCTCCTCCTACTCCCTCGCATTACATTTTTTGATTGTTTGTTTTGGTTTTACGACCTCCTGATGTCGCCCCTCTTCACCTCCCCCTTCGTCGTCCAAGACTCATATTCTCATCCATCACACAGAAAGAAGTGCTTAAAAAGGAACGCATCGTCGTGTCATGTATCCACGCAGCGTACCCTACGAGAACAGCCCTCCGCCGCGGGACAACATCCTGACGGTCGGCATGCCCGGCGTCACCTCCACCCGCTCCCAGATGGCGCGCTACACCGGCGGTGACCCGGTGACGGTGCTGTGCAACTGGTGCGATGACCCGCACGGCCCACTGCACGAAGTAGACAAGGACAACAACCGGTACACGGGAATGCCCCTCTGCCATCGCGTGCGGCGAGCGCTGCGGCTGTGGAGCACCGTCGTCGTGGCGGGTAAAGGAAAGGAGGTCGACGCAGACGGTGATGAAGAAGGAAGTGCGGGGCTCTCGGTTTGCGTGACCGTTGAAAACGAAGCTGCTGACACAGCATCGAGCTCGGCCTGTCTCAGCCGTCGCGGTAAGCAACGGAGCTCGCCGCACCCCTCGTCTTCGGAAATCGAGCCCAGCGCGTCGCCGCGGGTAGCGCGGGATCCTGCCGTGGACGCAGCGGCGAAGGGACTCGTTGACGCGCCGGTGCTGTACAACGCCACCTGCCGCGTGGCGCCGCGCCTCATTCACGGTGTGCTGCCCTCCCCGGAGGTGTCGGAGAGTCATCACCGCAACTGGTATTGCACCCTGAACCCGCTTCATTGGATACTCATCGCAAAGGAGCTCATTACGGGGTGGTGGTTCTGTACACGGCCTTTTCAGTTTTGCTACTCCGAGCCGGGGCGGACCAACATGGGTGGACTTCGCGATCAGGCGACGTACACGCGTGAGGTGCGCCGAGCTGTTCACAAAATGGAGAGCTCCGCGGCGTCGCCGCCGCACGAACAGGACAGCCACGCACCGACAACAAAGCAGCACCTCGTGCTCTTTGGCGTCAGCCGCGGCGCCACCACCTGTTTCTACTCGGCCATGAAATTGAACGCCGAAGACGCCAAGCACGTTTCTCTCGTTCTCGTGGAGGCGCCCTTCGACACCTTAGAACACGTCATCGACGCCTCCTCCTATTTCCCGCGTCTCGTGCGGTGGTTCTTCCGCTCCTTTTGCGACTGGCGTGGCGGCCGCGACGAGGCCGCCGCCTACGACTTCGACCCGCAGGAGGTGCACCTGCGCTGCCCCGTTGCCTTTGTGCTGTCCGTGAAGGACCGGCGGGTGCCCAACGCGTGCACGCAGGCGCTGATCGACCGGGTGCGGCGTGAGCTGGTGCCCCACATCATTCCAGCTGTGGAAGTGTTGACGCTGCAGCACAGCCGGCACCCGTGTATGGCGGTGGGGCACAAGGAGGACCAAGACGCCTACGTCGCGTTTGTGGAGGCGCTGTATGACCGCTACTGCCCTCCATGATGTTCATACGGGTGTTACCCGGAGGCTTCTGTGCTTCTGCGCGTGCGAGGGCTGAATCGCTCACGCTGCGCGGCTTCACCTTTCCTCTTCGTAGCGAACTCGCTGCCTTCTCTTATGTGTTGTTTTCTCCCACCATCTTTTGCAGTGGCTTTTGTTGTCGAGCCCGTTAGTGACGCTCAACGAGACAAGACGAAACCCAATTGATGCGGTTGCCCCCTCCGTTTTGCTCCATGGCAGAGCCGCACTTTCGGTTAACATTGAGATCTCACCCACCAACCCCTGCCTTGCGGTGATCTCACCTCTCATCTCGTGATCTCGAACTCCTCAGCGCACGTGTCTTTCTCCTTTCCCGCCTTCTGTTTTGTGTGCTTCGCTGTCGCGCTCCCAACCCCCTGCCTCTCCGGTGCTCAGTGCAGTTTTTTTGTTGTTGTTGTTTTCTCCCTTTGCATCGACGGGGGTGGTGGTGCCACGTGACTTGACGCACGAATTAAAAACTGCTCCCTTCTCTTTTTTTATATATGAGACGGCTGAGACACACCGATGGAGACAACGTCTGCTGCGTCTGCCGGGGCGGCATCGTTATCTGGGTTCCCATTAACCGGAAACAGCGCCAATCCGGCTCAACCGCAGAGAACGTCTACCTCCTCCGCCTCAGCGCGCAGAGCCCCGCTGCCGACATCATCGCAGGCGCCCCGCCTGTACGCGCCTCTCTTGTCGATGTTAAACCCCATTGAGGATTCCTCCCTCGCTACACAGGCTACGCCGGCAGAAGACAATCACCGTGCTGACACGCAAGAAGCGACGTTGCAGGACGCGAGCGCACGTGCAGCAGCAGCAGCAGCCATATGCACGACCGTTGGAGCAGGACGCTCTGTGTCGCCCTCCACCGAGCCGCGAACGACGTCATCGGCAACGAGGGATAGCTGGTGGTCAACTTGGACGCGGGTGTGGCGGGAGATGCGGGCAGCGTGTGCACGGGAGGTACTGCCCATCGATCAGCCCCGTCTCTTCTCAGCGTCGGAGCGCGCCAAGATGGCCCGCTATGAGTCGGTCGACACCTACGAACCGGAGAGCATGCTGTACAAGGATTACCTAGAGACGCGCAGCCACGAACCTCGTTGGTTCATGTGGGTCTTTGTGCTCATCCTGGGCGTCAGCACGAGTGCCCTGTCGCTGGGCACGGCGGCCTGTTTGCACGTCCTCAACGCTGTCCGTTACGAGCTGCTCGGGTTTGGGCTCCGCGGCTTCTCCTTTGCCGACGCACACCGGTACGCGAACAGCACCGTGGCGGGCTCATCGTTGGATGTGTGGGCAATGCTGAAAGGCCGCAACGTTGGCCTGTACGGCCTTGACGGCCCTCTCGCCTACGGCTCCGGATACCTTCTCGTGCTGCTCTTTGCCTTGTGTACATCGGCGCTCGCGAGTGCGGTGTGCTACTTGGTGCCGGAGAGCGTCGGCTCTGGCATACCAGAGGTGAGGGCGTACCTCAACGGCGTGTCGTACCCGATGATGCGCTCCACACGGGTGCTGGTCGCACGGATGGTGGCCGTGGTGCTCACCGTGTCCAGCGGCGTCTGCACCGGCCACTACGGTCACTTGATGCTGGCAGGGGCGATGCTCGGGGCGCAGCTGCTCCAACGACGCCATGGCATCCGCTGCTACCACGTGCACTTCGTGGACTGCTTCCGCAACCCGCGCGACCGCCGCGTGATACTGGTGATCGGCGCGGCAGCCGGGATGGCCTCCGCGTTCTGCGTGTCCGTCGCTGGTCTACTCGTCATTTTGGAGTTGTTGTCCGCTGTGTTTCCCGTGCGCTTTGCCCTCTACGTTTTTGCTGCCTGCCTTTTGTCCACGCTGTGCACGCAGGTGTACCTCTCCTACTGGGTGAACTTCGATACCCGCTACCGCCCAAGCGGCGGCCTGCAGCGCGGCGAGCTGCTGTCGGAGGCGGTGGTGTTGTTCCGCACCCACCTGCCCTTTGGCCAGCACCCCGCCATGAATCTGATGGACTTCGTGGCCGCCTTTGGCATTGGGCTGTGCACTGGCGCGTGTGCGGTGGTGTTTGTGCGGGTCAGCTGGGCAGCCCTGTACTTGCGTCGTCGCTTAGAGGTGGCGCTGCGCAGCAAAGCGATACGCTACGCGCTTCCGATTCTGTTTACCTTGGTGTACGTGAGTTTGCATTACTGGATGGCTGTGGCCTGCACGTACGAGCCGCTTCGCCCTTCAGGCAGCGACAGCAGCAGCAGTGGTGGTGGTGGTAGCGCCAGCGGCAATGGTGCCACTCGCTTCAGCGATACCAACAGCCCAGCGCACCTACCAATACCGGTGGTGTGTAAAGGGGTGCCATACGCGGTACGAAGTGGGCGCAACGTCACGACCATCTCCTTCTACGGCATGAACGGGTTTTTGTGTCCGGCCGTAGACATGAAAGGTGAAGACGCAAGTGGTCCGGCCTTGTCGAGGGAGAGCACTACCACCGCCACAACCGATGGTGATGGTGCTGCTGCTTCAGCGGTCCAGGCGTCTTCTTCGAGTGCGCGTACGCCCGCCGTGGCGTCACAGAAACGACGCAACCGCCTCACGGACGAACAGAGCGTGCGTGTGATGGACACCTACGCCTCCCTCGCCTTCTCCTACGCGGACTCCGCCCTACAAACCCTGCTGAGCCAGCGCACCGCGGGTCTGATGCCGTGGCGTGCGCTGGGGACCTTCACCCTTCTCTACTTCTTTTCGTCCGCCGTGTACTCAGGGTTGGCGTTGTGCGGAGATACGCTGTTGCCGTCGCTGGTCATCGGTGCGGCACTTGGGCGATGCGTGGGGACGGTCGTCCACGTCGCAGCCACCTGCGTGCTTCCCAGTGCGTCGTCGTGGGCAGACCCTGGCGTCTTCGCGCTCTTCGGCGCCGGCAGCTTCGTGAGCGCCACCTCCGGCCTCAGCTTCGGGATCGGGGCCATTCTGATCGAGTCCACCGCCGACTTTCGTCACCTGCTGCCGCTTATGTTTGCCATCGTCGTGGCGCGCCGCGTGCTGACGCGGTGGAGTCGCGATATGCTCACCGTGTACCTCGAGGCGAGGGCCGTCCCGCTGCTGAACGCGGAGCCGTACTTGGATCGTTTTACCCTGCTGGACGCGCGGCACGTCATGCACGGCCCCGTCGTGGCCTTGCCCGTCGTGTGCAGTCTTGAGGACATTACTTCGGTGCTGCGACGCACCACGCACCACGGCTTCCCTGTTGTGTCGGCGCACGATGGTACCTGTAAAGGTATTGTCACACGAGCCCAGCTGGAACTGATGCTGTGGCACCTGATTATGACGCAGGGCCGCGTTTCGCACTGCACCTACGACGTGCTGCAGCGTGTCGAGGATCACGGCTTCCACAACCACTGCGAGGGCAGGGACCCGACAGAGTTCCTGCCGCCGTCGAGGCAGCCGCGCCCCACGCAGATGTCGCTTTACCCACACGTCGACACGTCCGCCTTTACAGTCTTGGACACGACGGCGCTGTCGTGCGTGTACGACATGTTCACCACCCTGGGGCTACGTCACCTCATCGTGGTGGATCGGTCGAACTATGCGGTGGGCGTGATTACCCGCAAAGACCTGACAGGGGATCACCTGTCCCGCGTACAGACGGAAGAGGATCGACGTCGGGCTCCCCCGCGCACGGGCAACGGGCAAGGCAACGGTGGTGGCGCCTCGTCCTCCGCGGTCACGGCTCGCGATGCCGCCTTCGCAGCGATGCGAGCTCCACTGCATCCTACCGCGGCTCAGGTGGCGGAGGTGGCACGCACGTCCTCCACGCGGCGGCTGTATGACCAACAGCAACAGCAGCAGCAGCAGTAGCATCAGCAGCAAGTTTCTCCATGACTCGATCCTCCCATCATTGGAGAAGCGTCAGCATTACGCGCTCCTCCCGTTGGCCACGGCGAAGAGGAGCTTTCTTCTTCGCGCAGGCCTTCCTATGCGCGTTTGCTGCTGCCCTTGCCGGGGTGCGCGGAGGCGGCATCGTCCACCTTTTACGCAGTAATCGCGCGCCGTGCGTGTGCGAGGTCGTTCGCGATTTGTTTCCTCGCATTTTCTGTCTTCACTGTTCGACTCCTGCGTTGGCGAGTGCGCACCGTCTATCGGATGCAGCGCGGCTGTGCTTCTGCTTTTTCTTCGAAATTTGTAAATCGCTGTTTTTTTTTTAAGAGGCAGAACGCTCCGGCGTCTGTGACTTGCTGGGGTCCAAACGGATGGCTTTTTAAAGTGCAGGGTAACGTTGAAGACGGCATCTATGTCAACGAGCTCCGTCTGGCAAGTGTTGACGTACAGCAATGCTTAGGTTTCGTCCCTCTCTCTCTCTCTCGAAAGCGCTGCCGTCATCTCCTTTATTCCATGCGCCTTTCTCTCTATCTCTATCTTCTCTGCGTATGCACCACACACACACACACGCACCGGCCTCTCACTTCTCGTCATCATAACTGCCTGCCACCCACACGCGCGCGTCTACCTGTACAGACTTGTTTCTTTTCTCCCTCCTGGACGCTTTCTTCAATTTTCACATCTGATCTGTCAGAGTAGCGACGGTCCGTTTCCTTGTCCTCTTCTCTTTCGTTGTCTTCAATTACACATAATATCTATAGCTATATATATACATAAAGTAAAAACAAAGTTAAGCACGCGGAATGTCTCGCGCGTCCAACAAGATCGGCGGCGGCATGGCCAGCGCCAACGTCGTCGACCACGGCGTTTACATCAAACCCATGTCCTGCAACCCGTACATCTCCACCGTTCACGACGGCGCCACCACCGAGTACATGCAGGGCTTCGCCCCGAAGCACATGCACTGGCTCTACCGCTTCCGCTACAACCTGCTTCCGCAGGGCATGTCGGGCGGCTTCTTCTCCCGCAACCCGTACGGCCGCTACGTGCATTGGCTCGAGGTGAGCACGATTGAAAAGATGCGTCTGCAGGCCATGACGATGGAGTCGGTGCCGTGCTCCGTCGTGAGCGCGATTATGCTGGTCTTTACGACGTGGCACTGCTACCGCCTCATCTTTCTGCACCCCGATCTCACCCTCTACAACGTCGGGCTGTGGCCCACCAAGCCGTGGGTGCAGCAGCAGCGCTTCAACAAGAAGATCGAGGTGGACCAGCCCCTCTACCGCTGGGTGCACCGCGCGCCGGAGTTCCTGATGAACGACCCGATCCGCGACGTCAAAAAGCTGGGCATCACCGCAAATGACACGGTCGACGCAATGGCGAAGGAGCAGGGCGTGGAGCACGAGCTGACGATGGATCGCTCCGAGTACACGGCCAGCTCGCCGGATATTCGCCGCGTGATCGCCAATGCCCGCAAGGATGTGGTGCACAGCAGCCAGTCGAGCAGCGCGCTGACCTCCATGATTGGCAAGTAAGGATGCTGTGAAGTAGGAGGAGGAGAGAAACGAAACATGGATGTACGTTCAATACAACTGTCGAGAAGAGTGACGATGGATGTAACGCGTGTAGTGTTTTAAAATGGAAAGGAGGGGGGAACTGCGATGAGGATGATGTTGATGTTGATGTTGGAACGGAAACCACGACTGCTCGAACACTATTTCCATTGACGTGGTATCACGCAAGCACGGGGAACGACGCAGCCACCCAGCACATGCGCTTTTGATTGATGAAGGTGTGCAACGTGTAGAGGGTCTACCTGGGTGTTACTTGCGGCCTTTTTGCTTGTGCGTATGCTGCTGTAGCCTTGGACGGTTTCCCAACAATGATACGCGGTGTTCCATCATCCATCAGCATTAACTACTCGCATTCCCACCCTATCCCTCTCGTTATGCGCTTTACCAGGTCTTCGCCCCTCTCAGCTGCCGCATCCTTCTCTCTCTCTCTCTCTGTGTGTGTTTATTCCCCTTTTGCCTCCCTCTAGAGACGGATGCTTTGTCGTCCTCTTCCGGTCTTCAATGAAGCGGAGAGGATTTCTTTCTGTGTGGGTTTTTTGCTTGCGATTTCAACTCTTCTTTTTTCTTCTTCCCTCTCATTTTCATGTTTATCCTCTTTTTCTTTTTTTTGCAGCTGCAGATGTCTTTGCACGTCGTCAGCCGGAGACAGGGAAGAGGTTATATACGAAGTAAAAGCTGTGAGAAGGACGTTGCGATGGAGGGCTTTTACGCCTCTTTACGTCTTTCCGTTTTTTAATTCTTTCTGTTTCTCCGCGCGAAGGTGACACCACACTCTCTCTCTTTCGGTCGTTGTCGTTGGGTATGACCGGCCGTAGCACATACTCCGGCGTACTGCCATCTGTGATTCCTGGTAAAGAGCACAGACAGAGCGCAGTACGCAAATGCACACTCACGCACATACACAGACATACTGAAAAGGAAGAAACCACTTGTTGTGCGTCTCTGTTGAGGTTGTTTTATACGTATCTCCGTTTTTGCGGTTGTTTCTGCTGTCTTCAAGGACAACAGCGGAACTTGCGAAAGCCCTTCCGCTAGGTGAGGAAAGCCAGCAGACTCTGCAGTTGAGATACAAAGAAACAAATGTGCGTGTGTGTGTGTGTGTGTGAATGTGCTTTTCTTCCTTTTATAAACACGGATTGTGTGGTGGTAGCTTTGGTGCGGCACATCTTTTTCTTTCTCTCCGGCTTTCTTTTACATGTATATTTGTGTGTGTGTGTGTGTGTGTGCGAAGGAAGTGGTTGTTGGCGGCAGCTCGAACGTGCCGCCTACGTTCCTCCGCGCCAGACTTACTCTCTGGCCGGGAGCTTTTCGAATCGTGAACAAAGCCGTATATCACGCTCCTCCGGTTTTAGTGTGTTTCTCGTTTCCTTCTCTTGATTTGGTTTATTGCAGCAGCGCGTGCTAATGGGGCAAACGGTCACCATCAGTTTTTTTTTTAAACGGAAAAAATCCTTTTCTTTTTCCCAATGAATGGAAAAATATGTGTGTTCGCCCCTCCCCCTTCTTGTCGCATACACATGACCACCTTTACGTTGTTGGTGTTTTTTTTTTATCGTTTACCATCTCCTCGGATGCCTACTCCACGCCGGAGTAAAGAGGGGAAAAAAGCCTACACTTGTAGGTGGTACTCGTACACGACTTGCGTAAAGCCTTGAGCACGCTAGAGAAACACGCATGACGTTGATACTCGTGGTGCTCAACGACGGATGGCAGATGGTGCGCAAGACACACGAGAAGGGTTTTTTTTAGCGTTCTGGGTAAAAACAAGTTTTTCTTTAGTGATTTAAAAAGAGACCAACAGTAAAATGGCTTGTTTCTTCCTTCTTTTTTCATTTCTCTATTCTACCATATTCACAAAGAAAACAACAAAAAAAGAATTCCGCAAGCGAGGTACAACAGCAGCTTCTTCTGCAGGCTCACACGGATCCTCCACAACACACGCTGGAGTTTTTAACTGGCGTGTATTCTCCTCCACTTCTCTTTCCTCACGCACCTCGTTCACCCTCTCTCTCTCTTCCTCTTCGCGGTGTGATGTGATTCGTCACGGAAAGTGACACGGAGCGCACGAAAAGGAAAATGAGACAATACGAGTGTAGATGCGGGGGAGCAGACAACAACAATTATGAAGAAAAAACTTCCAAGAAAAAGAAAACGACGCTCGCTGAAAGCTGTTTCGCCCGCGAATTGTTTTCGTATCTTCTTTTGTAAGGTTTTTCTCGTTTTTTTTTAAGGATAAACGCTGATATAGGTATTTTTGAAAGAGCGCGCTCCTCATTTTTTTTCCTTTCTACCTCATTTGTTCGTGATTTTTATGGATTTCGCCTTTTCCTTGTTCTCTTCTTCTCCCCTTTCGTTGCCGTAAAGATGTATGTGTTTGTGTTTGTACGTGCGTGTGTGCGTTGGTTGCTCGTGGAGTAGAAGTTAGCAAGGAAAAATGGAGAGGAATGCTCAATCGCCAAGCGGGAAATAATTTAAACAAAGACTTGTGCTTGATCGATTCTGTTTTTTCCATTATTGATGTTGTTGGGGCGACTATCAAGAGATTTTGTCGCTCTTTATTATAGCGCTTGAATCGAAGGTATCGGACATACATGTGATTGCGGTTTCTGTCACGGTACGGTCCGTGTGTGTTTGGCCGGTAGCTGTTCTTCTAGGAATTATAACGTGTTTAGCGGAAATAGTAGAGCATTAAGGAAAAAGGAGAGGTTGGGGTGATCGTTGTTTCTCAAGTGTGCGGTTTCGCTCACCCTACCCCCCCCCCCCCTCTGTTGACCGAGTGGACGCCGAATGACAGGTTCTGCTCTCACCACTGTGTCGGAGGGGTGAAAGCGCCGAAGCAGATGCCTTTCCTTGCAACTGCCGTTGTTTGACGCTTGGAAATGATCGAAGTGAGCGAAAGGTGATGGGAGTTGTTGCTGTGTTTTCTGGTTTCCCCACCGGCAACGGCGGCGATGTGCTGCTGCCGTGCGGGTTTGCGTACAACACAAGCTACTGAATAGTGCTCTCTTTTTTTCCCCCTCTTTTCTTGCCTCTGCTGTTGCGTCTTCTCCGGATCAGAGGAGACACGACTGCGGCGTTCCGTCGCTACACAAACTGTGCAGGGTCGCCCGCTTGGTAGAAATCCCTCCACTGCCGTTGCACAGTTCATTGGTGTACCAAAAGTGTTGCTTTGTGTGTGTGTGTGTTTTTTTCCCCTGCCCTAGCATGGACTCTGTTGAGTCTCAAGGCGTTGTGTACAGCGCCTCCTTCGACATCCCCTACGCGATTGGCAGCGTCGCCATTCCCCTCCCAGAAGCCTCGGCTTCCTCCGCGAAGGATGGCCTGGCGCCTGCCGGGACAGACGGTCAAGGCAAGTCCGCCGCGTGGAGTCCGACGGCGCACTCGACGGAGCACGACAAGAGAGCGGGGCCGTCCACCTCCTCCACGCGCCGCGGTGTGACCTCGGGCAACATCCCCTCCGTCCGCCGGTGCACCCACCACCGCTTCTGCTACCTCCGCGACGGCAGTGCGCTGGAGCAGGACATCTTTTATCGGTGGTTGCTGCATCAGCAAAGCGAAGTCGCAGCGGGCGGGGCACCTAAACACGATCGACGTGCGACGGCCCCTGCAGACGTCGTGGAGCCGTCGAGTCCTTCTCTTCTTTACGCATCGCTGGACTGCGTGGTCTTCCTGCTGCCCGGCAGCTTTGCGCACCCACGCCGCGTTGTGCGTCAACCGCCGTACCTCATTGAGGACGACACCTGGGCGGATCACATGGTGGAGGTGCAGCTGCACTTCTTGCCGCACCTCCGCATCCCACCCGTGATGCTGGTGCACCAGGTCCTGCTGGAGCGGCGCACGCTGCCGCTGCTGCGTCCCCTGCACTCCGCGATGGATGCAGCGGCGACTGCAGCGTCCAAGCGAGAAGGGGAGCGGGAGGTGGAAGTGGAAGAGGAGGAGCGAGAGGTTTGGGTGCCGCAGCTGCTGGCGAGTACCTTTGGCAAACCGAAGCTGCCACCTGTCTCTACGAACGTTGTCGTGCGCCACCGCCATTATCCGACATTAGCCAATAATGACCTCAACTCGACGACGGCAGGGACAGCAACGGAATCACAACCGAACCCCTCGTCAAGTCCGCACCATCACCACCGTCAGCATCGCCACCACAACAGCGGCAGCGCCACGGCCGCCAGCACCACCGTCGTGGTGACTGAAAAGGTTGACACGCTGCGCCTGTATCACCCCTCAGTTGGCTTTCTCCAACACGCCCGCTGCGTTCTTACTCTGTCATCGCGGCCGGTGCTGCGAGAGTTGCACGACGCGTATGAACAGCTTTACCCCCGAAACCCAACCGTGCCCCACGACACAGCGAATAGTACTACAAGCGGAGAAGAGGAAGACCGCTCGCTGGACACGCCGTTCCTGTACGCGTGGTCACTGCCGTACGAGGCGGTGGTCGCGGAGTACGCCGCGCAGCGCGCCTCCACCGCGGTAGCGGTCCTGCAGGCGGTGCTCGGTGGGCTGAAGCGGGAGCGGGCGGCGCTGGAGGAGACGTGCCGGCGATCGATGCATCACATTGCGGAACTGACGACCTCGGTGATCCCGGAGCAGCTAAGAGAGGTGCACAGTCGATGTTTGAAGCTCTACCGTAAGGAGTAACGGGCAGGGGCGAGGCAGCTCTCAGGTGGAATGCGCTGGTCCACGTAGAGGCTGAGGGGTTTTTCTTGATAACTTTGTTTTCTGCGAGGATTCCAAGAAGAGCAAATTCATTAACAATAACAATAATAGGTGTTGGGTACAGTCACTGATGCGTTTGGCGTGGGGTAGTGGGGGGAAAAAGAAATGTCAGTGTCTCCATTCATCACTGCATCTCGTTGTCCTTCAGCAATGTTATCGTTGCACCATCGATGGTGCGACTCTTGGCGTGTAATTCTCCGAAAGCTTGAGTCGTACGGATACGGTCTTCCAACATATATATATATATATATATATATCATTTCGCTATTGGTCTTGCCTGCACCGTGACGCACACGGACATAAACACGATAAATGCGCCTTGACTACCATCCCCCCTCCCTCCTTTCCTCCTCCAAAAACACACACAACGTGTAAAAAGTCTGCTCGCTATTCAGTCTTCTTTCAGCTATTTAAAAAGAGAGAAAAGAAAAAAAAAGTTGTCCTGTCCAGTGTTTTACGTAAACGTATTTCGAACAGTCTTTTTTTTTGACCTTTTCGTTTTGTTTTTGCTCTCGTCTGCCTTCTGCAGAGTACGTTACAGTGATCCAAAGCAGCGGCTTTTGTTTCATCTCTCATCTTTCGTTTCACTTTGCTGTATCAGTGCCGTGACGCCCTTTTTCCTTTCCTTTCCTTTTCTTAAACAGCTGAAACGTGTTTGCTAGTGTGGCAAACTGCTCTAATTGGTCCAACGTAGGAAAAGAAAAGGAGATTCTGCTCTTTTCCCGTGTTTACTCCATTGCGTTGCTTGGCTTCGTTCTCACAAGTCTCTCGCCCCTGCGCACGCTCTCTGCCGCTGCCTTTTTCCGCGGGAAGGCCGATATTTTTGCGTTGTGGCATCTGCCCTTCCAACGCAGGAAAATTTCTTTTTGCTTCTATACACCGAAGACCCTTGCTCAGCGAATGCAGTCTCTGAACAAGCCGCTGAACGCCATCGTGGTGTGCGGTCCCTCTGGCGTGGGCAAGGGCACCCTGCTGGGCCGTCTCTTCCGCGACTACCCGAATAGCTTCGCGTACTCCGTCTCGCACACGACGAGGCAGCCACGCATGGGTGAGGTGAATGGGCGGGAGTACCACTTCACGGACCGCAGTGAGATCATCAAGATGCGCGACAACAACGAGTTCCTCGAGCTCTGCGACGTCCACGGCAACTTCTACGGCACGAGCGTCGCCGCCGTCCAGGACGTGCAGAAGCAGGGCAAGATCTGCGTGATTGAGATTGATGTGAAGGGGGCGCAGAAGCTGTACAACCGCAACGACGATGCCCTCAACTGCGTATACTTGTTTATTACGGCACCGAAGGCGGAACTGCGTAAGCGCATCCTCGGCCGCGGCGCCGATGACGAGAAGATGCTGCAGCGCCGCCTAGAGACAGCGGAGGCGGAGTTCAAGTTCCTCGAGGAGCACCCCGACTTCTTCGCTGCCACTATCGTGAACGACGTCCTCGACGAGGCGTACGGCCGCCTGGTGGACGCCGTCAACGAGCAGCTGGAACTGCACAACATGAACACTCTCTCCAGCGGCGTCAAGAAGTAGAAACGCGAGCGGAGGACAAAAACGCGGTGAGGCAATAATTTTAAAAGAAAAACCTGTGCGGTGTCCGGTTGCTGTTCGAGCAGCAAAGCGTCCTGGCAGACTGTGGAGTTTTTACGCATCGGAAGCAAGAAGGAGAACGCGAGATAGAAACGGCAAAAGAAAAAACCGTATGAAAGAAGGGAGGAGGCGGCGACGGCGCGTTAGAGCAGGGCCGTGGTTCGTTAAGGAGGGGAGAAAAATATACCTTTTTAAACACAATTCTTTCCTAACTCACTCACGCTCTCTTAGTCTACAGCCCTCGCACTTTGACGTCGTGCAGTTCATCATAACTGCCGTTGAGCCACAAGCACTGGTTTTGTGGCTGCTCCCCTCTTCCCTTTTTTTCTCTCTTCGTGTGTACTCGCTTGTCTACCATATAAGCTGGACAGGTCTGTTTGACAGAATGCTCTGCAATGGGCGACCGTGACGGTCGACGGCAGCGGTTTACGGCCTTTCTTCTTCTTCCCCCCCCCCCCCTCAAACAAAAAAAGAAAATAATGTAACATGCATTTGAAGTTCTTTAATGTGCGAAAGGGATAAAGAAGAAACGCTGATACGAAATGTTCTCTTTAAAAAAAAAAATGTAAAAACGATGATTGTACGAAGACAAATGAAATGGCATTGCGCGAGTACCTGATGTTGTCGTTGTTGTTGTTGTCGATGTTTTTCTTTGCCGTAATGATTTTGCTCTTCGCCGTCCTTGTGTTTCCGTCGCGGCTGCCGACAACGCCTGATTGATTTTCTTTTTTTTTATCATTGTTGTTTCTTGCCATTGTCATTTTTTTCTTTTTCCTGCCTCCTCGTTCCCGGGGAGGGGGGGGGGGGCCAGAAACCCAGTGCCCTATCTCTCTTCCTCTTCCTTTTCTTTGCTTTCTTTCCTTCTCACGGAGACATGAATCCTCTTTGGTTTTTGTTTTTACGTTTCGATTATTTATTGATGGTTTTCTCTTTCCTTTTAACATCCATCTCTCTTTTTTTGGTTCTACTGATTAACTTCTCTCTTCCCTCTCTTTCTTTCCTTCTCGGCGTTAAAGTGACTTTTCTTTCTTTTTGATATTTTTCCACTTTTTTTTCATCTCCTCACACGTGGTTTGGTGTGCGGGTGATGGAGGGAAGGCGACCCAGCAACAACAAAAGCTCGTTGTGTGTGTGTGTGTTTGTTTCTTCCTGTGTCTTCATTATTAACTTTTAGTTTCCGTCCTTTTCTGTTTCTTTTATATATATTTCTCGTCAAGCTCGGGGGGATAACGCGCTTCCTTCGGTGGAAGGTGTAGAATGCACATCAAAACGGCAAAGCACGAACGGTTGTGAGAACAAAAAGGCAACGAATTGCTCGTCGCGCCGCGGCAGACCAGAAATGATAATAATAAAAACGGGAGTCCGTCGAAGAGTTCATCGCATTGTCTTTCTGTCGTTCTCCTTCTTGCATCGTCAACGAAACGGAACGATATTGATGGAAGATGACGAAGGGGAACAGCATTTCTCCCTTTACTCTCTTTAGCGTCTTCTTCAACACGCTCTTCAAAGGTCGTCGGTGTGGAAAGCACGGTGTTCTTTTCTTCATCTCCCACTGTCGTGCGCGACGCGCTGTCTCTGAAAAAAAAGCACTCTCGTTCCGTTTTTGTTCTCTCAACCGTTTTGGTAGTTTCCTTTGGTGCTTTCACGCCGCCTTGCGATGCGTCTCACCTTGCACCCCTCAGCCTTGTCGCCTTCTCCTCTTTTTCCTCTTTACTGTCTGTAGTTTCTGTTCATCGACATCTTTTGCTCTTCTTCTTCTTTCTTATCCAAGAAGAAGGGAACCTCGCGTGGTGGCTTCCTCGCTTGCAATGATTTGTCTTCTTTGTGCGAGTTTGTTGTGCTTGTGGTAGTTGTTTAACAGGCGTTTGGTTAGTGTACGTGTTTGACGTTGTCGGGTTGGTCCTGCGCTCGCTTTAGGTTTTTTTTCTCTTGTGTGCACTGCGAATGCGTCGTCACGTCTCATTCCATGAAAGAGAGAGAAAGTTGCGAATCGAGTCGACCCCATGTCATGTAATAACCGCCATAGAAGTAAGTGTAAGTGACCTTCTCTCTGTTGTTTTTCTCCCTCTCTCCTGGTGAAGAGAAAATATATGTGTGACAGGTGCAATTAAACATAAATGTATGTCTATACGTGGTGTTTGCTGCTGTGGAAGAGAAGGAGCGTTGAACAGTCGTCTTTGTTTGTCTGTGGCGTTATTTCCTCTTTTTTTTGTTGTTCTATGAGAAGAAAGCTTCACTTCCACGAGCTTTTGTTTCTCTTGGTGCTTTTCAATAGCCTCTTGGAGGAAAAGAAGTACGTTATTTGCGCACGTGAAGAAACTGCGCTCGACAGTGAAAGAGAGGAAAGGAAAGAACATGCCAAAAAAGCGAAAAACGAAAAAACGACATCGAAAACGTCTTCAAAACGATTTTTTTCCATTTCTTTGTGTTTTTTTTTTGTCTCGTATTCCTTTTTTGTTCTCAAAAGAAAACATTTACCAGTTGTTTGTTTGCGTGCGTGTGTGTGTGTGCTCTTCAACTTTTTCTTCTTGTTGATGGCTCATCACGCAATCAAACACACACGCAAAGGTGCGGCCAGCCACTCTCTCGTTCTGCTTTTATTTCTTTTCCTTCCATCTCACTTCTTCGTCAGCGGAGTTCCCGTTCTCTTTTTCCTTCCCTCACGCACAGCTCCCAATTTGCAAAGAGGAAGAAAGAAAGTGGCGCTCCCCTACGCAAAAGCGACCCGTGCAATTTTTTTTGTTGTTCACGCTGCGCATATCCAGTTCGGCTGTGTGATTCAATATCTATCCATATATGTTTACAGCGAGTGGCCGAAGGGAAAATGAAAAGTGCAAAGGAAGAGCAACTGCGCCGTCGAAAAGGTGCATCATCATCGACAGACGGATTGGCGCGGATTCGCGTCTCCGTGCGCGGCAACGAAAACGCCTACGTGTTCGTGTACATATGTATATGTATATGTATGTATGTATGTGTGTGTGTGTGTGTGTGTGTGTGTGTGTTCTGTCTTACCCTGTGAGGAAGTTTGTTTACGTGTGAGCATGTGCGTGCTTCCGGTTTTTGTTTCCTCACATTCTTTCTTCTTTTTGTTTTGTTTTTGCTTTCTTCGTGTATGTGTTCAGCAAGGCCGCCTCTTCGCATTTCACGGTTTCCCGCCTGTGCACCATAGAGAAGGGAGAAAGATGTAAGGAAGAAAGAAGGGTAATACCAGCGCGCCGCCCACTTCGTTCGTTTTGACAGCTATGGTTTTCGTTTCACTCATATTAACCGCCTTGCCCCTTTCTTGATTGCTCAACCTGCTTTTGTAGCCCCCCACCATCGCACACGCCCACGTTGTTGTTGTCCGTTCGGTTCATTTTTTGGGATCTTCGAAGGTACTCAACGATATACACAAAAAGGACGAGGAGTGAAAAATCAACTGGTGTTTTACCTGATTTTAAAAAGAAAAACACCTTTTCGTGTGTGTGTGTTTCAAGTTGCCAGTTCTTGCCCCTTTTACTTATACAAATTCTTTGCTTTATATATATATTTCATTCCATAGCTTTGTTCAAAGAACTGATCCGACGTGTCTCCTAAATATCTGTAGGAACGGCCAAGGACATCTCGGATGGACTTGCGTCTTAGGAGTGAAGGAACCTTGGAAAGGGCAGCGTGCTGCGAGTACGTGTGCGTTTGTTGGACGCTGTCGCTTCTTGTGCATGTGTGTGCGTGTGTGCCCTGAGTCGCGTTTCCTCAGTTCACGCATTCAATTTTTTTTTCCACAAGGGAAGGGAAGATCGGAAAATACATCTATTTGCACGTGCCACGAACAGCGCAGCTCGCAGAGCCCTCCTACCTCTTCTCCTCCGAGCTGCGTCGCCTTGCAATGGAGCGCTATTACTTGCTTTGAAACACAGGAGAAAAAACTCTCAACACTTTCTCAGCTACTTCTTCCCCCTTTCCATCTCCCCCATTTTTGTTGCTGCGGCTCTTTGTGTGGATGTGGGTCAGGTATCGTTGACTTGGCGAGTACATCCACCTTTGCATGTTTTCCATGCCGTCGATGACAAATCTCGAGTCCATCAATCACGCGCTTTCTCTATCCACTAAACTCCACCGCAGCGAGTAATAACGGCAACAAGAAATTAAAAAGCGACAAGAACAGTGCAGCATCTTCTTTGTTTTACGTATCTACTTTTTAATGCTGAATCATGCGGATGCCGTAGACGCTCATGTCGGCGTAGAGGTGCCTCACCGCGCAGCCACCGCCCTCGACGAGACCACAGGAGACACTCAGACCAGCAGCGGTGGTGCGTCTTCGGCGAGCCAAACGGAACCGCGCTACATCCGGCTCCCCGACGCGCTGTTCAACCTTCGATGCAAATACCCCACCGTGACGGAGAGCGTCTTCCTCGAATGTACGCGCTGCCATCAATGGGTGGCGGTGCCGGTCCTGCATGGGATCCCCGACGAAGTCCTGGAAGGAGACGTGGCACGCAGCGCGCAAGGGCTGGACTCGATCGACAAGCGCACCACACCAAGCGGGCCTCTGCGGCACGTCGCGTACGATAGGCTACACCTGCGCGAGCAACTATCCATGGAAGCGACCGCCCCCCACTGGAACTCGCCGCGTCTGCGGGAGAGGGAAAGCCAGCAGCAGCACGCCGCTTCCAACGAGGCAGGCGCAGCGCCGGAGAGCTCCTTCAGCAGAGGGAGCGACGGCAGGCGGTCCGATTCCGCCTCTTCGCCCGGTACGTTTGAGCAGATTCTGAAGCAGTTCAGGCGTAGCCGGCTGGGCAGCAGCACCAGCACCGCCAAAGCCAACAACGAGCCTACTGCCCCCGCGCACTCGTGCACCCGACCGCTTCGCTACCCGCTCCTGTACATTCCCAACCCTGACACGTTTGTGTGCGCGGGCTGGCAGTGCGCGTGGGACGCCGACGCCCTCGCGGATCTGCGAAAGGAGTGGATGGGCAGCATCTACAAGGCGCTGCCGATGCCTGCGATATCCGAAGAGGCGCTCTCCTCCTCGTCCTCCGCCCTCAGCCCTTCCTTGTCCTCCTTCCCCGCCTCGCCGGCGCTTTCCTCGAAGGAGCCGCGACAGCACTGTAAAGCGGCGCTGAACGAGGTCCTCGCAGAAGAATTGCACGTCCACCGCCGCCGTCGCCCCGGTCGCAGCTACGGCGGCCGACTCGCACGCTTTGGTGACCCCGACAGCGAAGGCGGCAGTCTTCCCGCCCTCTCACTGCCCACGCCACCGCTGTCCGCGAGCAGCGAGGCAGAGACACCAACCAACACGACCACCACGTCCAACAGCACAGCGGCCACCAGCGAGTGCGCAATGCAACTCTCCCACATGCAAAAGGCGTGGGTCAAGGCGGCGGCACTGCATCTCCTGCGCGACGGCGGCGACGGTAAGGAGGAAGAGGAGGACGGCCCAGCCCGCCCCCGCCACCCGTACACCACGCCATCGTCCACGTCGGCCGCGACGGCGGCGAACAACGGCGCCCTGCTGTCGGCGTATTGCTGGGCGGTGTGCGACGCGTGTGGGAAGCTGCGTCGGGTGGCACAGCCATTTCCCGGCGGAGCCCCGTTTGTGTGTGCAATGGCCGTGACAACGTCCTCGTCATGCCGAGCTGCGCGTGACGGCAGCTATACGGTGTCGCTTACCTCCTCTGCCGTGGTCGCCGCGGAAGACAACGCCTGCAACGTGTCAGAGGTGGACGGGTTGATGCAGTGCAGCATGAAGCTGTGCGAGACGGAGCTGATCGCGGCGGCCCTGTCGTCGCCCTTTCTCCCCTATCCACTCAAGTCACAGCTATCCTCGCTCAGGGCACGACACGACGGCTACGGCGAAAGGGCGGAGGCGGCGATGACAAGCAGCAGCGACCGACTCAGCCGCGCAGACGTGACGCGGGTGTTGCTGGGCGAGCCGCTTCTGCGCACGATTCACACCAGCGTGGCGGAAGCCATTCTTCGCGGCACCAAAAGTCCGACCTCGCCCACACGACGAATGCCGAGCTCCAAGGAGCGTGGGGCCAGTACGTCTGCCAAAGAGCTGCAGAAAGACCACGAGAACAAAACCCCCCAAGACGAGGACGACGGCGTCTCCGCAGTCGCGGGCTTTCTCCAACGCTCCCTTCCCATCCTGCGTGAACTGGCCCGCACAATCAAGAAGCGGGGGTTGACCTCGCTGGCGCGTCAGATACAGCTGACGCCGGCGCAGATTCAGGCAAAGCGCGAGGCGGTGCTGCGCAGCTCTCTCCTCGACGGCCATCAAGTGAGCCACAGCAAGGACAACGGCAGTAGCAACGCGAATGCCGCTTCGGCCCGACCAGCAGGAGAAGACGCAGCGTCGGTCGAAGCCGAGAGGGTAAAGGAGGAAATGAAGCAAGAGGAACAAGAAGAAGAGAAGGCACAAGGAGACCGCACAGACGCAGCGAGGGCCGGTGGTTCGGCGACGCGGCCGCGCACGCGAGGGGTGCCCGCCGCACCGCCCGCCGCTACCTCCGCCGCCGCCTCCACTACGCGGAAGGCGTCTGCTGGTGCGACCAAGTCGACATCCACCGACCAGAAAACAGGTCGAACCCCCCGAGCGGGAAAGGAGGCGCCGGTGGATGCGCCGGCGGTCCCGGAAAAGCCGAGGAGAGGCCGGCCGCCGACCCGCCGTCTCTCCGCATGCGCGGCGAAGAGTGAGGAGGCGAAGGAAAGGAGTGCAGCGGCGGCACGCGAAGACAGCGACGGGGACGAGGCACGGTCACGCAAACGACCTCGTCAAGGTGGCGCACCGCATGCCAGGAAGAGCGAATCTGCTGAGAAGGGGGAAGTGAAAAAGAAAGGGTCCAAGCGGGTCGCTGAAGGGCAGGAAGACGAGGATGAGGAGAAGGAGGATGACGCGTGGGAAGTGGTCCACTGGGTGCAGTGTGATCGCTGCTCGAAGTGGCGCGTAGTGCCACGGCGGGTGTCGCACCGCATCAAGTTTTGGGAGTGCAAGATGCGCTACGATGAGAAGCGCGGCCGCGCCACGACGTGCGCCGATCCCGACGAGGCCGACTTGTCAACTTAAAAGAAATAAAAAGAGCGAGATAATAGCGATACTTTTCTCTTCGTCGTTGTCCTCGTCCTTGTATTGAATTTCCTTTCTTGTTGATAAAATCAAGAGGGATTCGATGCGAGTTCGACCTACTCCGCGGTATCCGTGATGCTGCCACGGTGGCCATGCTGGACTCACAAGCACGCTACACGTGCGCTTCATGCGAAATACGAATTTCGAGTTATTGACAGAAAGGAACAAGAATATACAAAACAATAATTAAAAAAACGGAAGAAGAACGTTAATGGTACTGAAATGAAAAGACGCCCCCGAGGTTAATCACCTCAATTCATAAGCTCACACCTCATGGATCCTTCCATGTTTCACAGCGTGGTACGTTTCGGGAACCAAAGCTTTTCTCCCCCGCCCAACTGGACAGCGAAACAGATCTGCAAGGTTGCGGCACTTGCTTCTCATGGCTCGTCGTTACGCAGCACCTTTCAATTAAAAGACTGACGTGGTGGTCTTCCATCAATAATCGGATGCGTTGTCGTGACAACTTGTTGTTGGTGCCGCTTTTCATCTCCGCCGTCAACTCACGCGCCCTTCTTTTCCATCCTCCCTGTCTGCCTCCGGTCGCATCAACGTCCAAGAATACACAGTGGTTCACCTTCGGCGGTCGCTGTCGTTCACTTGCCAAGAAACACACAGCTTTCCTGCTCTTCTCTTTTTCTTTTTGGCGTTTATGTACATGTCACGGACGCAAATTTTAGTTTTGCCGTAAGTATTGTTCTTTCTTTTTTCTTCTGCTGCTGTTGTTTCTCTTCAAACTGCTGTGTTAACGTCGTGGCTGGCGTCGTTGTGTTCTTTCACTCAACGCACAAGCAAACGCGTTCACTCTCTTCCAAACGGCGTTAAAGTGAAGCGCACACACAGCTATAGGTGAAAACTATTCTTAATCTTATTTCTATTAGTGGAGCCCCGCCCCTCTCTTTCCCTCTCATTTATTTCTTTGCATTGCGTTTGGCAGTTGTGTCTTGATCTTTTTCTCTTTGTGTGTTTTGTGCCTAAATCGGTGTGACTTCCTGGTCCCGCAAACGGAGGCTAAGATGTCTGGTCAGCAGACGTCAGCGCCAGTGGCGGCAGCACCAGCGGCGAGGAACGCCACGGCAGCCGCGCCGACGCGCAAGTCGGAAGGGAATGCAGCGGCCATTAAGACTTCGCACATTACTTGTTTTGCGTGCTCGCGTTGCGAGTACCCAATTTGCGACAGCAACGACTTGCTCCTGCGCAAGGTGCGTCAAGGTGCCAGCGACTACGCCTTCCAGTACGACCTCGATGGTTTGTTGGACCTGGAGGAAAAGGCGGTGCCGTGCTACAGTGCAGCGGAAGTGGTGCACACGTCTGTCGTCGTTTCGGAGGCGCTCATGAAGGTGCCGCTACCTCCTGCGGCGCAGGTGGTGGCGCTGGAGTCGATCGTGCAGTCGAGGAAGTTTTGGGTGCAGCAGCGGCGCAGCATGAACGCACGTCTGCATGAGCATGGGGTGGCCCTGCTGTCCGGCACCGGCACCGCCACCACGGAAAGCTCAGCGCAAACGGCCACGGCCGGTGCGGGTGGCGGGATGATCCCCGCGTCCGCCTCGATCAATGATAGCGCGACCGCCACCACAACGGCGGAGACTGCTTCGGACGGCCCCATTGTTCGCCGTTACGGTGGCAGCACAGAAAGCCGCATCGACCTGGTCTGCGTGCGGGACAGCGTGTTAGAGACGGGAGTGCAGGAGTGTACGCAGGATCGCAGCGCCGCCGCCACGACGCTCGACAGCAGCCCCAACGCCACCAACTCCTCCCAGACGAAAACGCGCGAGGGCGATGCGCACTCGCCGGGGAGCACGGCGCCCACGGTGATTCACGATCCCAGCTTCGCGCACGTGCCGGCGGACGTGCTGAAGGCCGCCACCGCGTCGGCTGCCAAGACGCAATGGAGCTCGCCAGGGAACATGTCGCTGCGGGAGGCGTACATGGAGGTAAACCGCACCACCCTCTCGTCGCGGGCACAGTGGTTTCACGACTACCGCTGCGTGGGCCGCGTGCAGTGCCCCGACTGCCACCAGGCCCTCGGCTTTGTGTTTCGCGCGGCGGAGTCAACGAAGACGAGTCCGGCAGCGGCGGCGGCAACAGCCGCAATAGCAACAACATCCGTGCCAGCAGTGGCCGCCACCGCCGGCATCGATGCGCCACCTCCGCCGACGCAGGGCGTCAAGCGTCCGGCCACAGCGCACGACCGCGACGGCGAGGACGGAACGGAGGCAGACGGGAGAGGCGTGGCGGCGTCGGTGTCCACCTCCGTCCTTGTAAGTCCGGAAAGGCGAGAGGTCCGCGGGGCGATCGGTGGCACCGTAGACGCCAACGCTGTCGAGGACCGCCACGGCCTCGTCACCGCGGGCCACGCAGAGGTCGACGGTGCACGGCTGCCGCACGCGAAGAAGACGAAGAACGAGAACGATGCCCAGGCCGCCGCCACCGCGACCGCCCGACGCGGATTTCAAGAAGTCATGCAGCGACAGCAACGCCTGCGCAGTGGTGACGCGGTGGCCGGTGGGCGTGCAAGTGGCGAAGGGGACAGCTCCAGCGGCTCCGAGCGTGGAGAGGGCACTCCGCGGTCGGGTGACACGGAGGGCGAGATGGACGCACCGCCGCGCTTTGTCGGGCTCGAGCTGAAGCGCATTGTGCAGCGGGATTGGGACCTTCGCTCCTTCCAGAACCGCTACAGCAAGTCCCGCGAACTGTCTACCTTTCGTGAGCTCTTCCCCGAGGCAGAGGAGCTGCAGAGTCTGTACAGTCGCCTGCTCGGTCTGCGCACGCAGACGGAGCTCTACAACAGCCTCCTTCGCCGGCACAAGGAGCAGAACGACGTGCAGATGGCCCTGCTGAACAGCAACAAGGACCGCATGCACACCTACGACGAGAAGATAAAAACGATGCAGCAAATCATCGAGGCGCAGCGAGCCCAGATTGAGATGCAGACGCGCCAAATCCGCAACCAGGAGGAACTCGTGCAGAGCCACCGCCGGCAATTTGCGACGCAGCAGCGGCAGATGGACGTGGAGCAGCTGCTGCTGAGTCAGCAGAGCAAAACGATCGACTCGCAGAAGGAGCAGCTGCGTCTCCTCAAGCTACACTTTCAGACCGTTCGACCAGAGGTGTTGGCGGGGCTGCACCAGGCCAGAAATGTGCCGCCGTCGTCGTCGCTGCTGGACGCGGAAGCGGATGCGGATTTAGAAGTGTCACAAGGAGGAGCACGCACAGCAGCAGTAGCGGCGCGTAGAATGCGAAAAGAGGACAGCGCGGAAGAAGACTGGGCAGACACCGAAGACGAGGACGAGGAAGAAGAAAAGAACAGCAGCGCTGTAGGAGAGCGAGAATCGCCCCCGAGCACAACGAATATCCACCGCAGCATGCCACCTGCACATTTGTGTAGTGTGCCCTCGTCGTACGCTGCTCGCCACGCACGTAGCACCGAATCTGCAGACGAGGCGTCGCACAGCTCATCCCCCCCAGAGTGACGCGAAGGAGGCAAAACCAAAAAAAAAGTGATGAAAAGGTGAGAAGAGCGTATCAGCGGCGTCCTATCTGAAGTATCGATGCCCTTTGGGAACTGCTGTGCCACCTTGGCAACTCTTGTGTTTCATTCTTGTTTTCCCTCTGTTTTCTTCCCTCCGTACAGACGGCACGGAGAAGTTTCTCACCACGTGAGATCGTTATGATGGCCGTCTTCTCGGCTCCCCCATCACGCTGCGCACATCCTCCATCGAAGGAATTAGCAACCCCGGTGCTCACCAGCTCGAATGTACACACGATGGATGTTTGAGATACAATCCGCACTATCCATTATTATTGTTATTTATTCTTCTTCTGTGTGTGTGGGGGAGGGGGCTTTCTCGCGTTCAAGAACGCAGCAGTAGCCTTACACGCGTGAACTCGGCATTCGTCTAGTGAGAGGCGCCACGAGAGCGAAAAGACCGGAGATGTGTTCTTCGACGGCGGCCCTTCCACCATTCACGTTGGCAACGCCAATTCGCTGCGTCAGTGACGCCTTTCTTTGCTTGTCATTTCTGTTTCCTTCCTTGCTCCTTTGCATTTCCGTACTGGCTTACTGCTGTCATTTTCTCTCTCCCCTTCCGCCCATATCTTCACACGTGCAGCTATAGGGACTTCCAAGTTACCTTCATTGTACGCTCTAACACGTAGACGTGCCACAGAGCAGTGGCGTCTACCGACACAAACATACATACCTAGATGAACACAATACGAAAAGCCTTTAAAAAAAGGGATCGGTTTCGTGAGTACCGCAAAACTTTTTTTTTCTCTTTTCTTTAATTGCGCTGTGCGGGACTTTCTCATTCCAGTAAGATCTGTTCCTTCTTCCTCAGGAGCGCGAAGTAACAACGACGGCAAAAATACTAGTAAGGGTGAACAATGCAACCCAAGCTCGACGGCTCGACTCCGTCTCCGCACGCCGACATAGCGGCCGCGTCCCAAGAGCCACAGCAGGACGTCGACATCGACCCGCCCTCGGCGACATCGACGCACCCCACATCTCCCCATGAAATCCCACACGCGACACCCTCCGCAGCCGTCGCCGCGCCTGAGGTGGACGATTTGGAACACCAATCAAAGGAGTTTCTCCTGCAGCGCGTGCGAGCGCTGGAGCGCCAACTTACGATTCGCAACAGCGACTGCGCGCGTCTGCTGGCGGATCGGCAGCAACTGCTGCAGGCGCGGGAGAAGTGTGCATCGCAGAGGGAGACGATACTCGCCCTGCAGGGGCAGCTCGATCTGGCGCGTGCCCAACGAGAGTCCGCCGTGGACGCGATGGAGACGATGAAGCGGCGTCAGCGCGATCAGGAGCACCGCGACCGCATCGGCAACGCCGAGCGAGCCATGTACGGCCGCCCACAAAGCGTTGCCGGTGCCCCTCCTCCCCCTTCGAATCCTCCTTTCTCTTCCCCACCTGCCACCAGCAGCAGCGGCGGCAGTGGCAGCACCGGCGCAAAACCATCGGTGGCGACGCCCAACATCGGCCGCCGCAACCCCGGCGGCACGGTGGTGAACACCGCGGCGGGTCCACAGCTTTTGTATGACAGCTCAGACATTTCCTCCGTGGGCTTCACCAAGAATGCGCGGCTGCCCTACGACTTTCTCGGGGGTCCGGGGGCCCAGCAGCAGTACCTCGCCCGGTACAGTGGTGAGGGGGATGTGCCAGACGGAGGTCACAACGAGTCGGAGGACGCGCAGGTGCGCCGCGTGATTAATGCCGCGAAGGATCAGGCTGACTTGGAGGCGAAATATGCGGAGATGGAGGACAAGGAGGAGGAGGCGTTGATGGCACGTATCAAGGCGCTGCGGGAGGGACGCAAATAGGCCAGATACAGCGCCTTCACCAACCGTTTTTTTTTCCTTTCTGTGTGTGTGTGTGTGTGTGTGAACTTGTGACGTAGTACTGTCGTGGCGACTTCTTCCTCCGCTGCGTGATCTTCGAGAAATGACGCGACGTTGCTTTCTTCATATTTTCCTTTTTTTGTTGTTGCTTGCGTTGCGTTACGTAGTAGTGTGAAAGTAAGACAAGATGAATGCACACAGAATTGGCGGTATCCGCGAGTTTCACTTCGATGTCTTCTCTTATGGCGCATGTGCAGATCACAGCTGACAGCCGCAGATGATGCGCTTTGCTGGGTCTCGGGGGACGTCAATGTGTACTGCAATATCGCATCGCGCTTGTCCTCTCGCATGTTACTTCGTACATTTGCCGGAAACAAAAAGGTCTCCGTTGCTTTGGCGTTAAATGAACTGTTTTTCTCTTTTTCAGAATTCATGTACATTGCCCTTTCTTCTTAACATTCACCCCCGACTTATCCCTCTTGCACCCGTTTTTCCTTCGCCCCTTTCCCCTTCTCGGTAATACAGGGGCGAGTAACGGTGCCGTTTGCTCTCTTGGCTGAGTTCGTTTGTTTATCCACGGACCTCTTTTCTTCTCTTTCTCTTGCCTTTTTTTTTTTGCTTTTTGAGGGGCGGTTGTGGTTGATATTTCGTACACGTCGGAACGGAATTAAGTGCTTATCCTCTCTCTATACATATATATTAGTAGAGAAGGAGGAAGAGAATGGGTATACTCGCTCATGCGAAGCGCAGGGCGACCGCGGAGGTCTTCCTCGCTGCCCTTCTTTCCCTCTTGCTTGTCGCCAGCCTGTCTGCCTCTGCCGCGCCGACGAAGGAGTCCCACCTGCACTGCAGCCCAACCGAGACGGAGCCCTACGGCTCCATCAACTGCGTCATCAACGTTCGCGACGGCTTCCAGGAGCCAACGATGAGCTTTAACCCAGCGCAGTTTACGGTGGTGGCGCGGGCATCCAACAACGCGGCTGTGGTCACGACGAGCGAGATGGCGCGTGGCACCGACATCACAACGGTCGTCTTCTCGCTCACCGCCTCGACCGGGACGGATTTGTTCATTCGCGTGTTCCTGCAAGACACCACCACGGCAGGCACGGGGACGGCCGTGGCGGAGATCCGGGGCAGCGGCATCACCGTGTCCATCCTCTCATGGCCTGCGTCGTTCATGGGCGCGCTGACGTGTAACGCAACGTCGACCGGGCTGTCGCTGCGCGGCTCCACGCTGTGTCGAGCCCCCCTCTACGACAATAATAACGCCGCCTCGGTGCTGCACAGCTCTGATGTGATCTTTAGCGAGGCGAATGTGCTCGGCAGCTTCTCCTTTGTCTCCGGCACCCGCGAGCTCGTCTTCCTCTTTACGGCGCCGGCCAGCACACCCGTAGTGGTGTCCACATTTACCGTGAAGGTGCGCATCCGCGGCCAAGACATCGCGAAGAACCCCAACAGCGTCCAAAGCACTCAGCTCCCGCTGCTCTACCCACAAATGATGGCCCTGGCGGCGTACACAGGGGTGCGCTGCGCGACCGAGACACGGCCCATCACGTGCTCCGTAACCGCCTCAGACGCGCAGGGCCCCGTCGCTTTCAACGCCTCACAATTCTGCATTCAAGTAGAGCGCTTAATGGATGGAAGTTCCAGCAGCGGAGGGACGCCATACAAGTACTGGATGGACACCACGCACACGCTGGCCTTGACGGTGCGCCGCTCCGACACGCGGCCGTGGGTCGGGGTGCTGCAGTGGGAGCCCAAAGTGAAGGATTCGATCTTCGAGGCTCGACTGCGGGTGCAGACCTCCGTCGACGGGACAGCGATCGCCGGCAGCGGCAGCGGCAGTGGCAGCTGTCTCAACTCTAAAGCCGCCGACGTCGCTGGCAGCCCGTTTCCCTTCGTCAATGGTGTCCTGCCCAACTCGCAGTCCGTCACGCTACGGGGCTGCCGCACCTCCGTCATCGCGTCAGGCAACACGACTGTCTGCTTCATCGACTTGGCGAACAACGTGGCGGGGGACTCGGCGTACTACATCGTCTCTACGACGCACCGCCACTCCTCGGTGTCGAACTTCACCTACGTGGACAACGACGCGTTGTGTCAGTGCCGCTCTCTGTGGTTCACCTATCACGCCCCAACCTCGCTCACCGCACGTGTGGACGACTGCGTCAACGTCACCGTCTACACCGATTTTGCGCGGACTCCGGCGAGTGTGGTGACGGCGATGAACGTGCCGTACCGTCTGAACGTCTTTCCAGTAGCCAGCGGCCCCGGTCACGACACCTCGCCGGGGTCGTCTGCCGCGGCCATCGTAGTGGTGGGCATCCTCTTCTACGGTGGCGTGCTTGGCGTGGGCACCTACCTAATTGTGCGTCGCTCCCGCAAGGCAGCCCGCATCCGCCTCGAGCGGGTACTAAAGGCCCGCAACGCAGCGGCCGAGATGGCAAAGCGAGGCAGCAGCGGCAGCGGCGGCAATGCAGGGGCAGGCGGTGACGGCGCTGGTGGGGTGGATGGACTGGGCGGTGCACCAGCGCTGTCACCGCCTGCAGGGGCGACCGATGTGACGCGCACCCCCGCCGGCGTACCCGCGGGGGCGGCGCAGGGGGAGGGAGCCTTAAGTCGCAGCAGCAGCAGCGCCGTGGTGCACTCCGCCCCCCTCAGTGCCTCTGCGCATGGGCGCAGCGCACCGGACGTGGACGGTACGATGTCGAGTCGCAACGCCGCCCCGCCGCCGACGGCGGTGGTGAGCAACGCGGCCGTAATGCAGGAGCGGTTTCACTCCGACAGCGACTAGAGACAAGATGGAGAAAGGGAGGAAGGAAGAGAAAGGGAACGCATCCCACAAACAAGCAACGAAGGCATGCTATACGAGAAGCCCTGCTGTTCATTACTGCTGCTTTCGCTCGAGCACACAACCGCGCCCCTCGTTTTTGTTGTTGTTGGCTACGAGCGTGGGCCGGTCCAAGAGCGCACCTTCTTCGGTTATGAGACCGAGCGTTCTGTGTTGTCACGATGGGCTGACGCGAGTACGGTGGCTTCTCCCTGGCAAGAGTTGAACCGCGTCCGTCCACTCATTTTCTTGCTGGTGTGCGCCATCAACGTCTTTTGATGAGTCACCATTGAGCAGTTGTTTATCGAAGACAGAACAGAGCGGAATACGGCGAAAAATAAACCGAAACATTTTATTATTGTTATTTGTGTGTGTGCCGCTCTTTATGCCAAAGAGAGGGCCCTCTGCATCTACCGAGGCAGCTGGGTGGAACTTGATGTTACTGAAACGGCTTTCTGCTCTCTCTCTCTCTCTTTCAGTTGTGGTTTACCTTTGCTACCATGGACATTACTCGCATAAGTACTGTTTTCATCCTCCACACTTCCTTCATGAATGTATCGGCCCTCTCCTTACTCTTCTTATTGTTATTATTATTACTGTCTCCGTCACCTTCGGCGCTCATCGATACCAACTGTGTCTTCTTCCGTGATGCCCCCAACAAAAACGCACTGTGTGGCACGAAAACGATCCCTTTAGGCTGCACTTCGTCGTTTTCTCGCGAACACGTTCCAACCACCTCCATTGCTTTTTTTGCTTGTTTTCACAACCTTCGAAAGACAAAAGAAAAAAGTTCTTTTTTCCCCAGCTTACTGTACACCAGAAGTGCTCAATTGGCCTTCCCCCCTCCTCCCTCTCTCCCTCTCTTCCCTGCAACATCAAGTGAGGTACTGCATTATATTAGTCTTGCCATATTTATCGCTTTGTTACGGAGACACCAAACTTTGCCTGCAAATCTGAAATCCACATCGCTTTTCTTTCTTTGTTCTTTATATACCACCTCTCTTCTACATCACAAACATACACATAAGAAAAGGAAAAACAAACGTTCTCGTTGGCCCCCGCAGCAGTCCTCTTACACGAAGCCAGCAGAGTCCTACAATTCACAACGCAAACTTTAACATTGTCTGTGCGCTTGCTTCTTCTTTTCGCTGCTGCTGTTCTTTTCTTCTCTTTCTCAACATTTGGTGCTACCGATCAAAACAAAAAAAAACGCCGGCAAATTACGACTGCTGTACCGCGAAGTTAACTCTTACCCTCTACCCCTTGCGCTTGCGACTCGACCCCCATCGCAGTCCCTTTTCCTGTGTTCATTAGGGCGAAGCCAGAAAAAGAAGCGTTCTAACCGATGGCCCCCCTAAGTCGCAGCACATGCGGGGCCTTCCTGCCCCTGCTCTTCCTTGTCTCCGTCATTGTCGCGCTGCCCCACGTCAACGCCGCTGCCGCGGTGACAACCGCCTCCTGTGCCGTGAATGCTGATGGGTCGTGCCTCAACACCACGGTGTCGTTCACCGGCACCGACCTCGACAAGGTCGCGTCTGTGCGCATCGGCCTCACGCCTGCTGACGAGGCGCTCATCAAATGCGACACCGTCAAGCCCTCCGCCAAGGCTGTGACGTGCACCCTCGCCGTGGCGTCGTCAGCCAAAGCGGGTCTGTACCCTGCCACGCTGGCGCTGTCCGACGGGACGCAGGTGGAGGCGGGCAGCTTCCTCATCGGCAACACGTACGAGCAGAAGAGCCTGCCGCGGTGGACCAGCACGACCAAGTCCAGCAACTACCGCGTGACGGGGCAGTCCAGCGACTGGCCCTCCACCGGCGACACCTGGTCCGTCAGTGGCACCTTCAACCCCGCAAGCACGTACAGCATCGTGTTCTACAACAATCAAAAGAAGGCCGCCATCGACAGCCCCGGCACGCCGACCTGCGCGCCTGTCAAGGTCACCGCCACCACGCTCACCTGCACCATCACGTCCGCCAACGGCGTCATGGGCATGTACAACTTCCTGGTGCGGGACAGCACCAACAACGCGCTGCTGCTCGGCTCCAGCTCCCTCCCCATGCTGGCCGTCAACCCGCCGTTGCCGGAGGTCACGGGCGCGAGCGGCGACTGCGCGACCAGCAGCGCGTCCTGCGTGAACGGCGCGGCGCTGACCATCACAGGCACCAACTTCAACTACCGCAGCGCGGCGTACCAGCAGTTCTTCGTCGGCGTGACCAGCGCGCAGCGCCGCGCCATCCAACTGGCGACCACCGCAGTCGACAAAAAGGGCGTCACAGAACAGCGCGTCCTGCGTGAACGGCGCGGCGCTGACCATCTCAGGCATCAACTTCAACTCCCGCAAAGCGGCGTACCAGCAGTTCTTCGTCGGCGTGAACGACGCGCAGCGCAGTGCCATCCAGCTCGTTCCCGCCACGATAGAAAACCAAAAGGATGTAATCACGGAGCTGCGTATTAAGGGCAACGTTCTCGCTGGCAGCTACCCCATCTTTGTGAAGGTGCAGGTATGCACGTCGGGCATGCTGTCGCCGCTGCGCTTTGTTGGCAATTTGGTCCTTCGCGGTGGATCCGTTCCGGGTTTTAACAGGGACGAGATGAACGGAGCCATGACCGATGGCGGGAAATGCCCTGGGTGGTCGAATCAGACACCAGCATACAAAGCCGCCGTTGCCTTTGCGGTTATATTTGCCCTTCTCTTTCTTGGACTTCTCATTGCACTCATTGTTGTTTGTTGCCGCTACACGTTGATTCGCAAAGGTCGAGTCGTCCGCGATGCCTTCTTCGACGCGCCGCGGTCCGAGATGAACGCCGACTCCACGACCCAGAATTATTTCAACACCGCTGCTCCATCGAGGTACGACAACGATCGTGCGTGAACATCAAGGGAAAAAAAAATGTGAGTGCCATACGGGTCGATACTCGTGTGTTTATTTATATATATATATATAATGAGTGGTATAAGTTCAAGGCCATCCACATATTGCGAGGATTCCTCTTCATGCCTTGCAACATGCATGTTGGCCGTCGCATGGCGCTCAGAACCGCTGGATGTGTCACTTCAAAAAGAAGAAGAATGAAACGGACTTAGCGTGTTTCTGCGACCGATCTGATAGTGGAGGACTTTGTTACCTCGCTTGCGTCATACCTTTCTCGGCCTTCCCGTTGATGAGCAACGCTACTCCACAAAGCCCACGTAACGTGAACCCGCAGAGGAGGAGAAGGTGCGTTCGTTTTCTTTTATTTTATTTGTTTTGTTTTCCCTCTCTCATCATCTAACCTACCAAGGTCAATAGGTGGATTCGTTGCTGCACGGCTCGTTATGTCACATGGACCTGTTTGGGGTTCGCTTTCAGAAAAGAAAAGAAAAAGAATATCCTCCGCTGCGCAGGACGTTGGACACAACAAACGATGGTCGGTATATATGAACCCGTGTTCGCGGATCCGATGGAAAAAGAGAAACGATACCTTTTATTGTTTTATGTTGCGTTGATGCAAACGTTCTTTCAGTTGTTGCCTCTCCAACGAGTGAGCGTCACGTGAAGCTAAGTTTTTCCACGTGGTGTGTTTGCGTCTGGCAACGAGAGCGGTAAGCAAGAGAATCGGAGTTACATGTACGCTGCGCATCAAGATGAAACTGGCGGCCTAAAGTCGTAAGCGCCTCCGTTCTTTAATTGTGTATTGTGCGACAAAGACAGCAGGATAGACTTTCTTTTCCAATGTAGTCTAATTAACACTAATAATTTTTCTTTCAAGGTATCAGAATAGTTACTTTGTTATTATCTGAGGTGTCCGCAGAGCAAAAGAAAGAATGAAAACAGACTGTACGTTTTTTAATGGTCGCGCATTCACCTGGAGCGGTTTTTGTCACGACAAAAAGAAAGAAAAAGAATTCAGGATGATTTCAATGCGGCGCAGTAGGTTCATATGCGTCCGTGTGAACCCTTTCGTACAGCATCGATCCGCTCCGTTTTCTTTTTTTCCATCAAGTTTCAGCACGTCGTATTTCCCATTACGTGCCTTTCCCTATCCCCATTGCAACATTAATACTCTCCGTCACCACCTCCCATTTGTTTTCTGGTCTCTGATTGCACGGCGGCGCGCATAAAACCATTCAAAAAAACATCATCTCTCAAACGCACAACTAAACTGCCGCTTTTCTCCCTCCTTTTCCACTTCCAACTCGGCGCAGAAGAAAGACTCTCCGCTACCCCCGCACTTCTTTTCTATCTCGATTTGATAAATCAGGTGTTTGCCGAGTAGCAAACGGTTATTTGTTTTCCCCCAGTTATTTTTGTTTTTTGTTCACAAAGCAGCACAGTACACGCGCTTTTGTCGGTCTCAAGTCGATGTGAAAGGAAAGGCAAGTCCTCACGTTACTGCAAATTGTCACACTTCAACTATTCTTTTTTGCTGTTGACCTTGAAAGACTTACCTCGTATCCGTCATTTTCTCTCTTTTTATTCGGCCTACTTGTCGAACCATATTTTGTAGGCAAACTGCCACGTGACCAGCGCAGTGTTTAGGCAATTAACATATAATATATATTTATATATTTATATACTCTTTTTTTTCTTAGTTCGCTGTAGTGAACTTTAGCCCAATTATCTTTTTTTAACCTTTTTTTTATCAGAAGACGTTTTTTTCCTTGCTTTTCTTTCGTGGTGACAGACAGACCCCTAAACGCAGCAACACTTCAAGCTGTTCTCTAAAACGAAACCTAGCGGACGCCGGAATTGCTGCCTATCGTTTTTTCTCAAGCCTGAGCCCCCGTGCCTTCTTCGTTTCTCTGAAGCAAAACTGACAATTCGGAAGGGTTCACGAAATCCTCTGCTTAAGGAGCAGGTCACGGCTAACACAAGGACTTCTTTTTTTTTCAGATTGATCTGTCTTTAGATCTGTCCATTCTTAGTTTTGAACGCAGATAACAGCGCTTGATTGGTGCTCTCGGATTTCGCTGCGGAATTCTTGACAAGCAGCGCTCCATAAACACACCGGAAAAGAGAGTTGACGTTGTGGACGCGATATTTAGTGAAAGAAGAAATTTTTTGTTTTAGATTTTTCCTCCGCCACGTTGTAAAGCTGCGCTAACAGTATCATACTATCTTACGGTGATTATTGTGTGTGTGTTTGTGTTTGTGACACACGACAACCACCGTCAAGTGCAATCGCGAGGACACAGCCGACACTCAGCATAGTGGGCCAATAAAAAAGAGCTGTTTTCGTGAACGAGCGCTCAATTATTTACTCGACCAATTGTGGAACTGCTGCAATTCATAGGAGCCGCGGTTTGCACATTGTTGTTCACTCTCTGTTTAGTAGTTTCTATCTTTTCATTTTTTTTTCGGTGTTGCTCTGCAGCATTTTTCTTTTAAACACAGGAAAAGAAAAGGAGGCACCCTTTACGTGAACTGCTGCTTCCAATGAGCTCCGTTACCCTACCATGCAACATGGCCGGACGTGCTCCACGTCTCCTGTTGTTGCGTACAACAGCTTTATTATATCTGTTCTTTGTGGTGATCATTGTCGCGCTGCCCCACGTCAACGCCGCTGCCGCGGTGACAACCGCCTCCTGTGCCGTGAATGCTGATGGGTCGTGCCTCAACACCACGGTGTCGTTCACCGGCACCGACCTCGACAAGGTCGCGTCTGTGCGCATCGGCCTCACGCCTGCTGACGAGGCGCTCATCAAATGCGACACCGTCAAGCCCTCCGCCAAGGCTGTGACGTGCACCCTCGCCGTGGCGTCGTCAGCCAAAGCGGGTCTGTACCCTGCCACGCTGGCGCTGTCCGACGGGACGCAGGTGGAGGCGGGCAGCTTCCTCATCGGCAACACGTACGAGCAGAAGAGCCTGCCGCGGTGGACCAGCACGACCAAGTCCAGCAACTACCGCGTGACGGGGCAGTCCAGCGACTGGCCCTCCACCGGCGACACCTGGTCCGTCAGTGGCACCTTCAACCCCGCAAGCACGTACAGCATCGTGTTCTACAACAATCAAAAGAAGGCCGCCATCGACAGCCCCGGCACGCCGACCTGCGCGCCTGTCAAGGTCACCGCCACCACGCTCACCTGCACCATCACGTCCGCCAACGGCGTCATGGGCATGTACAACTTCCTGGTGCGGGACAGCACCAACAACGCGCTGCTGCTCGGCTCCAGCTCCCTCCCCATGCTGGCCGTCAACCCGCCGTTGCCGGAGGTCACGGGCGCGAGCGGCGACTGCGCGACGTTGCGGTCACCCTCGCGAACGGCGTACCCGCAGGTACGTACCCTGTGTACGTGAAGCTGCAGGTTTGCATGATGGGCATGATGTCGCCGCTGTACTACGTGGGCAACCTCGTGATCGGTGGCGGCGGCAGCGTGGCCGGGTTCGAGGTGGGCAACGCAGCCGCCATCGGCACCAAGGTGGTGTCCGGCTTCTGCTACGACGGCGACGACCTGTGCCGCAACGCCATCGTCACGCTGACCGGCACGGAGCTGGCGTCCGTGGCGTCCGTGCTGGTCGGGTCGACCGCGGGCGAGCAGGCGCAGCTGCCGTGCCCGCTCACCGGCAGCCCCACGGCGCGCACGGTGTCCTGCAACCTGGCGCCGGCGCCGTCGGTCGGAAACGGCGTGTACCCGGTGACGCTGGTGCTGAGCAGCGGTGCAAAGGTGGAGGCGGGCAGCCTGGCCGTGGGCACGTTCCTGGAGGCCAAGGGCGTGGCCGGGTGGGCGAACACGTCCGGCTCCAGCAACTACCGCGTGACGGGGCAGTCCAGCGACTGGCCCTCCACCGGCGACACCTGGTCCGTCAGTGGCACCTTCAACCCCGCAAGCACGTACAGCATCGTGTTCTACAACAATCAAAAGAAGGCCGCCATCGACAGCCCCGGCACGCCGACCTGCGCGCCTGTCAAGGTCACCGCCACCACGCTCACCTGCACCATCACGTCCGCCAACGGCGTCATGGGCATGTACAACTTCCTGGTGCGGGACAGCACCAACAACGCGCTGCTGCTCGGCTCCAGCTCCCTCCCCATGCTGGCCGTCAACCCGCCGTTGCCGGAGGTCACGGGCGCGAGCGGCGACTGCGCGACCAGCAGCGCGTCCTGCGTGAACGGCGCGGCGCTGACCATCACAGGCACCAACTTCAACTACCGCAGCGCGGCGTACCAGCAGTTCTTCGTCGGCGTGACCAGCGCGCAGCGCCGCGCCATCCAACTGGCGACCACCGCAGTCGACAAAAAGGGCGTCACACTTCAGCTTCGCACCTACGGCAATGTCGGCGCTGGCAGCTACCCCATCTTTGTGAAGGTGCAGGTGTGCATGATGGGCATGATGTCGCCGCTGCGCTTTGTTGGCAATTTGGTTCTCGGTGCCGCGGGTCAAACGCCGGGCTTTAACCTGGATATGCCAAACGGGGTCACGGATGATGGGGAGCCCTCTCGTTCTCGTATGTCAGGTGGTTATTTTGCGGCCGTCGTGTTTGCGTGTTTGTTGGGCGTGCTGTTCCTCATTGCATTGATTGCTTTGATTGTCATGGTCGTCCGTCAGCGCAGGCGGAGCCGGCGTTGGGGCATGCGGGAAGAGTACTTGGCATCTCAACAATACAACAGCGCCAGTGGAGACTTCGCGATGCCGAAGGTGCAGGATTGCAACACGCCGTACGGAGCAAATTAGCAAGGTAAATGGCGAGACACTCTATGTGGTTTACCGGATTCTTTCTGTAAGATATTCTTTTCAGTACGTTTCTCTCTCATTTTTAATCATTTTTTGTAAGGGACTCTAGATCAAAAATAGCAGAGAAATGCAGAAGCTCTCAGCAAAGGCGGTCGATGGAGACTCGGTGTACATGACAACTGTCGGACCCGATAGCGCTAGACGCGAGTTGCTACTCCGACGATTTGCGCCACGAAAAGAGGGATGGTGGCCCACATTGCTTCCCCTGCCTCTACTTTGCCAACCAAAGGGTGTTTCTCTTGCATGCTGAGGAAGCACAATGGGAGCAACAGCCCTAACAAAAGGTCTGCGGCGCTGCTCGGGGTTTTTTCTCCTCGGTCTGCAAGTTTCTTTAATGCGCCGTTTTGAGAACCTGAGTCGTTTGGATGCATTCTTTGTCGCTGTTCTCGCTCTCCTATTTTCTCAATTCTTTCCTTCTTCTTTCTTCTGCATTTCCCCCCACCCCCATGCACTCGCGCATTCGCTGTCATTATTGGTTTCGCGACACCGCATGTCTCTCGTTCCCTGCGTAACTCCAAATCGGCTCCTTTGGCATTTTAAGCTACAACTTTTTTTCTCCCCTTTTCGCAGATATTAGCACCTTACTTTCAAAACCTACTTTTCATTTTTCGACTGTAATTCCGTCCCCATACACATTTCTCTCACTCACAGGTTTTCGCGTCGCTCCTGCACAACTGTTCTGACGGAGATTCTTTTATAGTAGGAACGCCCTCATTTTTTTTTTGCTCTACGCGAACATTCATGGTGCGCCAGCACAGCTAACAACTTACAGTGACTTCTCTTTTCACACGCAAGAGAACCAGAGGAAAAAGGAAAAAGATAATAAACCCTTTCCGCTGACGTATTGCTTTACTTTTCTCTTGCCTCCGAGCGGCCTTCTCATTTCGGGTGCTGACAACACTTGACACCGAAAAGGAAGGACAAATCCACGGTTATTGCAAACGCACCACCAACCTGTAGAATTAACCTCAAAGTAATTTAACTCCTTTGTTTTCTCTAAGCTCGCCGATCTTTTTCATTTCCTGCCTCAAGCATTTTTGGTCTCTTTTTTGTTTCTTTGTTTGTTTGTCTCTCGTCGCCCTTCGACTTTAGAACAGCGCCGATGTACACGGAACAGAACTGGAACGACAGCTACGGCACCTCCGGCGTGCCGCGCCTCTCGTGTGGGCCGGCGAACGCCCGCGGTGGCGCTGGTGGCAACGTGGGCAGCTACGATGCCGGCAACGTCGCCTCCTCAGCGGGCCAGTACAGCGCCGTGACGGCGGCTCGTCAGTCGCCGCAGCCGGTCCCCTTCTACCCTCCCACTTCCTCGCGCTTCACGCCGATGGACTTCGAGCTGTTCATCAACAGCAACCGCGACCCAACGGATGAAATGCGCCGCTCGCAGGAGTATTACTACTGGTATCACAGCAAGCAGCCGCGCGACCCGCGCGCGCCGCCCCCGCTGCCCTCGATCGAGGTGCAAGAGGCCCTCAGCAACATGGAGACCCCGTGGGAGGACGTGACCGCCATCACCTCCGTCACGGCCGGCCGCGGTGTCGGCGTCGGCCCTGCCGGGCGTAAGATGGGCGGCAAGAGTCTCGCCCTCGACGCGAAGGACCTGCGGGAGACGCAGGCGACACACGCGATCAACCCGTACGGTCTCAGCCTCATGAACAGCGACAACATGCTGAGCCCCGGCACGCAGTTCTTCGCGGCGTACGCGCCGACGCCGCTGGCCATGGCAACGCCCAGCACGCTGCGCGCCTACGCCCACGGCCAGCTGCCCGTCCCACAGTCGCAGATGCGTGCACAGGAGGCCGAGCTGGGCGGCGGCGGTGGCAACACCGCAGGAGTCCCGTATGCCCGTAGTGCCGGCACTGCCGTGGCGGCAGCGGCGAAGAGCATCGCCTCGCAGCAGTACTACACGCAGGAGCCAATGAACACCTTTGGGCTGTACGGCGCGGGCACGGAGGGCGGTGGCGCCAACTACTACGACGCGACCCACGGTAGCAGCAGCGGCCCGGGCACCGCAAACCAGGGCAGCTACCAGCTGATGAGCAACGTGGGCGAGGTGGATGCGGGTATGATGTACGGTCAGGCAGAGCTGGGCGGCTTCCAGGGTCGCGGCGTCGGCCGTGGTGGGGCCAACCGCCGCTTCAACAGCGCCAACCCCAATGCAAACGCGAACAGCGGCGGCAACGCCTTCGGTGGCGGCCGCGGCGGCCGTGGCGGCTTCCGCGGTGCACGTGGCGCGGGAGGGATGGGCGGCATGGAGGGCCCGGGCCACCGCTTCATCGGCTCCGACAAGCTCCGTCAATTCCGTCACGACGTGGCAGAACAGAAAAGTTCGCAGTGGTCGCTGGAGGACCTGCAGGGCTACGCCGTGGAGTTCGCGAAGGATCAGGAGGGCAGCCGCTTCATCCAAAGCGCCGTCGACTACGCGGCGCCTGAGGCGCTGGACAACACCTTCTTGGAGATTTTTGCCTCCCCGCTGGAGCTGGTCACCGACATCTTCGGCAATTACGTGTTGCAGAAGCTGTTAGAAAAGGGCAACCCAGCACAGCTGACGTTTGCGGCGGAGCGTCTGCGCGGGCACGTCGTGGATCTCACCATGCAGACCTACGGCTGCCGTGTGATTCAGAAGTGCATCGAGGTGATGCCGCAGGCGGGGCTCGATGTCATCCTGGCTGAGCTGAAAGACAACGTGGCGAAGTGCATCCAAGACCAGAACGGCAATCACGTCATCCAGAAGTGTGTGGAAGTCATCCCACACCAGTGCGGCTTCATCATCTCCGCCTTCGCAGGCCGTGTGATAGAGCTGGCGACGCACGCCTACGGCTGCCGAGTGATTCAGTGCATCATGCAGCACTGCCCGGAGCAGGAGGATACGATCTTTAGCGAGCTGCTCAAGGCAGTGGATGTGCTGGCGAAGGATCAGTACGGCAACTACGTCATCCAGCACGTGCTGCAACACGTCAAGGATGAGAGCAAGGTGGAGCGCATCTACGCGGCACTGAAGCACAAGTTCTTCATCCTCAGCAAGCAGAAATTCGCCTCCAACGTGATGGAGAAGATGTACGCCCGCTCCAAGCCGGCGAACCGCATGGCGATTGTGGAGATGATGTGTGCCGACTTCCCCGCCAAGGCCGACCAGGTAGAAATTGTGTCCTTCACGAGGTCCGCAAACAAGACGGCCGCGATGGTGAACGCGGAGGAAGGGACGTGGCCGCCCAGCAAGAGCAACTCCGACGGCACCATGAAGGAGGTGAAGGAGCGGAACCGCGAGGCGAAGGATGCCGCGATGGGCATCGTGGAGTCGGCCGTCTCCATTGGCCTGGGTCAGCCCAGCATGCTGTGCCTCATGATGAGTGACCAGTACGCCAACTACGTGGTGCAGCGGGTGCTGGACGCGTCCGAGGTGGACCAGTTCGTGAAGCTGGTCGACAACATCGAGAAGTACATTCTGCCGATTCGCACCTACACCTACGGCCGCCCCATCGTTCAGCGCCTGTCGCGTCGCAAGCTCGTCCTCGCCCCGGGCGACGACGCCAACGAGACAACGAGCAACCCGGCGAACAGCGGTAGCAATCCGAATAGCCACGGCAACCACTACGACAACAATAGTCGCAACAACAGTCATCGCCGTCAATATGCGTAACTCTCTCTCTCTAATCATAGTCGACGAGGCGGTAAAGGAAAAACTAACAAAGCAGCTGAAGGAACAACGACAAAAAAAGAACGTAGCTATAAGTAAATGAATGTACCCACTTTTTTTGTTTGTTTTGTTCTTCTTTCCTTCCCCACGTAGCGCTTGCCATTCAACGGAGATGTTGTTATTGCTGCGGTGTGGTGCTGCAACGCGCTTCGTTGATGTTGACTTTTCTTCTTCTTAATAACTGGACAAGTCTCTTAGTGTTGTTGTTTTATGTTTTGTAACAGATGTATTGTATTAGGAAGAAACGACGCCTTCTGTGCTTTGGTTCCCCTCCCCGTCTTGTCCGCTGTCACCGCAGACCCTTCGTCATCTTCGCCTTTTATCCATGCAGGTATTGAAGTGCTTTTCTTTTTGTAGTTATTGTTGTTGGTTGTCCTTGCCCTCACACACACACACACACTTCTTTTCTTTCTCTCTTTGACTTTGTGCGGTATGAAAGAACCTTTTTTTGCTGCTGTTGTTGTAAAGCCACACTTCCTCATCAGGCACGCACCACTGGACACAGTTGTGAGGAGCGAGAAGTTTTTTTTTATCCGCTTAGGAGCATAGGACTCTTACGGAGCGACTCGCTTGCATCTCAAAGAAAAAGAGGAAAAAACTTCGAAAAGAGAAACCAATTTTTATCTTCTTTGTCTTTCCGTCCTCTTCTTTTCTCTCTCTCTCAAAAGTGTCCTTTTCTCTTTTCATTCTTTCCCAGTGTTGTTTAAACGGGTGTCACTCGCCGCCTCTTTTGCGGAATCTTTCCTCTATCGTGTGTCGGACTTACTCTCCCATTGACGTTAGCAGCCTCCCAATTCTTGTTTGTGTGTGTTTGTTTGGATGAAGCTTGTGTTGTTTTAAATCGACTCTTTTCTTTCTGTTTTTTTTTTTTAATTCACTGAACGATTTCAGATGTATAGGTGTCTTTTTTCTTCTTTCCGATGTATATGCTTTTTCTTTATCCACCTCTCTTCTCACAAGAGGCGGAAAGTGCTGGTGGTTATTTCTCTCTCTCTGGCTTTCTCTTGGGCCTTTGCCCACAGTGTAAGCTGATTGCGTGGTGGCCTTGGTCGACGTGTTTCATTCGATTCATTCGATGGCGTTTTTGTGGAGGCATCTGTCGCTTTATTACAGTTATTACGCTCTCTTTTTCTTTTTTGTGCAATGCTCACATATTCTTATTCCGTCTCCAGTGCCCTCAAGCGTCAAGGTCAGAGAAGAGCAGATAAGGTGTTGTGCAGCGTTACCTTGAGAAAACACTTTATTTATCTGAGGGGGGGGGGTGTTGTTGGTGGTGCTGGTGGTGTGATGATAATTAGTGGGCACGGAAAACTTCAAAGTCCGTTTACTCTAAATATGCGTTTCGCTGACAATGCTTCTGTTAGCTCTTGAAATAACGTCGGTGTCATGAACTCTAAGAGGAAGAAACTGGTTTTCGCTTTTTCATCTTGTGCTTTCTTTTTTTTTTCGTGGTCGCTTGCCCTCATGGTATACACCTACATGAGCTTTCTGAGTCACCACAATGCCGCTGATGTCTTGTTGTCTTGCGGTGCATCGACGACCCTGCTTCCCCCTAACTGTTTAAAGCCAGCACTGTATGCAAGCTCGTGATGAAGTGCACCCTCAGTGCGTATGGACGAACGCTTTCATGGCTAGTGTAACTCGCTCCCTCTCTCTTCTTTTTTTTTCCTTTTGTTATGCGGAGCAGTAGTATTAGTATTATTATTATTGGTCTCACGTCTCCTCTCTTTCCCTCTCGCCCGTCGCTGCCTTCGCACACATTCGGTTGAATCCGCAGTTATTCTTTGTTATTCTCTCGCCGCATCCGTCGACGAAGATCCCCCTCACAACAACGTCGCTGTATCCTCAGAAAACACGAGCGCAGGTATCTTTACTCTCTTTGTGTTTTGATTTAGTTTTCACTTTTTATTTTTCTCCTATTTTTTTTCCCTTTGCCGTGGGCTTCTTCCTCCCTCACCGGCTCTCTCACCGCCTCCCCACTGCCTTCTCGCATCCTCCCCGCACGGCTGCTGGAAACTGCTGATAAGTGTGTTGGTTCGATGGTTTGTTTTTGTAAGAGAAGGCAGAAAAGATCGAGAGAAGCAGGACGGGAAGAGGTGGTGAGGTCTCCCGAGGAGAGAACGCTGTTTTATCCTCTTTGATTTTTGTTTGTTCCCTTTCAGGAGTGTGCGTGTGCGTGTGCGTGTGCGTGCGTATGTGCGTTTTCTTTTTCTTTTTTCTTTCCTACTGTTTCTGTTTTCTCTCTATTGATATTTGTGTAGACTGTGAAGCTGTTTTTTCTTTCTTTGAAGCCGCACATTTAACGGCAAAAGCACTCACAAAAAAAGAAAATAATAATAACTCCCTGGAAACACATCAGGTGAAGACGATCAAGTAAACAAAATAGCAGTGCAAGGCTAAATTTTTCTTTTTGTCGTCAGCCGCTTTTCTTGAATTTGTAGATACATATATATATATATATATGTTTTTATACGTACTCTGCTCCACCCAACTGAGGAACGAGGTCGGCAGCGTTAGAGAGAAACTGCCAGACAATGGAAATGAGAGAACGGAGTACGACGATATCAGAATGTAAAACAACACTGCCATTTTTTTTTCTTCCAAGCACCTTTTCCTCTTCTGTTTTTTTGTATTATGTTGAAGTGTCTCTCACTCCTAGAGTTTACTAACTTAATCTTTCTGTCTTTCTTCTGTTTGAGCGAGCGAAACTGTGTTTTAAAAGAAACCTTTACTGTGTTTCCATACAATTCTTTTGAAGCACATCAGCATTTTCTCACGGTTCTCTGCTGTGAGCTCGTTTCGAATTGGGAGGAACTGCACCCGATGAGTCCCGCATGAATCTGAGTGCTTTCTGGTTTGCGTACTGTCTCATGCCCTGTGTGTGTGTATGCGTGTGTAAAGTATTCTTTTCTCCTCTTCAGCGCCATTCTTATCGCGATGTCTTGTAAATGTAAAACGTCGAAAGGAGAGAAGCGATGCGCAGTGCTTGAAATTAAACAGCAACAGTAACAGAGAAAGCTTATTACTTATCTTCTCTCTCACAGGAAGAGAATCACGCCTAAAGCACATGTGAGAGCAATGAGAAAAAGCAATATTTTCTTGCAAGACAAGTTAATGGCAAAGATAAACTCGAGAGACGCGGGGTCTCTATTTCTTTTTTTCTTCTCTGAGGGAGGCTGTGACATGCATACATGAAAACGCTGTCGAAACTGCTGTGTTTATGCTGCTCCATACTGTCTATTCATCCGCACACGAGCATGCGTTTCTTCGCCAATGGGTAAAGCGTGTTGCAAGCCTCTTTCTTCGCCTTTTGTTTTTCTTCCTTCTCTGAGTGTGCGGCCTTTTATTATATTGTAAGTTGTTCGCTTTTTTTTCTTTCTTCTAATAAGATTTTTTACATTTACATATATATTTGTTGAAAATGAATGAAGTGCATTTCGAACTCTGCGTTGGTATTTTGGATTTTCGTTTTCCCTTCTTTTTCTCCAATTGAATTTGTTTTTTCCCTCTCGACGGTGGAAGTGCAAGTAACGTGTAAATGTGGTAACTGGACATTTTACATTAGAGGCATTTACAAGGCGAAGGGGCGAGAATAACCTGCGTTGAAGAAACCCAAATTAAATACACATGTGTCTGAACGTGAAGAGAAGAGAACGTGTGTTCATTCGTGACCGAACCGCATCACGTCTCGCCGCTCCTATTTGCTTTCCTCTCTCTCTCTCTCTCTTTCCACCAAGTTCCAAAAACTTGTTGCTTCATGGTCGACTTATTACCTTAAGTTCCTTCATCACACCTTTGAGCCTGTTTCCCCCGTTCCTGTCTGTGCATTTTCACAGCGTAACTCTCTTCTTCTTCTTTTTTTTTTCTCTGGAGGGGGTCGTCCCACTATTTACGTCGCCTCGTGTCAAAACGTACGGGTGTGTTTGTTTGTTTTTGTAGAAAGATTTTTATATCCAAAAAGAAGTCGTGTTTTACGTTCTCTCCGTTGCTTTTTGATTTTCGTTTTCTTTTGTTTTCCTTTTTTTGGTTATTTGCAACGGCAAAGTCCGGGCTTGTTTGAGCACGAAGGCCCTGTTGGGGCATCTTCTTTGATTTGCTGTCGGTTGTGTTTGTTTGTTGTCTTTTGTGGTAGCGTTTCGCTTTCTCGTTTGTTTGTTTGTTTTATTCTGTTTTGTGTGCTTTGATTTCTAAATCATGAATGATCGCCCTGATGTTAAAACCGAGTGCAAGCATACATCGCTGTTCATGGATGTGCTGTAGAAACATACCCAAGTAAAACACGAACGCGTGACGAACACGCCACCGCTGTGGATGACCTCAGAGGCGGCAAAAAAAGAAAAAGCTGCTCTCCAGGAGTACGGAAGCGCTCCTGGTGTGGTTGATCTTTTCTTTCTTTCTTTTTCCAGTTGCGAAGTCAGGCCGCCTGTCAGGTCGAAGCGTCTTGGCCTCCTCCATCACGGCGGTTCTGCTCCACGCAGGCAAAAGTCAGGAGCAGCAGCAACAGAACGGCGCAGTGGAATGTTACATCTGTGTGTGTGTGTGTGCGTGCGTTCTAAATGGTTTCGCCGTCGCTGCTGCGTCTTTCCTGCGGACGTCAAGCAAAAAAGCGAGTAGCGTTACTGAGCGTTCATCATGCGGAAGTCTTGCCATCTTTCAGTAGCGCTTCACCCACTCCCCTTTTCTTCCTCATACACCCCTTTATATCTTTCTCTTTTTTTTTCTCATTCTGCTGCTCCTGGGCTGATGCATACTCAAGCCCGAATAATTAAAAAAGAGGAAAAAAGCACCTACAGCTTTTAGTGGATCGTAGGAAACAACGTAACCCACAAAACTCCATCTAGGACCATTTGAAACTAGGCAAGTAGACACATACTTGATTTTGTTTTGCTGCGTGCGGCTCCCTCTTCTTTTTTGTTTCTCCTTCTCGTCCTCCCACAACGAATCATGTTCGCCCGCCGCTCTCTGCTGTTGTCGTCGAGTCAGCTGGCCACTCGCCGCGCCGCCCTCCTAAGCGGTGCCGTCGCATTGCGTGTGCCCGCCACTCGCCCTGGAATGGCCTCCTCCCTGCAGAACCCCAGCGCCGCGTTGACGTGTGCGAGGCGTCAGTACCTCGGTGCAACGGTGTTACCGAACTTCATGACCCACTGCACGCAGATCGGTGCCTGCACGTCGCTCTCGACGCTTCTCTATAGTCCCATCGGAACTGCCATGATTGTGATTCTGGCGTACAACGTCGTTGTGATCTGCTCAAAGCACGTGAACTATTCGTTGGAGATCACGGCGAAGGACTACGTGCAGGACCAGCAGCTCCTCACAATTATGCGCTACGGTATCCTTAGCTGCATTCTTCTCGGTATGGAAGTGATGTTTATTGAGGTATAAAGTGGACTCTTTGTCGTCTCGTTCGGGGGCGGATTTAGCTCTTCTTTTGAGGAGTTCTCCTTTCCAGAAAAAAAAAGGAAAAGAAGATTTCACCAGGTGCAGGAACCGGTTCTCGCACGCGGGGGAGTTATCACGTCCCGGTTGTGTGTCACCGTAGTTCTTCTTTCCTCGAAGACGTCAACTTGTTGTTTTCACATTTTCACAGCAGCAGCGGCGAACGAGATGTTCTGGCGCCTTCTTTTTCTCCTCTTCTCGCGGCTGAAACTGAGAACTGGAGCCAATGGTCCGATCACGCGTTCGTGCGACCGCCGTCCTGTGTCACGTAAATCCAAACCAAAAAAAGGAAAAACCAAGGAGGAATAAAAGCCTAGCGCAAATGATGTTTTCGTCGTTTCCCGATCTTCGCTTTTCCTTTCTCTTCTTTTCCATTATGAAGGACCTTCTTAGTTACTGTTAGTAGACGATTCAAAAGAATGAACGACCAAGAGGGTGAAAAGGCAATGTACAGGCACTGCGCGTGTGTAATTCGTGTTCGCGTCTTTTACGTGAGTTTGGAGCAGCGAAAACGATGAAAGGCAACATGCGTTCGTTTTGCGATGACGGAGGTGGCCAGTCGAGAACGCGGCGTTGCGAAGTGGGCGAACTCTTCCTTATTGGTGTGGGGGTGAGAGGGAGAGTTACTTGGGATAGCTGCACGTGACGAGAGCTTTGGTGTGGGGTCCTGTATGACACCTGTCTCTTTCCTTCATATTCAACCTCGTCCTTCTCCTTCTCCGCCTCTGTCCGGTTTGTGTGTACTCATTCACCTTCTCGCCAAACGCACCAGCAAACAGCGAAGGGAAAAGCTAAAGCTGACAAGCAAAAGCTGTTCTTGCAAGTAGTTGCTGCGGCGTTTCCTTTTATTCTGTCGATCATCTTTTTATGAATATACCCTTTCCTTCTCTCATTCCCAGTCACCACCACCCAAAAGAAAAAAGAATCAAGATACTTCGTCATGTCCCCTTCGGAAGACGACGAGCAGCTCTCGCACAACGAGTCCGACGTCGAGGTCGACGATCATCAGGAGGAAGAGGAAGAAGAATCTGAGGAAAATGCTGGCTCAAGCGACAGCGACGACGACAGCACACGGCAACCAGCCGATGCCGCGGCCCAGAGAGCGGAAGACAACTTCGATGTGGAGGAAGATGCTATTGCGCCAAAGCCCTTCCCACGCACTATTCAGCTGACCCTACCCGCTCAGCAAGCACTGGCGTCTTCTTTCTCGACCAACTTGGAAGAAGGACCCACGTGCGTGCACGTGTGTTTGACGCGCGGCGCCATTGACCTCTCTACGCCGCTGCTGTCCACTGACGCACATCGAGCAGCAGCGGCGGCGTCCCACAAGGCCCACGAAGACGCGCTGGAGGAATCGGATGTCCTCACGACAGCGGCGCGCCTGCAAGGCTGCTGTGCCGATGCGCACCGCTTTGAAACGGACTACGCGGCTCGACTCGCTGCACTGCGTCGCCGGCAGATCCTCCGTCGTTTGCAAGGCGACCCCGAACGTCAGCGGCGCTTTTTGGAAAAGGAGCAGAAGAGGACCCAACCGCTTGTCCAGCAGACGGAGCACGATGAAGAAGATGGCGGCGTGCAAAATGCCGCAGACGACGACATCGACGGCACAGATCCGGTGGGAGACGTGGTGTGGCCGTGGACCAGCACCCAGCAGCCCCCACCCTACTGGCTGCCGTCGCTGCTCGCCAATGACGCGCAGACCTTTGAGCGGGTCCTGCATGTCATGTACGGGTGGGTGATCGCGCCAGACCCGCACCCGTCCGACCGGCTGCGACTCAATGCAGCCGGTCAGCTTATCTCCGGCCCATCGGATGGGACAGGGCACGGAAGGGGTGAGGACGAGGACGACGACTTGGAGCAGGCGGACCCGGCCGTCCACAAGCCGGACTTCTTTCTTCCGTCGCACGCCTTCGGTGAAGGGGAGAACAGCCAGAGAGAGGAGGAGGAAGACGAAGACGACGACGACGACAACGAAAAGGGGGCTAGCGTGTTAACCGGTAAAGGCGACAACGCGCAGGAGCCGCAGCGGGCCTCGAAGAGTCTTCTCAACGACTTCAACGAGTGTGAGGCGGACGGCAACGATGGGCTGCTGGCGCTGCCGCAGCAACCGGATTCACCCTCAGCGGTGCGGGTGTCGGTTATGCCGCCCTCTTCCGAGGCCTATTCGAAGAACCCACCGCTGACAAAGCTGAGCACTGCGACGGCCCCTCCGCCGGTCGTGGCGCTGCCCTCCTTTCCCTTCGCCAACTACGAATTCTTCATTGTACAGGATAGCACCAGCAAAGAGTGGCACCTGCTGGACACGCACCCCCTCTTCGTGATGGAGGCGTGCCGGCGTCAACACGCAGCGCAGCTGCGGGCGCAGCAAGGGCGATCCGACGCGCCACCGCAGCAAGACGAGGAAGAGGAGGGGGAGGAAGAGAGTAGCGATCCCGTAGACTCGCAAGACGAAGAGAGCGACGGCGCGAAGGACCTGCTGTGCCCTGTTCCGTCCTACAACATGCAGACTCTGACGCCGGTGAGCCCCATCATCCTCGCCGCCCTCTTCTCCGCGCCGGCTCTGCGGTGCGGTCTTCTCCAGCCACTCACGTCGGCGGACAGCGAGGCCGCGGAGGCGCAGGAGGAGAGCGGACGCGATGAGGCCGATGAAGGCGAGCACGCGCAAGGTATTAAGCCGAGTCAGCGCGTGTCGGACCGCGGCGTACTGCGCACCTTCGACCACGCCTGGCTCTCCACCGACGTGGCCGTCGCCTTGCCCATCTTGGCTACCATCTGCCGTGCACGTCAACACGTGCTGCAGCAGGACGCCACGCGCATTCCGTACCCTCTCGGCTCGCTTTGGCTTGATGTGAGCCCGCTGTTTGCGTTGGCCGGGTTCAAAGACGCCTCGCAACACGTCAGTCCGGCTGATGTGCGGCAATGGTGCGTCGGTCCGGGTGAAGAAGAACTGGACAAGGAAGAAGACAGAGGAGACGAGGAAGACGAACATCGTATGGGTGGGGCTGCAGAGCAAGGCACGCAGTGCAGTCGACGTGCAACGGCCGTAGGGGCGGCCTCCGCCGCGCTGCCGCACAAGTGGGAGACGGCGCTGGACCACATCCTTTCCCCCGAACACTACGGACGCGTGGTGCTTTCGGCCCTGCTCGCCGCCGGCATCTTGCCCACGCGGGCGGTGGGGTTAAAGCTCTTTCATCGACTCGACGGTGTGCGTCTGGCGCTGTGGTGGTGGCTGCGGCTACCGCAGAACCTCCTACGCAAATGGAGCATCGACAATGACGATGGCGCTGCGGAAGAGGAAGCAGAGGCGAAGGAGGAGGACGACGACGGTGAAGAAGAAGAGGATATCGACGCAATCCTGAATGGGACGCAGGCGGACGAGGCGACCGAGCTCCTCGCGCAACGGGTGGCCGTCCTGCAGCGGCGCGACGAACAGCAACGACGTCATCGACAGCAGCAACAGCTGGGACCGGTGCTCTCGTTTGCCCCGCTGCTGGAGCGCGTTTTACTGGAACTGCAGCGCCGCCTTGACCGCTGCTACGTCGGGGACAGCCAAGGCACGCCGCTGCCGCCGTCGCAGTTTAGCCTGCAGGAGAGCGTGGCCCGCACGTATGCGGTGGAGCGCCTCGACAGCGGACGCCCCCGGCAGGATCCTCTCGTCACAACGGCTTTTGTGGGCATGTGCGTGCCGGATGTGCACAGCGGTAGAAGTGACAGCGCGGGCGATAACGACGTGCAGCGAGCTGGTCCTGCTACGGTGCGGCACCAGCGGCTGTATCAGAGTGATTTGGTGCTCCTCGCGCTGTCCCTGACTACGACGCCGGCGTCAGAGGCAGTGCAAGAGGGCGCCATAGCGACGTCGGCGCTGCCGCAGCGCTTCATCGCCGTCGACGTGGAGGACGCAACGGCAGCGGACGACCTTGCGGACGGTGACCGCGAGGATGCCCACACCGCTCTTTTCCGCCACCTCTTCGAAGCAAAGCTGCTTCGCTGCGTGTGCAGCCCAGTCGATCGCGCGCGGGCCGGCACGACGAAGCTGTTGCTGCTGAGCGCTGCCGATTTCTGCCTCTCCGCCACGCGGAAGTGCGTCTTTGCGCACCTGCCTTTGTATGAGCTGTTCGGCAACACGGGCTACTGTCCGCTGCCGGAGTTGGTGCAGTCCTGGGCGAGTGCGGCCTCACGAAGCAGCAGCAGCGACACGGATGCAGAGGACCAGCAGATGCAGAGCACCGTTACCGACTTCGCCTTTTACCTCTGGAATGAGGTGCGGTGGCGGCTGCGTAAAGGGCAGTACGATGAGGCAGTGGTGATGCACATGCGCGAGCAGCTGCCGGAACTGTTCACGCTTATCGAGTCCCACACCACCACCTACTACGCGATCCTTGCCCGTTTGCAGGCAGAAGCGGAGGGAGAGGCAAGGATCGAGGAGGCAAACGCAGCGAAGGCTGTGTCCGCACATTCCCTTACCCCCCGATTGCCGCATCAGAAGGCGTCACCGCGGCTCAGCGCAGCAGCCGCATCCGTAGCGGCAAATCAAACAGCCCCCGCCCGCGCAGGCCGTCCGCAGCGGCCGTTGTTGGTCAGCGGCACAGTGTTGCGCGCCGCAACGCAGCAGGCACGAGCGGAGATCCACGACGCCCGGATAGCCGCAGCGACGGCACTCCATCTCACTTCCTCCGACAGCAACCCCTACCCCGCCGTCGCATCCACGTCGGTCGCTGGGCCGCTCCCCCTCACCGTCGCCCACCCAAACGTTTACAGTGCATCGGTGCTCGAGGCGAAGGCGCACGTGTACGACCTCTGGCGCACCTTTTCGGTGGCCCCCACGACGTACCTCACCGCAGAGACGCTCCACATTCTGTTGTTTGGTCGCTCTGCCGATGAGAACGGCGGGGCGGACCGCGCGGCGGCGACGGCGTCGTTGCCGCGGCGCCCCTTCAGCACCGCGGCGCTGCGTGTACTCCTCGAGTGCGGCATCAACACGGTCCAGCCGAGTCCGCTCGACGCGGCGGAAATGCCGGCGGTGGAGGCGGCGCTCCGTCGAGCTGATGTGGAAGCGGTGAAGGTGCTGTTAGGCTTGGGGGCCGCCTCGTTGCACGACCTGCGCACGGACGGCAGCTCCACGCTAGAGTCGTGGGCGGAGTCTGTCTTCACGCCGGCAGATGTGGAGGTGCTGCACTTTGTGGAGGCGAAGAACGGCAGAGCTGCCCGGTGTGACCCTCGTGTGCAATACGGCGCGCGTCGCTTCGAATCCCCCGTCATGCAGGTCCAGTAGTCGAAAGCGAGAGGAAGGTGTTTGTGTGCCTTATCGCGAGGACCAAACTACCTCGATTGTGGAAGTGAGCCGATTTGTTGTGTGTTTTCCGTCAGCGCCAGCACTTCCCCGCTGTGTAGTCTTCTTATGTATAGCCTGTCGAAGTGTTTTTTCTGTTGTATTATCATTTTGTTTGTTTTATGTTACTATTACCCGTGTGTCTTCTTTCCCCTCTTTCCTCTCGGGTTGGTCTTTGCGGAAGACGTCGCAGCGCTGCCTTTTTTTCTTTCAGGTGGCCGCGTGGCAAAGACGTACACACATGTAATCTACCACATCGATGTACACGTTTCCGTTACTTCTGTAAAGCATTTTTCATCTCTTGTTGACCTTGTAGCTTTTCAAAAGAAACAGCATTTAGAAATGAATAGAAGCTGAAACCGAAAACACACGCCCATCCGGACAGAAAGCGGGAGGCCTCGCTGCACACCTTGAATGGGCAGCAGTCGTGGGTGTTGCCCATTTGCCCTTAAAGCTCTTGCTTTGTCCGTAATGAGATGATGGCATGGGCCTGCTTTTCCCCTCAGAGCATGTAATCCCTTCTTCGCCCATCGTGATTGAGTCAAGTAGTGTCATCGCTATTCATCTTTTTTCCTTTTCCCCTCTTGTCATCCTTGATCGTTTCTGGTTGTTTTGCTTTGGGTTGATACGTGCACTGACAAATGAAAGCGTCCAAGAGAGGTGCATTAGCTGAGACCTGATGCCACGCTCCTTCCTCGCGATGGACCTCCGACGTATTATCTATTCACCGTCGCCACGTCCCGCCCATCGAGTGGCAAACCTCGAGAAGGCCCATCAGCGGCACTGCTCGCCGAGCGGCTATACTGAAATGTAGCCGACACTCGATAAAAGTCCGATAAATAATACATACGCACCAACTCAATCGCCATCGCTTCCGACTTCGTCGTTCCCTTGCGCATTGCAGACAGCACCGATGTGTTGTCGATCAAAATGCGCAAAGTACTTGGCAGTCGCTCGCGAAAGACCGTCAACCCGTACCAAACAGTCCGGTGCTTCAGCCTGTATGATCAACATCGGGGGAGGGGGGACTCCACTTGTATCCCATATCAACCGCATTGCGTGCTTCGCGGCCCCTCCCTTGATGGAGTGCGCCGTGTAGCCCTTTCCCAGTGACTTCAACTTTAGGGCGGCCTGACTCGTGGTCATCGTCGTCAACGGCTCCCCCGGTCCCAGTCGTGTCTTCAACAAGAGAAGATCGGCGGCATCCTGTCCTTTGATCCACACATACCGGCTGGACCGGTAAGGGTCGCTTTTGGAGGCCTTGGGGACCGCCGCCTAGTCCAGTATGATGTTGCCATGGGGTTGCACCAGCAGATTGTCCGTCGTGAGCCCGGCGATCTCCGCCCAGCGACTCGCCGTGATCCATGCCAGCCGCCACACAACCTTGTCGCGCCACGCTGGCGTCTCCGCAATGACCCGTCCGAGGTCTTCGAGTGTCAAGGGCACCGCGTGCCTGACCTCTTCCGTCGCCGCCACCTTCCGCATGCCCTGGAGGTATTGGTCTAAGGCGGTCACCGTCGGATCCAGCATCGTCCTCAACGTGACGCCGTACTGCACCTTGGTCGACCCCTTGTGTGCTCGAGACTCGAGGAAGAGCGGAACGGTGGTCGACACAGCGGGCAGTCGCATCTTGTCGCAAAACTCCTCGAACATCCGCCAGATCGACGCTCGCTGCTCCCAGGTGCTCTTTTCCAATCGGCGATGTGCCACTTCGTTGGCTCGCTCCTCGAGCATCACCAGCGTAGGATTTTGTGGTGCCAGCTCGTTGCGGTATACGCGGTCGCCGGTCCCCGTGTGCTTTAAGATTGGAGACGGATTGATTCGCAGCACAGGGTTGAATTCCTTCCCTACACCCACGGGTGCTCCCACATCCATCATTTCTGGCAACAAAGAGAACGGTTGAGGGGGACTCTCCACCACGGCGCGCAGCACTATTTTGGAACTGCCGGTATCTAGAGTGTCTGTCGATGTGCAAACCGGCAGTTGAGGCGCCGGAGGCGGACGAAACAGAAAGGTTCATTTGGTCCCCCTGTTTTGGTTTTTTGACGTATCGCTCGATGTAGAGCGTTTTGCGCTGTACGATCGTGCAACCTTCCGCGAACCGGAAAAGGAACGCGGTCCCCTAGCCGGGCACTGGGCTGCCAAATGCTGCGAAGATCCGCAACTGAAACAGCATCGCCCCTTTTTAACGGCGCTCTTCTTTGCGGGGGCAATGGCCATGATGAGACCCATCAACGCATCCATTCCGGTGTCTCTGTCCCGCCTGGCCGTCGCCAGTTTCGCGTACGTCAAGTCTGGAAAGGCGTTCGATTTCAGCGCCACTGTCAGCCGCGAAATGTGGTCGTTTCCCAGCTCAGCCTGATACTCAAACAGGCTGGGCATCTGCTGGGCACTCTGAACCCAGTCCAGAAGGGAAGAGTAATACCCCTGCGCCTCCGCGTTTGGCACGTTCAGCTGTCCATCAAAGAACAGCTTCCGGAGGGCAATATCTACCTCAGTCCACGTGAGGCCGTCCAGGGCACCGCGCCATGTGCGCACATCCGTCACGTCAAAGGCTTCGTCGTCATCGCTGACCTCGGAAGCGGCCCCCTTTGTACGCTGAGGAGACGGCGGGGAAACACGCACCGTATGAAGCCCCTCGGCAGCAACAGCCGAACGCGGCGAACGTGTTGTCCCGTGCTGTGCCCGAGCGAGCGACTGACGGACCTCGTCACACTCGTTCAGAACGCGCTTTTCCAACAACTTCAAGTTTTGCTCGAGGACGGCGATCTTACCGCCCGAGCGGAAGGTGAATCTCGTGAATTGGCCTGTCAAGGCCGAGAGACTTTTGATCGGTCTCCGCCACAGCCTCCTGCACCTTCACCAACCGCGCTGTGAAATCCCTGCACCACTGTCTCACCTCCGCAGCATCATCTCCATGAGCCGACTCGGCCGCGGCAGTCGTGGTGAGGAGGCGCTCTATGCGCTCCATTTTCTCAGGATATTTCTTCTGCGCCTCCTTAACGTCGTTAAGGCGTTCCTCGAAGCGCTTCTCCGCGTGCACGCTCTGTTCCTTCAGACGCGCCACTTCCACGTCGCGCGCCAATCTATCGGCCGCCGCGGCGTCCCGAGTCCGGTATAACTCGTCCTGCAAGGTCCGCACCGTCTCCGCCAGACGAGCCACCTCACTGCGCAGGCTGAGGAGTTCAGGGGAGTCCCTGCCCGCCGACTGTTCCATCGGACTCAGTCGGAGCTCAACCTGAGCAACTCTCTCACGCTCACGCTGAGCCAACTCTCGCTCAAACTCCAGCCGCGACGTCACAGCCTGTAACTGCGTGACGATATTGGCGTCCCTCCCTGCGCTGAACGCCAGCGACGCTGAAACAGCCTACGCTGCCGCGGACACGTGCCTATCCAAGGTCGAGGTGGTGTTCACCTGCAGGGATGTAAGTGCGGACGTGATCGTGTTCGCGTTTATCCCCTGCTGCTGCTCGAGGGACTGCAACCGTCCCTCCTGGTTGCCCATGATCTGGTACAGCTCGCCCATGCGCTGCTGTATCTCCGGGTCCACAAACTCCACACGAGTGATGGGCAGTTCGCAGCTGCTCCACATCACGGTCGTGTTGGTCGTGCCAACGAAAAGCATCAACCGACCGCTGCACATGCCGACCTGGCATAGCATTGGGACCTCAGTCCTGTCCGCCGTCTGGCGGAACATGCGCACGGCGGTGGGGCCCTCCTGGAGGAGGGGGCTGTTGGCGAGGTGTTGCTCCATCACCCCCCACTGTCCGCGCGGAATCAAGGCCATCCTTGACGAAAAGTCCTACTGAATGCACTATAAAAACTAGCGGATAAATTGTTACCTAGAAAGAAAGCTGAAAGGAAAAAACTCAAAAGGTGCGAGAACTTTGATTCTGCAAATCCCAAAGATAAGGCGAGAGAGAGTAGTAGAGGTAGAAATCGCGTCATCAGCAACTGTCGGAGCCATTGCTCCTCATCCTCCCCGGATCATTCTTCTTCCTCTCATCATTCCACTCTTTTTATCCACTACCACAAAACGCAATGGTAGGCAGGTGTCACGTCTCTTGGTTTTCATCTGAGTGCTAATTTGCGGTCACAGTCTCTTTTGACCTCAACGATACCATTCGTTCTCCGACGTGTACACAGTCCCACCCTTCTCCTTGTTTGCTTCACTATTATTGTATTTATTTTGCAAGGATGGACGGCGTCGCTCTCTTCGCCCCGCTGCTCCAACTAAATCCGCCGGTGCTCGTACGAACCAACGGAGACGCCGGCGTGATTGATGTGGCTGCACTTCGGCGTGCCGGCGGTGGCAGCACAAGTAACGGCGGCGGCGGTGCCTGCACCAGCACCAGCAGCCGCACTTCCCCTGCGCCGACCCGCAAAGCCTCCACGGCCACCTCGAACAGCCGATCCACCGCCGTCGCATCCCTCGCCGCACGCAAGCTGCACGAGGCCAAGTCTACCGCACGCCAAGTCTCCCGCACCGGCGACGTGCCACCACGCGCACACACGACGGAGATGCCGGGACGGCGAAAAGAGTCGATGGGCACGCAGCAAAAAGCGGCACACGCCGTAAACGGTGGACCGCGGGCGGCGGACCGCTCGTCTTGCGGAGCCACCGGCTCTGCTCCGCCTTCACCCACCGCCGCTGCGGGACGCGGCGTGGCCGCCCAGCCGCCGCCGACCGCCGGCTTGACTCCCTTCACCAACGAGGAGGATCCATCTACGCCGGCAGTCACGGCGGTGGCTGCGGCAGCCGCCTCGCCGGGTGACCAAAACCTACTCTTCAACCTGCCGTACCTCATGCGACACATACAAGACACCGGTGCCCTCCTTGACACGTTGTTTCCCCTGCAGCTCCCGCAGAGGTTGGCAAATGACGGCAGCGGCAGCGGCAACGAGGAGGAAGCAGCGGCGACGGAGATGGTGTCAGTGCAAACGGTGTCGGCCGCGCCGGCGTCACGCGAAGCCGTGATAGCGCTGCACGCCACGCTGCGGGCGCGTCTCGAAGCCCGTCGCGCGCGTCCCACCGGCTTGTGCGGGATTCGTCGCTCCGTCTACGCCGATCTATTCTCCGAGTTGGTGCGCCAAGTCACGATTGAAGAGCCGGCGCGTGGGCTGCTGCTCGCGCGGGTGCGAGAAAACGAGGAGCACGCCCTGCAGGTCCACGCCGCCCTCCTCCGCGAAAGCGAAAACTTTGTCGCCGGCAAGCTGCTTCAGGAGACGCAGAGCGTGACGGCGCTGATGAAGCGCCTGTCGGAGTTGCGTGAGGAGAAGAAGCAGTTGGAGGTGCGAAAGCACGATTTGCACGATGAGCGTCAGAAGCTGGAGCAACTCTTTGATGAGCAGCGGCAGATTCGGAAGGTGCAGCAGCAAGACGAACTAAACTACCTGCGCCGCGCGAATCAGCAGCTGAGTCTCAGACTGAAGATGGAGACGGAGCGCGCCTCAGTGGGAGACGGTAATGGAGGCGCTGAAGAGAGCGCTGTTGTGGCGAGCTCAAGCGCCCTCGTCGCCGCTTCGTAGTACTCGTGAACTCTGCCTCGTCGTGAAGAAGATCCAGAGTGCCGCGCGCTGTCTTCTCGGGGCGTTGCTTATGTAAACAGAAAAAGAAGAACTTTCTTGAGCGCGATTGTGCCCAGTGTCGCTTGCACTCAACCTATGTTTGTGTGGTTGTTGGATTATGGCTTCTCTCCATGGAGTTGCCTCTTGGTGAATCATGTACAAAAGCTGTGTTGGACTGTTTCTTGCGGTACCTTTACTGTCTCCCGTGTTCCGCGCCTTTTCTTTTCCCTGTACCGCTTCAAAGGCGGTCTCTGCGGAGCCATTTGTGTCATCGTGAAAGCTTCCAGCAATACTTGTACAAGCGAGAAATCGACTACGTAAAGCGGACTGCGCGCCCCTCCGCCGTACCGTTTGAACTGGATAGACCGTTGTCCTCTGCCTTCTGGGTTGCGTGAAGGGAGTGGTCTGCATCGACGGTGTGCCTCGATGCCCTTAAAAAAGCTTCAGCCAAGAATAAAATCTTCCTTTGGGGTCCGTTCACCTTTCAAGTCTTTTCCACTCCCTCTCCTCGTCACTATTAGTATTAGTATTATTCCGGCCAATTGGGTACGTCTTTGGTGTGTGTGTGTGTTGTCTTTTGCGAGAAAAGAAGAAATTAGAAACGTCATTTACCGACTCCGTTGACCCTTCCACTTTTTGCACCCATCCGGGTTTATTTTTTCTCTGAGGCGTGGTCTGAAAAGAAGAAGATGAAAGATGGAAGGCGACGCTAGCCCTTCGCGACATCGTCTGGTACACGTGCGCGGCGGCGCACGGATGCTCCTCACGGCGCTCTGCATCTCGCTCCCCCACTGGGCTCAAAACAACCTTGCGTCGTTGCTGAGGCTCATCCCTTTTCTGGCTCTCCTGACGGCGCCGCAGCTTGACACCGCCGTCATGCGGCGCGTCATCGAGCCGCTGTTTTTGAGAGCTGTGGCGGAGGTCACGGGCAGCCACGACACGCTTTCGCAGTGGAGACCCGGACTGCACACTTCTCGGTTCCTCGCTATCGCCTGGCAACTCATCCTGGTCGGGTGCTTAAGGGATAAAGACCTGGCCAGGCTGGTCACGAGCTCCCCATCTCCGTCAAACGACCTCTCGCCGGCGGATCAGCTAGCCCTTCTCAGCGATCGAGCCCTGTGTGAGCATGTGCTGTCAGTCGTGGAGCAGTCCACCCCTGCGTGGTCGCCAGCGAGTCAGCGAGCGGCTCCCAGCGGGTCTGACTCACGCGTATCGGCATCTCTCTTTGCCACCACCACACCCGTGGCGTTGGCGTCGTTCCTGCATCACGTAATGGCGCGCGCCGGGCACGAACCTGTCACGATCTACGTGCCAGGGCTGCTCACCGCACCATGGGCCAACCACCTCACCCCTCTCATGCGCCAGGTTCGGCGTCGGTACGGGGCGCACGTTGTGGGCTACGATGTTCGCGTGGATGCGCGGCTCTACGAGGTGGATATGCATCATTTACACCGGCTTGACGAACGCTGTCGCGCAAGCAGCAACGTGCGCTCCTCCGCACGCTCCACCACCACAACCGCCACCACGGGGGCATCGTCTACCGCGGCTGCCTCGCCTCCCCCGTCGACGAGCACGACGTCGGTGCTGCTTCTCGCCAGTCTGCGTGGACGCTCCGTGCACAACCGCGACGAAGCCTTTGAGTTTGCCAAGTCTCGCGGTTGGCAGGTGGTGGAGCTGTGCGTGCCGACTCTGCCTCTCGATGCGGTGGACTCGTTGGATGACGCAACGGCGCAGCCGCCGGTCGGGCGGACGCACTTCGCCGTAACCCCCGCGCTGGCAACCCGCCTTGCCTTTTGCACACGGCCCGACGTGCGCATCACTGCTTTCGACGACGTCGGAATGTACGGTGGTGCGGTGGTGCATCTGTGCGTCAACGATCGACGCCTCATTCCGCACATGATGAATGCGTGTCAAGTTGGTCTTTCCGATCCAGCCGGTGCACAGCCGGGTGCAACTCCAGAAGAGAATGCGGTCCGCAGCAATAAAGGTCGTCACGTGAAGGGCGCCGCGTTGCACTCTCTTCCCACCAAAGCTATTACCAGCGCCACCGACTTCACCGTGCGCTGCAGCGAATTCTTGGCGCACGTCTGGTTTCCCTGGTCGAGGTGTCTGTGCGACGTGCTGCAAGACGCTGAGGTCGCGTCACTCCTTCAGACCAAGACGAGGCTGCAGCAGGCCCTGGCAACGTCGAGTCGCGCTCTTACGCACAAGCTGTGCGGCATTCCGTCCGTGGTGCATCGTAACGTAAGGCGCCGGCTGTCTGGTGGTGCGTCACAAACTGGAACGTTCACTGGGAAGAGCGGAACAGTGGGCACCGTCGCGGACACGCAGGATGCTGGGGCCGGAGAGCAGCACATCACCGCGGACACCGCTGTAGAGCAGCGCACTGTCTACATTGCGCACCCGCTGCCGCCTCTCAGCTTGGTGCCAGCACCGACACCACCCACGCAACAGCAGCAGCATGATACCGCCACGCCTGCCGAAAAGTACGTGGAGCGAAAAGGAGCCAACGAAAGCGAAGGAGAGGAAGCGAAGTCGTCGTCGCCGTCCTCTCGCACGACGGACGGCGGAGAATGCGTGGGGGGTGCGCTGACGTCGTGGATGTCGCGGCTGCCGAAGCGGGAAGCAACGGGAGCCGCCGCGACGGGAGAAGCAGCGGAGGGCACCAATACGCCTGCGGAGTGGCGCATCCGTCTGCGCTGGACAGCGATGCTGCTCGCTGCGTATGCAACCGCCATCCCCTGCGCAGAGCCGCCGCCGTTGTCTTCTGCGCCCCCGGCGCGGGGCGCCGCATGTCTGGCGGCGTACGTTTCGCTTTGGTCCTTCGTCGCGCAGCTGCCGCCGTGGGTCGCGGCCGTCTCCGCCGAGAACGAGGCGTCGCGGCAGAACGACGGTGGCGACTGCCGCTGCGTGGAACTGGCAGCCACTGCCTTGCTGGTGCGGGTGGCCTACCCCGCCTCTCCGCGGGCGGTGGCGCAGCTGCTGTGCGACGAGGCCGCCGTGGACGCGCGGGCGGTGTCAGCCCGTACGTGGGAGGACGACGCCGGAGCAGCCACCGCGGCTCCTGACAAGCCGCCACGTACGCGTGACTTCGCATTCGACGACGTTCTTGTCATGCCAGGCTGCGCACACGTCGCGGCGCTCGCGGAGGAGCTGCTGTACATCCCGCTGAGGTTTTCCATGGATGTAAAGGCGCGTGGGGCCGTCTTGCGGGTGCTGTGGGACAAAGTCCCCCACGCCTACGGTAAGGCGGTGGCCACGCCACGACGCAGCGATGGTGCGCCTGCGACGGCAGTGCGGAGGCTGCAAACGCTTTATCGGAACTTTCTTTCAGGTACACTTCCCGCGTCCATCAGCGAAGGCGAGGCAAGACGTGCAGCGTCGAAGGAACGAAAGTACCGCCCTCTTCGCCCTTGCAGCACCAACCTCAGCGTCTCCGATCTAGACGTGGAGCGGGCACAGCAAGCGATCTTCCACAACGCGCAGTCCGCGGTCGCAGCCGCTGTTGTGACGCCGTCGTGTATGATGGATGCCACGACGTCCCTCGTACCACTGGCGAAGATCGCTGTTTTGCAAAAGGTGTTCTCGAAACTGTAATCCAGTTTTTGTGTTTATGCGGAGGAAAATGGGAAAGATATAATTAGAAAAAAACGAGGGAGACACTCGTTAGTGTCATATCTCCGTTTCTGTTAGCCGTGAAGCGTTGGTCCATTCACAGTGCATCGGCATCCATTGGCTGCGTGGCTCGTGGAGTGTGTTTGGTTTGTCGCTTTCTTCTCCTTCTCTTCTTCGGTTATGTTCGCCGTGTGGAAGGTGTTCATCACACGCCTGTACCCACGTGGCTTCACTGAACCGAGAAAAGAAAAAAGAAGCAGCGTCTGCCATCAGACTCGGCTATATAATTCTTTGCTTTTTCTTTCCATTTCCACGCTCAAGAAGCAAGCGATCTCGTTGCGTCGCTGTGCATTCGCCATCTACCGACGCTGTATCGGTCAATTTATTTGCTATTACCGCGTGTTTTCTTTTTCTTTTCTGTCCCTCTATACATATGTGTGTGCTCAAACTTTGCAAATGAACGAAGCACGTCTCTCCCTTTTCATTCCCAAGCGTAGAAGCGGGTGGCGAAGCGCTGTTGGCGCCGCTCATTTCCTGCACAATCGCACACGCAGAAGTACGCGTTCTGTTGCTGTTGTTATTGGAATTACTTTTCCCCCTCTGCTTTATCTACTTACCTCTGCAGCACACCTTTTTGACATACAGTCGCGGTGTAGCTGTTTTTTGTGGTACCTGCAGTACTCTGCGAACGTATTCTTTTTTGTTTTTCTACCACCATTTAGATCGTCAAGATGGACTCCTATGCCGACTTGCTGAACCTCAACTTCATGTACTCCCTGCGCACGGGGAACCTGCTCACGGACATGATGATTGCGGCCCTCCTCCCTCTTGTCTCCGGCGCGGTCGCCTACGTCACACGCACCTGGTGGCCACAGCTTGTGAACCGTCTGTTGGCTTACTTCTCCAACATCGACAGCACGAGTGTCTCCTTTCGCACCTCCGAAGAACACGCCTCCATTTATTACGGCTTCACTCTTCGCTTGGCCCTCTCCACGTACGTGACGAAAGTATTGCGGCCACGCTTCGATGTGGCGGAGCTGAAGTATCTCTCGATTCCCGGCAAGAGGATGCACGAAGCCGCCAGCTATGCGGAGGCGCTGCGGGACTTCTGCTTCGTCGACGCCGGGCCGGCGAAGGAGGTGCCGATGAAGCTGATGCACAACCTGGAGCTGAGGCAGTCCGACGCAGGCGGCGGGGACGAGGGGGACAAAAAGGACAAAGGGGAGGCGTCGGGTGGGTCCAAGAAGACCAAGGTCAGCCGTGACACCCTCTTCACGCTCATCCAGTACCGCCCCAGCTTTCCCACAATGAGAAAGCTGATGTGGGCTGAGGAAGCACGCGCTGACCGCGGTGCATCAGCACAGGAGTTGGCGGAGTTAGAGGAGAAGACGAAGGGGAACGGCGACGCGATCCAGCTCGTGCTGGACCGTGCCTTGGAGCACTACCGTGAGGAGTACAAGCAAGCCGGTATCAGCACCGACCGTTACCTCTACCAGCCGCTTCTCATGCGGCCGAAACTCGGCTTTGGCGTCAGCGGCGCCGACGAGAAGGCCGGGAACGAAGGCAAGATGGACTGCAACCGCTACCTTCTGCGCTCCGAGAAAACGTTCAGCTCCCTCTTCTTCCCTGAAAAGCCGCGCCTGCTACAGCTCATCGAGGACTTCGAGAACAAGACGGGCAAGTACGCCATTCCTGGTTACCCACAGAAGCTGGTGCTGCTGCTCTACGGTCCTCCCGGGACGGGTAAGACGAGTCTGGCGAAGGCCGTCGCAGCCCATACGCAGCGCGACCTCTTTGCCATCTCTCTCTCCCGCATCTGGTCGGACGAGGAGTTGCTGAAGTACATGTTCAGTGGCCACGTGAAGGTCAAGAACGAGGAGGACGAAAGCAACAACAACAGGTACGGCCGCAGCGACAACGAGGACCGAAAAGCGCTGGATCCGACGAAACTCGTGTACATCCTCGAAGACGTGGACGCGACGAGTGCGGTAGTGCTGAAGGGGGAGGAGGAGCAAGAGGAGGATGCGGCGCAGTCGGCGGCGGTGGCGGCGGCAGGGACAGAGGAGACGGAGCGCTCCTCTTCTGTGCCTGGGAGCCTTGACATGAGCGAGGCATCGAAAAGGAAAAGGAAAAAGAAGGCGAAGGGCTCGACGCGGCCGCTTTCTGACGACGGCGGCGGCAGTGAGCGCGACGGGGCAGAAGGGGCGGGAGACGAAGATGCAGCTGATGCTTCTCGCGCCGTTTCTGTTACGGGCAAGGAGACGGCAGAGTCGACAAAGGCTGACGCAGAGAGCATCTCGACGGAGCGCGAGGTGGTGGCCGTAAAGGGCAAGAATGCGAGACGCACGAGCAAGTTGACCATCAAGGGCTTGACGAACGCCTTGAACGGTGTGCTGGACTTCCCGCAGCGCATTGTGATCATGACGACGAACCACATCGAGAAGCTGCACCCGTCGCTTCTGCGCCCAGGCGTGGTAACGATGAAGCTGCACATGCACAACTTCGACGCGGACTGCGCATTGGCCATGGTGGCGCACTACTTCTCGCACACGGTGATTCGCCCCGAGCAGTTGGAGGAGCTTCGGACGCTCGTGGAGGCGGCGTCGCCTAAGGCTTCCAAGGCGGACACGACGGCGTCTGTCTCAGAGGACGCCGCTGTTGCCTCCGGTGCCGGCAACAGCACGAGTGAAACGAAGCGTTTTAGTCCGGCGGAGCTCGAGCAGCGCTGCGCGGAGTGCGAGACCATCGATGAGCTGCTGGCAGCCCTGCGCCAGGGCAGTCGAGTGAACACGTTTTAGCGAACTGTGCTGCACGTCACGTCTCTCCGTTGTGGAGGTCGCTTCCGGATTGAGCCAACGCGTGTGCGTAGCCCTCTACTTACTACGGCCGCCGCTAAAGCACTGTAACTACTATTTTTGTTACCTGTTGGTTTTTCCGCTTACGGAGGCCCTCAACAGTATTCATCTTTCTTTTCTCATATTTTCCTGTTTTTTCTGTTTTTTAGCAGATGCGCAGACGTCGTTGTGGGTGTTGTTTTCGCATGAGGCGTTGTCTGTTTTGTCATCAACGGGGAGCGTGTAGGATCACTGATGTGAGTGGGGGGAGTTGTTCATTGCGACTCGACAATGGGTAGCTGGAATTTTTTTTTATTGAAAACATTTTCTTTCCTTTTTCCTCCTTTCAGTTAGGATGGCAATGATAATATATTTGGCTCTTTCTCTCGTACACTCATGCTCTCCTCCCTTTGACGTAGCGCCAAAGTGAGCAGCACGGAACTGTAGAACCAACGTTGAAGCAAAGGAGCACTTTTTTTTTCCTTCTGCACCGCTTATTGTTGTCGTTTTCTGTCATAATCTTCTCCCTCTGATTATTATTACTATTATGAGACGTTTCTGTCAATTTTACTTTTCCCTTTCTTTGTTCGACGGGGGGGGGGGGGGGAGGGAGAAGAACCGCGAGATAGCTGTTACCGTTTCTTTTCTCACTACTTCACCGCTGTGTTAATGCGCTTCTGTTGGGAAGAGACGAACGAACCACGTAGTCTCTGTGTCTGTGTGTACGTGTGTGTTTCATTATACTGTTTCCCTACCTCTTTGCAAAGCATTTCGGTGCCGGCACTGCGCTTTGCAACGTGGCACTTGTATTTTGAAAAAGACAGGACCTCCGATCATTTACTCGCAGTGTTGCCGTTTTCCAGCAACCCCTGAAAGACAAGAGGGCAAATGGAACTGAAAGCGCGTGTGCGTGTACGAAACACACAACGAATCTCTATGAAAGACTCGCACCGGTTTTTGGCTGTTGTTGTCTTTCGCAAACAGAATATGTGACTCCCCCTACTGCATTTCTCCTCACCTTTCTCTATTTCGTTGTTAGCATTGTTGGATTGATGCAGTTGCTTCCACACAGCGAGCGCGTTTATTTCTCTGTACCGGTAGCATATATCTCTGTGGCACTTCTTTTCCTTGCATTTAGTTTAATCGAGTAAACTTAATTCCCTCCCCGTTGCTCCCTCACCATGACGGACCCCACGCGCAGGGACCCGACGGAATTTCTCCGCGTGCTGCGGCGGATGTCCAACACAACATCGTGGCAAAAAGCACTGATCTTCGCCTCCAAGGGTCGCATGGTCGGCTACCGTCTCACCCTGGAGCACTACAACACCATCCTCTACTCTCAATCCATGTGGGGACGTGCGCTCGAAATGATCAAGGTGATCCGCGCAATGCAGCAGGACGGCGTGCAACCCAACGGTGCCTCCTACTACTACATCGTGAATGGCATGGCCAACGCAGATCACGGCTACAACTATGACTTCAACATCAACAGTCGGCTGGAGAAGCTGCAGCACTGGCGAGTCGCGCTGAACGCGTTGCAGACCTGCGAGGCGAATGGCTTCGACACCACCGACACGATGCACAACTCTGTCATTGTCACAATGACGATTCCCGGCATGAATCACTGGCAGGAGGCGCTGCGTGTCCTGCAGAAGATTGTGGAGGAGGACCGGCAGCTGCACCCGAACATGGTCAGGTTTTTACACGACTGCCTCATACGCAATCACCGTCCGCGGGAGGCGAGTGACCTAATGCGGCTGGCGGCGGAGCGAGGGGTAAAAGGGTACGAAGGGGCGTGGGAGGCGGATGTGTTTAAGGGTCGCCCGACGGACGCCGAAGTTGAGGCGGCACGGCTATCGCGTGCAGCTGTCGCGAACAGCTTGAGCACCAGCTCGGGGATTAGCGATGACGAGGTCCCTAGCGGCACTACTGCTGGAGAGAAAGACGCCGCTCGCAATGCAGCAGCGGCGGCCACGGCAGCTACGCTCATGGCATTGCAGCTGCGTGGAGATCAGGCGCTGCCACCGGCGCAGATGCGCGAAGCGCTGCAGAAGGAAACCGAGCGCAACATCGCGGCGGAGCAGCGCGCGTTGCGGCCCTTCACGGCTGGTCTGCACCAGACAGAGATGAACTCCGTCTTTCGTCCGCGTGTACACCGCCAGCTGTGGTACCAGTGGCACCAAATTGCGAACCGCTACCGCCCAACGGCGTCTCTCAAGCGCAGGCAGCTGGCACCGCGTGACTCCCCCACCGGCATTCCAGCCTGGAATCGCCTGTAGCACTTTCCTGTTTGTGTTGTTGATGTTTTGAGGGCGGATGTGTTTTCCAAGGCCTTTTCGCTGCTTTTACACGAACATAAGTGGAGAGCAGCAAGCCGTTTGGCATGCCTGTCTCCGTGTGCGTCGCGAAGTTTCTCTACAGACTCCGTTGTCCATCTCCTCTCTGCTGGCAACGTAACAAACAACGCCCAAAAACAAAGATAATACTTGCCCTGCCACCCATTTCACAGCCGTGTATTGCGATACGCGCAGACTTCTTTGGCGCCTGCGACGCGGTGAGGACGTGAAGAAAGAAATCGTGGCGAGGCGCCGGAGAAGGTTGATTTGGTGTGTCTTTCAAGACGAGGCGCTGCCTTTTCGTTTTTGCGGGTGACATGTCTACCGGCCAGTTTCCTCCTCACACGAGGCCCGCTTTTTCTTTTTTCTGGAACGCTCCACTATTTTGTCAGATTACTCTCACTGCCTCTGCAAGCCTTCTCAGCTCTCGCATTTGTGCTTTCGTATGGAGATTGAAAAGCACAGGATAATAGAGGCGTCTACTCCGTACAGTAATCTCATGAACACCCGTTTTCTATGGTGCCGACTCGTCACTTCTCCCTAGCTCGACATTAAGTGCAGCCGCTACCCTATTCCCTCATCTCCTTGTTACTATTTTCACTATTATTATTGTTATTACTGGAGTCTGCTGGTCTTACTTCGTCATACGTTGACGTCATCATCATCATAATTCAAAATAGAAAATGTCCACTTGGGCCTCGCGTCTGTCCACGGCGGCCAAGTCTGTCACTTCCTCCCCGGTGACGGAGGGCCACATTGGCAGACACCGCACCGGCACCTCGACCTCCTCCTCCGCTGTCGCCTCACCCCTTAACGTAGGATCAGGTGCACCAGCAGCGGCGGCGGTGACCGCCAACGACGCCACGTCGTCCGACGTCCGCGAAGAATTTCGCCGCGTCGCGGAGAAATACAACGAGGAGAGCGCGTGCATGCTGCGCCTGCCGCCAGACTGCTGGGACCTCCTCACCGAGTTCCTTTCCTATGTAGACGTTGTTGCGCTGGGCCAGACGTGTCGCTCGCTGTGGGTGGTGCTGCACGAACGGGATAGTGTCTGGTGGCGCCAACTCGCGTACCTTCATCAGGACGTGCGCGACTTGCGTGGTGGCAACCTTCTGTGCACCGCACCGTTGTTTCCCCGGCCGCCGCCCGACGTGTGCATGAGTCAGTCCGAAAGTCTCATCCCTTCTCCGATCACGGCACCGTCCTCTTCGACAGCAAGGGTTGTCGAGGGCCGTCTGCGTTCCTTTGCGGCTCACCCGCGGCGCAGTGACTGGGTGCCCATGTCTGCCTACGAGCGCTTCTTTCAGGAGCGGCGCGTGTACGTGCTAGACGCGCACCGCGAGTGGCACTTTCAGGAGCTGGCAGACGTGGAAGACAAGGCCACGGGCATGTTCACCGTTGCGCTGCATGACGGGAGATTCGATTTCTTTTCCTCCCCGCACTCTTCCGATGCTGCGTCCCCGCCGTTCGTGTCGGCCGCCTCGCCGCCGCCGGCGCAGCTGCCCCGCTCAACCGCTTCCGCGGTCACGACGCCGATCCAGGCTGCCACCGACAGCGCACGCGACACGTCGCCGAACGTGCCGCCGTCGCCGATATCGCTGATGCCGCCACAGGTTGGCCGGGCGCTTTTCGTCGGCGCCACCGCCACCGCCACCGCAGCCCCCACGCCCCATCGACGGACCACATCGAACCAAACATCGGGAACGTCCGCGGGCAACAGTCCCGCCTTCGCGCCTTCGCCTACCCCGCCGCCACCGTCGCCGCCGCTGCTGCCGCGTGTGGGCGACCCCATCATCAACGCGCACAACCCGCTCCTGCAGCTGCGCCTCTACACCATCGACGTACACGGCGCGGAACGGCGCCTCCACGGTGCTGGAAATGCCGAGGATGACGAGGATGAAGGAGGGGAAGGCGGCAACCACACCGCGAGTGGGTCGGGGAGTCGCATGAACGGCTCCCACGGCCTGCGTTCCTCTGCCACAGAGCCGCCGGCTAACCTGGCCGGCATGAGCGACGACGAGGTGCTCGCGTACGTTATGCAGCTCTCTCTCGAAGAGGCGCAGGCAGCAACTCGGCAATCGCCCGCGCTGGCCCGTGCCACCCCACCCGTCGCGCCCCCGCAGACCGCGCACGAGCTGCCACAGGGCGGCGCCTCCAGTACACCCACCGCGGCGACGGCGGACCCGATGTGCTGGCCGCACAACCACTACCGCGGCGCACCCGGGGCGACGTCCCTCCCGCTCAGCGAGCTGCTCACGGTGATCGACTCGATCAACAACAACGCGCTCGATCAGCTGCATCACCACAAGGTCCGCGACTGCACCGCTGACGAGGACCCGAAGTTTGTGCGCCGTCTGGCCGAGACGCTACGCAGCGCGAAGCACCGGCGGCTGCACCTCGGCAACCACCACCGTGCCGTGCGCAACAACGGACAGACAACGCGCAATCGAGCCGGCCGCATCGTCAACGCCGATAGCGGCGCGGCCTTCAGCGTCTCCGTCACCTCTGGGGCCGGCGGGGGTGCGAGTTCACCGCAACCACCACCGCCGCCGCCGCCCATGAACCGCATGTTGCGCGGCTTCCATGGAGATCTATTAGAGATTACTCAGCGCGAGGCCCGCATGGTGGCTAACAAGCTGCTTGGCAAACCGAACATCATCGACGACTTCGTTGTCTTTCATTGCTACGACCCTGGCGAGCTTTACCGCCGGCTGTGTCCAGCGTCGATGGCGTATGCCGATGCGGCACCGGCACCAGCAGCGACCACAGCACCAACGCTGTCCACAACCACGCCGGAGGTGAAGCCTCCAGCTGTGAGTGCGGGTCGGCAGGTGATGAAGCATGGAACGTTGATTTCTGTGCCGGCGCCGTTGTACGTTGACCCTGTGGCGGGTGATGCCGTCAAGACCAACAGCGCCCCCGCCTCTCCCTCGATGTTGCTGCGTACGGTGATGCGCGAGCCCGCGCTGACGGCGCTGCCCTTCTTTACGCGCTTCTTCCTCGCCCCGGAGCTGTGCCACGACGGCTACGTCGCACTTCTCGTTGTGGATGTGGTGCGTGTGCTGGTGGTGGTGGACAAGGAAGTCGTCAGCACGGACAACCCCGACTGGGCGTCGCCGCTGATTGACCGCGGCGGCCGTGTTGTGGTGCCCGGGCAGGGTTACAATCCGCAGGCGTACACGCGAAGTGAGTACAACTACGTCCCGCCGAACCCGCCTCGCCGCAACCGTGAATCGAATTGAAAAAGGGACTGGGAAAGGTTTCTCCCCTGCTGAGCGTCGGTGGCCATAACTTTGTCATTTGTCTACTGACGTCATTATTATACGGCGGCGTGAGTCGAAGGTGATCTGGATAATTACAAACGAAGAAGCGACTTTTCTCTGGATAAAGGCGTAGCTCATAAAAACGCGGCGTAGTTGATGAAAGGGAGGTGCAAGGGACGTGAAGACGCCTGCATATCACTTCGTTTATGCGCCTCTGTTGATAACCTCCCAATAAATAATCATTGCCCCATATAGCGTGCCTTAAAGCCTCTCTCTCTCTCTATCTCTTGCTTTCTCCCCCTCCCCATGACGTTTCTGAGTCCTGTGTTGCGCGACGTAGCGACTGAACCGTGGACGACAGCAATCATTTGTTTTTCAGAAGAAAGAAAAGCGGGCGAACTAAGAGCATCTGTATTTTCACACCCCATCCTCACTTTTACGCACATCTACATAAATCCGATAGACACAAGCACCGATAGACTCCCTCAAAAAAAAAAGAATACAGGAGAAGGCTTCGAACACCTCCTCCAATAGAGCTTTGCACTTGGAGTTGAACGCACCCGTCCACACCCATCGTCTCCCCTTGTCATCATGCCCATTGGAATTACTTCCTCTCCGGCGGTGCAATCCAGGGGCGGTTACTCACACGGTCCGCTTAGAGATGCAGTGTACGCGGACACAAAATGCTTCCACGCTAAGAGCGCTGTGGTGGCTGTGGCCGCCAGCTACAACAGCACCATCTGGCTCGCTCTGCAAGACGGCCGGGTGGAGGTGCGCGACGCACACACCGGCCAGGCGATCCACGAGTTCGCCGCATCGCACACTCGGCAGCAGAAAACGAAGGTGTGGTGCGTGCTCTCCGTGTTCGACGTCCTCCATCAAGAAGCACAGATGTGGCTGGGGCTGAGCTCTGGGGCCATTGAGGTGTACACGGAGGCTTATGTGCTGCGCCGCCACCTCAGCAAACACCTCTCCGGCGTCTACTGCCTCACACAGTACCGCGGTGCAGTCGTGTACGCCGGCTCCACCGACTTCACCATCACGCAGTGGCGCGTGCACGACGGCCAGCTGCTGCGTGTGCTGACCGGACACGCCAACTACATTCGCTGCCTCTACGCAGAGGGCAACGCCTTGGTGAGTGGATCGGATGACAACACGATTCGTGTGTGGGACGTGGCGAGCGGGGGCTGCTTGCAACAGTACGGTCATCTGCACCGCGAGAGCGGCGGGGTTTCGGCGCTATGCCGGGTGGGGACGGCGATGTGGTCCGGCGATCACAGCGGCGCGATTGCGGTGTGGCGCCTCAAAGACGGTTTGGCGCTGTTGGTGTGTCGTCAGCTGACGAGTCGCGTGACGAGTCTCCGCAAAGTCGGTTCGCGTGTCTACGCCGGCAGCGCGGAGGGGCGCATCTGCGTGTTTAGCGCCAATGACTGCACAGTGGTGTCGCGTCTGGACGACCACCTGGGCAGCAATGTCTTCTCCATCACCTGCGCGGTGGAGGTGAATCGGTACTTTGTTTGGTCGGGGAGCGCGGACAACACCGTGCGCTGCTGGCACCACGATGAACACCAGCCTATGACGTCTGACCGCGAAGGCTTCTTGGACATGCGGTGGTACTACACCACGCAGCGGCCCAACCTGCAGGCGAACGAGGAACTGCTGGAGCAGCACCGCGAGGCGTCTGAGCTCGTCGTGCTGTCCAGCGGATCTGACGATGCAGTGCAGTCGTTTCTGGACGGCTTCGGCGAGGGCAACGAGACTGCTGCCGCGCGTTACTGGCTGCAGGACTCGAAGCTGAAGCAGACGCAGAAGAAGTGTGACAAGGCGGAGGAGGAGACGCGCTCGATTGAGGCGGTGGTGGGGCGCAAGACGCAGGTGCTGAGCCTCCTGCAACAGCAGCTGGCGAAGCTGACGGAGGCGCTGCAGACGGCCCGCCGTAACCAACCCGCCCTTGCCCAATCCATTCCCCCCGTTACCGTCGCTGGTGTGCCCAGCGTATTGCCAGCGGTGCTGCCGCCGTCAACCGTCCCGGCAGTTCAGTCACTTGCTGGTCCCTTAGCCGCCGCCCCGCCTGTCTCTATCCAGCAAATACAACTGCCGCCTGGCACGACACCGCTCCCGTCGCTACCGCCATCTGCCGTGCCCCTCCCGCCTCCAACCTCCTCTCTCATTTCTGCGCTGACGCCGGTATCTCTTCCTCCTGCTCCGCCGCAGGCTGCCGCAGCAGCAGCAGTGCCGCCACCACCACCACCACCAGCGGTGGTGCCCACACCACCACCCTCCACGACGACTGCCGTGCCAGTGACGGAGCGCTCCCCTTCCGTCTCGACTCGTGTGATCACCACAGCGCAGGTGACGCGCAGTCACAGCTTTGAGCCGGTGCTCGGGGCGTTGCCACCGCCACCGCCGTCATCATCTGCTGCTGCGACGGGAGGTCCGAAGAAGACGCTCGGGGCGTTGCTGCGCAGGAGCAGCGGTCCCACCTCCTCCTCCTTGTCATCAGCGTCTCCGTATTTGTCTCCCATAACGGCGACGCCACCGCAGCCGCCGACGGTGGTGGTGCTGTCCCTCACGGATACCGCCAAGACATCGCCCGATACGCCGATCCCAAAGCCGGCAGCGCCACGCGCGCGTCGCATGTCGTTTTAAATATAGAGAAAAGAAGAACAATGAAACGAGAAACGAGAAACGCGTGGTCTCTGCTGCATAGAAAGTGGGACGAGTTAGATTTATAAAGGGCATTTGGCGACTCTTGTAGTTCCTTGTGTGTGTGCGTGTGTTTTTCTATTGCGTTCGTGGTGTTGTGACTATCGCACACTTCCAGTACTCAGCGATACAATCACCGAGAGAACAGAAGAAACGGGCTGCTGGTATCTCGCCGTCATGTGTCGCCTTTCTTTTCTTGGTAAGTGCAGGGGCGCCGGCATTTAAACTTCACTCACAGCTTTGCAGTGCTGTGTACTGCCAAGCTGATCTCATGGATGTTTTATCCGGCTCTAGCGTTGGCTAGGAAAGCGACTTCGCTCCGTTGTTCACTGTCTGTTTCTTTTTTTCTCTTTTCCTTTTCACGGCTCTCTTCTTCGGTTGGAATGAGCATTGCTAGTGGCGTCGTTGACACACCTGTGTTGCTGCCGCACCTACTTGCTTTCCCTTGTAGGGCCGCCGCCTCGTTTTTCTTTCGCTTGTTGAGCGGCTGGAAGCGTTGACCTTACCACATTCAAGCGCAAAGCAGAGAGCACAGAGCGCACCCATCCTTTCCATTACACCTACTCGTACAAGTTTCGTTTTCCCTTTTTCATTGACGTGTACAACCTGTTACATCCTATAAACAGGGAATGACCGCCAAGCCAGAGCAGTCGGTGGCGTCCGAGCTGGTCGTGAATGACCGTACGCTCGTCGTCCCTGCCCCTCCGCTGTCGCTCACCAACTCCGGCGACCTCGTGTGGGTCGCTTTGTCGGACGGCAAGGTGGAGGTGCGCAACGCGCGTACAGGCGAAGTTGTACGCCGCTTCGAGCCGGCTCTCGCCACCACAAAGGCGGACGGCACCGGGGCTGCTGCGGGTGGTGCTGCCCCTCCCAACAGCGCTTCTGCTCTCGTCAATGCCTCCTCTGTAGTGGGCCTTCTCTCCAACCTTACCAACCGAGTCCTCGCGGGAAGTCAGACGCTGCCAGGGAGCGGTGCGTCTGCTTTGAAGAAGCAAAGCGAGGAGAGCCCCGTGCGGGTCGTTGTGCAGGTGCGCTACCTCCTCGCCGTGCCCATCGCCGACTGCAGCACACACGTGTGGCTTGGGCTCTCGAATGGCGCGATTGAGGTGCACGAAGGCGGCGATCTCCTCCACAGCTCCGTGGGGGCCGTCAGCACGTCGTCCAGCGGGGGCTTTCTGGCTGTGCTACGCAAGCACACGGCTGCCGTCACGTGTCTCGCGGAGTTTGGCGGCTATGTGTACTCGGGCAGTGAAGATCAGCGCATTGTGCAGTGGCGGGCAGCCCACTCGTCCTTTGTCAGCCTCTTCACGAGCCAGTCGCCGCACCAAGCTGCGGTGCGCTGCCTCTACGCGGAAGGCAACGCCGTCGTCTCCGGTTCGGACGACTGCACCGTGAAGGTGTGGGATGTCGGTGAAGGCACGATGCGTCTGACGGGGTACTTCCACTCCCGCAGCGGAGGTGTTCTGTCACTATGCCGCGTTGGCGAGCTTATGTGGTCGGGGGACGCCTCTGGCCAGGTGGTGCGCTGGCACATCCGCACGTGTGAGGCGGTCGCGCTGCACCGCCCCCACCGCGATCGCGTCCTGTCCTTGTGCCACGTCGGTGACCGCGTCTATTCCGGCTCGGCGGATGGCACCATGGGCATCTTCGACGCCGCGACCGGGCAGCTGCGGCAGCAGATCACGGACCAGGCGCTGGGCTGGGTGACCACCGTCGCCTGCCCAGCCGAGCTGTCTCGGTTCGTCGTCTGGTCCACCAGCGCGGATGGCGCCGTGCGGTGCTGGTATCAGGACGAGTACGTCGGCATGACGGCGGATGAGTTTCGGTTTAACGACCCGTCGTGGTACGAGTGTGGCTCGACGCCGTACCGCGAGTTTCGTGCCGCGGTAGGGCAGCGGACGAGCCGACTGAAGCGGCAGCTGGAGGCCATCGAGCAGCGGGATCAGCAGACCATGGCAGTGCTGCGCCGCTGCAGCACCGTCTTTGGCGGTGGCGGGGCGGACTTCGCAGAGCAGCAGCGACGGCTGCAGGAGCAGCTGGCGAAGGCGGAGGAGCGGTGCAGCGCTGCGGAGGCGCGTCTTGCGCAGCGGCGAGAAGTCGTCTCGCTGCACGATCGCGACATCGCGGCGACGCTGCAGCTCATACAAGCCGCAAAGAACGAGTTGAATACGTTCATGCCCGGCGAGGCGGAACGTATCTTGGCCACGCTGCCTGCTGTGAAGGCGGAGGATGTAGTCCCCTACAGCCAGTCGCAACCTCCATCGTCATCCACCGGCGCAGCGCCTCCGTCCCAGGCGCCCATGACCACCGCCGCCGGTCTTTCGACGTACGCTGCGGGAACCGCCGTCCCGTCGTGGCCGCCACCAACGCTGGCACCGCTGCCCACAACCACAACCACTGCTCCCCTTCCACCTCCGGCGGCGACCACGTCTACACTCGGTGTTGGGGGCCCTTTGTCCACTGCACCGCCTCCTCCACCTCCACCTGCTCCTGTTCCTGTTGTTCCTGCAGTGTCACCCCCCGGGGTTGATGCGGCAACAGTGACACACCCACCACCACCACCACCACCACCACCACCGGCGACAGCGGCCACCACCACCACCGCACCTCCAGCTGCAGCGTCACCTCCGCTACCTGCCCAATCGTCTAAGCTTTCACCCGCCGCGGGGGTGGCCACTGTCCCGGTGGACGACGGACTCAACTGGACGAACCCGCACGTCGGCAACTACATCCAGCGTCGTTACTACGGAGCCTCACCAAGCTTACGCACGATCGACTTGATGAAGCAAGAGCGTCGTCGGGGGCGGCTGCCGAGGGTGAAGGTGGAGCCGCTGCAGCGCGGCCGCTCGCACTCGGCGACCTCCGCGGCAACCGCCAAGTCCCGCACCAGCAGCGTCAAGGAGAGGGAGCATGTGGCGGCGGCGACAACGCCAAAGACGTCCACTACCACGACCACTACGACAGTCGTCACAACATCAGCGCAACCCGCCCCTGCGAAGTAGATAGATAGCGACATATATGGTGTGTGTGGGTGTGTGGTGGAGTCGATGGAGGTAGGAAACGCTGGCACGTCCGACGAAGGTGTGTGTGACAGATTTAATCCATTTTAGAATACAACAGTGCACAGCTGCCTGTCGCGAGTCAGCTAGTAAGCAAACCTTCGTTCTGTTTCACTCGCGCGGAATTGCCTGACCTCCCTCTTTTTCTTTTTCTGGAGCTGACGTGGAGATAGAACGCAAGCATAGAGAAATAGATCGAGTGCGGGGTTTCTTCCTTTTTCCTTTAGCATCCTGCGACTTGAAAAAATGACGCTCTTTGAAGCAGATCTATCTGCTTTTCGCAGCAGCCACATTTGTTTGTTTTTTCCCCTTCCATCTCGAGCAACAAAACCCAACAAAGAACAACGGAATACGAGAGCAACACGTTAGTGCTGAAAGCGTCGAATTACTTCAGCTGAGTATTAGCGAGCTGAACGGCTCCAATTCACCTCATCCTTTTTGGCGCAGATCATTATGATTGGGCTGTTTCCGATGTCCAGTTCACCTATTGGTCTCTTTCTCCTTCCACTGCACTGCGGCACCGCTTTTCTCCTCCTCTCTGCTTGTGTTTGATAGGCTCACGTGCAAGACAAGCTGCAACGATGAGCTTCGTTCCTCCGCCTCCGCCAGGTGTTGTGGTCCCGGCACCGCCGGCCGCCACACCCGCCCCCTCGGCCGCCTCAACCGCCGTAAAAGTCGTCAAGCCGGGAGGGGTAGCGTTGGACATGTCCGACGTCTTCGGCCCTCCGAAGACGGGTGCGAAGAAGTCCCTGCCTCCGTGGGAGCTCAAGAAGAAGTCGCCGTCGCCCGGCGCTGCCAAGCACGCCTCGGACGACTCACTCAATCCTCCTGCGGACGTCGCAGCAAGGAGCTCCTCCCCACCGGTGCCCGGACAGACGGTGTGGCCGTCCGCGAAAGTGGCGGGCAAGATCGTCTTCAAGTCCACTGCCGAAAGAAGCTACCCCTCCCTCAGCTCCCTTCCCACGGCAGGAAGCGGGGCAGACGCGGCCAACGCACCGGCCGCTGCCACGCGCAAGTCGCTACCCAACGCCTTCTTCACCGCCTCCCCGAACCGCAGCTCTTCTCCCCCACTGGCGTCTGTACGGGCCAGCACCGTGCTGCCCGCAGCGACTGTCACGGCCGCGCCAGCCGCCTCGCTTCCCCACGTCACGTGGCTCTCCACAGCAGGGCCCGTGCCGGCCGGTGCGGATGCGGTGGCTCAGTCGACGCTCGCCTCTGCTGCCGCCACGGGTGTCCCTCCGCAGCCGGGTGCGACCGCCACGCAGCCATCACCTCCGCAGCCCAGCAGCGACCCGGCTGCCCGCGCCGCGTCTGCGCGCATTGTCGATGAAGCCGTTCGGGACATCCGACTGCACCTTGCCACGCCATCGCATCCCGTGGTGGTGCCACACCTGTTGTTTCAAGGAAAGGAGCAGGTGGTGGTGGTGCCGCCGCTCGGGCCGGTGCCGCCAAAGAAGAAAAATGAGAAGGCGGTAACGGCGAAGGGGAAATCATCTTCGGTTAGTTCGGCTACCACGGCAACCGCCCCTGGAACGTGGCATAACGCGTACGATCTGAGGCCCTCGCCGTCGTGCGACCCCGAGTATCATCGTTGCTACTCGTGCACGACGTGTGCGGCAGGAGGACGGTCGACAAAGCCTGCGTGGCGGCGGGGGTACTTTCAAAACGTGGACGTGCACCGCTACATTGTTCGGCGCTACCTTGGGGAGCCGCCCCCGGTGGAGCACTAGAAAGCAGAAATGATGGCTTGGCGGGTTGACTCATGCGCTTTCCAAGAGACCACCGACGCGTGTGCAGTCACTCATATGGATGTTTATACCGTGTCATCCTCCTTCTTTTTTTTCTTCTTTAGAGCGTTACAACCTTTTTTGGTGCTGTGTTTTTCCTTCGGTCTGTAGTTTGGGGGGGGGGGGGGAAGTGAAGAAACGCGATGATCAATTAGATTTATTTATGTTTCTTTTCACGCTATAGATGCACGACGCAAAAACTACAAACAACACGCAAGACGAGAGAAGGCGAAACATAGTTTCTCTGCACGTATGGAGGAACGGTGTGCTGCTGTTGCCGGACACGGAGTCTCCTGATCAAATTCCCTGGTGGCAACATCACGGGATCTATTTCGTGGTGTGCGCCGCGTTCATTCTTTTGCTATTATTATTATTATTGTTCTCTTTTATCTTTTCTTCGTTCCACCGTCTCTTGCCACACAAACGAAATGCACCGCCTTCACGTAGGAAGAGATGAAGTCGACTGCCTCGCTGCGGGCCCTGCACGCCTTTGTGCGAGCCCCACACTACCGTAGCATTCCCCCGTCCGGCCCCAGCGGCATTATCATCAACCGCGATGTCCTCAATCGCCAATTTCGTGACTTCTACAAAACACTCCAGCACTCTACCCTGGTCGACAAACTGCACCTCATGGCAGAGCGGCCCGGCGTGGAGTCGATGCGGGTAGCAGATCAGCTCGCCTGCGTCGGTCCCGTTTTACTCGGCATGCCCCTCACCGGTATGGAGCACCGCGCGACGGAGTTTCACGATGCCATGCGCTACGTCCGCGTCGCGGGCGGGCCCACCAACGTCTCCCCCTACCTGCAAGACAACGACGCCTGCCGCTGCCACAGCGGTGACATCGTGGTGCTGCCGCAGGGGATCGCCGTCGGGCACGGGCCGCGTACGAACGCCGCGACGCACCAGGTGTTGCGCGATATTTTCTGCGCCGGCAGCAACAGCAGTGGTGGCGAAGCGGCGGAGGAGGGGGTCAGCTTTGGGGCGAGTTCGTTTGAGGTGGTGACGTTGGAGCAGGAGGGCGACGCGCCCCCGCTGGGCGACTACTTCGGCTTCGCTGGCAACAACATCCTGCTGGTGTGGAAAGACGAGCACGGCCTACTGGCGGTGGACCAGCTGCAGCAGCAGCTCGCCAAAACCAATCAGCAGCTGAAGGTGGTGTACCTGGAGCCTGGATGTCACTTCTTCACCTTTTACGGCGTCGATCTCTCGGTGGATGTGCTCGTGCAGAAAGGGTTTGAAAGGTCCATGGATGCGCTGGCAGCGGAAGGACTAAATCCCATCTCGGTGCAGTGGTCGGAGATGGACAAGCTGGGTGTTTCCATGCGCTCCGCGGTGCTGCCGCTGAAGTTCTTCCAGAGCCCGTCCAGCTCTGGTGGCGTGCTGCAGCGCAGTCGCAGCCGTGTTGGTCGCTGGCAGTCCAATCAGCTGGCCAAGTAAAGCCGTTGTGTACTCAACGGGAATTGGGAGGGGAGGAGAAAAAAATTGGGTGCGGTATGTGAATTGGGTTTGATGGTGCCTTTTTTTTCCCAGTCTTCTCCGAAATCGGTGCGAGGGCGCCGAAAGAAAGAAAAGAAGAGATTCTCCTCGCTGATGTGCTTCAACGCAGGAGGGGACTTTTGGGGGGAGGGCTGGAGTCGTTGCGTGTTGTGTGGTTCCACCCACACCCTACTCTCATCCTACAGACAGTGGTGTTGTCACAAGCACACAAGCACGTGCGATCATACTTCTGCGAAGCAATTTACCGTCTCAGAAGCCACGTATTAAAACGGTTATGTTAATAGATGATGGCAAATCACTCCTTGCGTGATGGCAAAAGCCATTCCTCAAGAAGATGGAGAAAAGCGCTGTTGCTCTCTCTCTCTACGTAAGTAGTGAATATCTTAAAACAAGGGAAAGTGTCATGGCAATGCTCTCTCGTTTCCACGCTCCACTCAGATGTGAGCTGCGAAGCTCTCACTCTTTCGTATTTCGACCCGAATTTCTTCTTCGCTGCTCCTTGCTTTTCTTCTCTTTTTGGGGGGCGCCAGACTCAAAGCTTCACATTGAGCTCGCTGTTGCTGCTGCTGACTTTCCTCAGGCCACGCAAGGCGAAGAGAAATACAACAGATGAGCGTGGGAGTTTGCGCCTTCTCCTTCGTTTCTCTAAAATAGATTTTTGCAGTGCGAGTTCTTGTTTTGTTTGTTTGTTTGCTTGTTTGTTTCTTCTGCCTCGATTATTTCACACACCCACACCTACATAATAACGTTTTTTTTTTTGTTTTCCTAGAGTATTTTCTTCTTCTCTTTTTCTTTTGACGCATTTTATAAGGAGGTGGTGGTGGCAGGGGTCCCGTTAACTACACAAATTACGCATCCCGTCACATTCAAATGGACATCACTCCGTCCAGCTCCCGCGCCCTGCGGAAGCGACTGTGGGGTCTGTTTATTTCGTACTCCACCGTGGAAGCGGACGCCAACGGTGCTGAGGGGCGTGCGCCTGCGCCGACGTTAACGAAAGGCGGTTTTCTCACCTGCATCGACGCCCTCGCCCGACGCAGCACCTTTCGCGGTTTCTTTATCGGCAACGAGGGCGACGGCGCCATTCGAGAGGCGGCCGCAGAGCTGCAGACGCCCACCACGCAAGAAAGTTTGTGGGAGGCAGCTCTCGCGTACGAAGGCGGACGTGCTGTGCGCCACCCATCTGCGGATCCCGCTGCCGCCGATGAACTTGCGAGCAACGACCACTTTGCGGAAAACGACTTCTTCGGTGAGACGTGCTACCGCGGCGGTGGGAGTCCCAGCGGGCGAGTGTTTCACCGCGCACCGGGATGCCCCAAAACCTTCGCCGATCGCTTTGCGGAAGGCACAGAAAACGTCTCATGGAGTGCCTTCGAGGCCGTGGTGGTGCTGCACCTCGTCGATCGGCATCACTTCGTGCACTCGTTTCTGGCGAGTGAAATTGCTGCTCTGCGCTCCCTGGCCGTTGGTGGCGCCGAAGTGGAAGAAGAGGAAAGCGCAGCGCAGTCGGTGCCGTTGTCAAGCACGCCAAATGGCTCTCCGCCGCGCCAGCTTTCCCTGCTCTCCGCCGCTGTGACACCACTACACAACGACGTCTTCGACACCACCGCTGCGATATCGGGGTGTTCCACGAAAGAAGAGAAGTGTCTCGACTTGAGCCGTGTTGTCGGGAGGAGACGCCAGCCGCTGCTTCGCGTTTTGTCCACGCAGCTTCAGGTGCCGCCACCTCATACAGGCACGCCTAAGCGCCCGCCGCAAGTTCAACGCAGCCAAAGCGATCCATTTCCTGATACTTGCAAACCGAGCGTAGACGACTTCAACAAACCGGCGCCACCCCCGCAGCGCAAGCACACGCAACGCGAAGCAGCTGGTCTGTCCATCCAGCACCACGGCAACCTCCCTCCCGCGCACCACGAAACAGCCACGGCCACGTTTGTTTCCTCGTCTTCGCCGTTCCAACGAGCTGTGCTCTTCTTCCCGCGAAACGGAAGCAGTGGAGTCCGCAGCGCCGCGACGCGCCTACGCATTCCCCTTACGCCCCCCTCCGTGTCCGTGTCTGTCTCTGTCTCGTCGTCTTCCTCGTGTGCGTCGGACACGCTCGTGGCAGCCACCGCGTCAACGGCCGCCTCTCTCCATGGGCTCCGTCTTGCACTTCGTACGTCATCTGCCTCCCCGTCTCCGCGACGCCCGGCAATCTCGAAAAGCACCGCAGAAGCAAAAAAGGAAGCACCAGGGATAGCGGCTGCAGAGCCGACTGAGGTAGAAGCCGCTCCTCTTCGTCTTGGTGATGACCGTGGCGGTGGCGGTCCGCGACTGCGACTGTGTTCGCCTTTTGAACTCAACGTGGCGCAGGCGCAGCTGTCGACGAAGGCCAAAAGCCCTCATCCGCGCAAGCTGGGCGAAGGCCATCCTGTCGTCACACCGGTCCCTGAACCAACGACGCGAAGCACAAACTCAAAGACCGACAACGGGGCTGCGTCAACGGCAGCGGCCGAGGTGCAGCGGCCGAAGCTGGCGTGTGCCGGCGGAACCGCACGCGGACAGCGACGCGTGTACACGACTCGGCGACCACGCACGGGGGTAAACAGTGCGGCTGTTGCAGCGCAGAGCACCAGTGCTGCTGCAGTGGCCGTACCGACCGGTTTGCAGATACCTCTCTGTGTTGCTTCGCCACCTGCACTCGTAGAAACATGGCCAGGCTGCCACAACGAGCCGTCCATGGAACTGGAGCCGCCACCGACAACGCGAAACGGAGAAGCACCGTCCTCGCGGCGCATCGCGTCGCCGTCGCCGTCTATTCCGTTCGACGCCGAAGACGTCGAGCAACAGCACGGAAGGTGCAGTTGGGGTAGAAGCGGCACCGTCGAGCACGCCGTGGAGGTCCGCCGCACGACGGCTCTACCAGTGCAGATCGTTGAAGGCGGGATGACGGAAGCGGAAGGCAGTGGCGGTGGTCACGCGCACTCGTGGCGGCGAGACGAGATACAGTATGCATCTCCAGAAAAGCCAGTCTCATCACCTCCAGCTGCAGAGCAGGAGACGGTGCAGGTCGTACCTTCCTCGTCATCTTTGGGACGCCTTCGGACTGAGGAAGGGGAGAATCTCGCTTCCACACAAGAGCAGCAGCAGCAGCAACTCATGTCCCAGTTGTCCCCCTTCTCTACCACACGCGAGCCGTTTGCGCGCGCCTCTCACATGACGCTGTCCCGGTACACCAATACCGCGTTGGAAAACGCATCTCGGCCTTCTCCCGCAGCGGCTGCCATGCTGGGTGAGACAGGAAGCAGAAGAGGAAGCGACGGACGACCACTTGCGTTGCGACAGGCGACTGCTCCGTCCCCTACGCCGACCCCGCGAGATGAGCGAAGCGACAACACGGCGAGGTCGCCTGCTGCCTCCTCCTCTAGCAGCTCTGACGCAAGGGCACAGAGTTCAGAGTTGGCCCTTCCCCCTCCGACTCTTTTGTCACCGCAGCCAGCGCCGCTGCAAGCGTACCACAAACCTCAGCGAAGCACCTCCGCAGCAGTCGCGGCATCACCGCCATCACAGCAGCAGCAGCAGCCACAGCTCACCCGCGCGTCTTCCCCTCCGCAGCGCATTGGCGTGCCGCGCATCCTTTCCCCCAATTTCACCTCTCCGCTGATGAGCGCGCGAGCGACGCTCGGGTCCGTCTCACCGCGGCAGCACAACGTCAATCCCTCCCTCGTGTCTCGGCAGCCACACTCATCATTGAAGAAGAAGCGCGAGGGGAAACCTTTCACCTGCACCGTTGTGTACGCCGGCGATCCCCACGCAAACGGAGAAGCGGCGGGTGAGGAGAGCTGTTGCCGCACCCCACCTCGCCACGTGTCACCAGAGACGCCTGAGACGCTCCGTCAGACCCCCACGAGTCGTCTCTCACCGGTCGTGCGGCTGCGTGAGCTGCAGAATTCCCCGCTGACAACGCCGCGGCGACCTCCGCAGTCGCAGCAGGGGCAGACGCAAAACGATGTCACGACACCACCACCGCGGCTGTCTCACCGTGCGCGGGTGCGCTCGAGCAGCCGCGGGGGCCGTGCGGCAAATCCGACACCGCCGCGTGTCCCGCAGACGCGCATGCAGATGTCGCCTTCGGGAGACTTGCAAGTTACGCCCCGCCGCTGTGCTCCGTCCGCCTCTCTTCCCGCATGACGCGACGAGAAACAGGCGACCAAGTTGGTGAGCTTCGTTGACGGTTCTCTTCCGCTTTCTTCCGCTTAGGTTACATTATATATTATTCTGTTTTGTCTTGTTCATGTGTTTGTTTCCAAGCACACACACGCTTTGTTCTTGTTTTCTTCTGTAAAGCTGCCTCACTCGAATCCCCTTTGTACTCACCGTTTACTGTGGTGTCACGTTTCGTGTTCTCACCCCGCTTATCGAGGACGAACCCCCATGAGGTTGCCCCTCTTGTACTGTACCTCCACTACCAAATAAAAGAAAAGGAAATGCTGATCAGCAGCGAGCAGTGTCTAGTTGTTGTGCGTTTCCGAATGCCGCGATTTTTCAATGCTGTAGGGAAAGGGACTCCGTGTGAGCAGGCCGCCACCTGCTAGATGATGTAAGCAAAAGCGATCATTTCGTGCTGTTGTTGGCGTTTGTCGAAGGAATAAAACTAATTCCTGACGAACCTCGCGCGCCTCGACGCTTTGCATGTGCACACCACTGCTGTGTCTTCGCTCTCCTGCTAAACTCGTCACCTTCTTTGTTTTTTTCTCGCTTCCTCTCGTCCCTCACAAGTGGCGTTGCCGTGCAACCGCTTACGCTTGCTTTATTCTGTTTTTTCTGTTTCGCAAATAGATGCAATTCACATAGCAAGGAAAAAAATACTCTGCCGCTACAACAGAGTTATCCAGCTACTTGAAAAAGAAGGAGCCTCCTCCCTTCCTCGATACACGTATCATGCGCCCATCTTCCACCACCTGCCACACGCTGTTTCGTCGAGGTGGCGCAGCGGCAGCGGTGGCTGCTGTCTGTCACCCGAGCAGCAGCAGCAGCAGCAGCAGCAGCGGTGGCAGTGACAGCAACGTTCTGGTCGGCGATATCGCCTTAGGTGGCGCCTATTCCATTCAACGTGCGCGCATCCGCACCGTCATCCCACCCCGACCTGCAGTCACGACGCTGGCGTACGTTAATCACTTCGGCAGTGCAGTGCGCACCGGGGTCGAGACGGACACCTCGCTCATCCGCACCCGCGAAAACAAATTTTACCTCCAGCGCGTCCTCCCCAACGGCGAGGTGGTGCGGTGGCGCGCGCCCGGTCTGGACTACTTAAAAAACGTCACCAACTTTGAAACTTACGCGTTAAATGAGATCGACGAGAACGGTGGGGTGATCATCCCTGCCGATGTGATGCCGACAGCTGCCCAGGACGCCCCGAGCTACCGCGACGCGGTGTACTATATCAGTAAGCTGGAGGGGACGACCAAGTTTACCCGCAAAGACCGCCGCCGCTGGCACCGGCGCCTCTTCGCCCATTGGAAGGAAAGTCCGGACAAGTACTTGAACCACACCTTCGGCACTTACGGCGTGGCCTTCTTAGTACTGCTGTGGCTGTGCGTGCGCGGCTTCCACAGCATCAAGAATCAGAAGCCCTTCTGGGACATGAACGTGTACGGTCGCACCGACGAGGAGCGCGAACGCACCGATCCGTGGCTGCGGCTGAAGCGCTTCTCCGACCGCCACCCCGAGCACGAGGGCATGGACATGTCTCCGGTGATGATGACGCCAGGGCAGTCTCGCCTGTCCAGCGCGCGAGCGGAGTTGCGCGAGTCCGACTTTACGGACCCGCATTACCACAGCGAGTTGTGGTGGAAGATTCGGCACTGCCGCTATTACGGGCACTGGCCGAAGGGCATCACGGAGTAGACGTATGAAACAGTGAAATGGAAGAGCTGCTTCGTTTGGCTTGTTTGTTCTTCTCCCTAGCGTGTGTGCCGACTGTGTGGTTGGGTGTATTGAATGTGTCAGGAGCTTCGGTGTTGTCCCGTTGTGCAACAGATGGTTACAATCTTTAAAAGGGAAAACGAGGGCAACGGTGCCGCGCGGAAGCGAGAACGGCGTAAAATGTGGCCGAAAATCGTTGTTTGCACCTTCTTCGGGTTGCGATTCAAAGCGCTTACACTCCTGTCTCGCAGGGACGTGGGCGCTCACGGCGGTGTAGAGCATTAAACGCGTAACAGCAACAAGAGGAGGAGAGAAGCTATTTGTGTGTGTGTGTGCGTGAACGGGTGTATTAGATGACTGTATGTCTGCTGCAGACTGAATTATTTTTCTTCCTCAAAGGCTGCGTTGCCCCTCTGATCTCTTGCCTTTCTACTTCTGTGCACACCGCTCCTTTTGTGTGTGTGCCGCTACTGTTGTTCTCCTCGTTTCACTTCCCAGTCAAAACTATTTTAAAAGAAGAAAAGAATCAGAGACGGAGAGAACGCGTCCACTTTTATTGAGGCTGTGGCGAAAAGCAGAAAGCAGCGAGTACTTCTACCGGAAGTGAAAATGTCAATGACACAGAATATCGTACGGCGCATCTTTGGCGACCGCAAACTTCCAGAAAACCTCTCCGATGAGGAGTACGACAAGTACATGCACGATAATTTCCCGAAGTGGATGAAGGAGTTCGAGGATGGCGGATTCTTAGAACAAACAAAGCTACCCCCTATCAAAAGCGAAGAGGAGCTGGTTGCCAAGCTGCAGGAGCACAAGGATGACCTGCTGGTGATCAAGTACTGGAAGCATGGGTGCATTCCCTGCTTGACCTTTGCGGAGATGTACAAGGAAACGGCGGAGAGGTGTGCGCGGGAGAACAAGAGAATTGTGTGGTACAGCGTGGACACCAAGGCTCTCAGCACACGTCAGTTGATCGACTACCAGCTCATTTCCGGCACACCGACAATCCAAACTTTCACTGGACGGAAGCAGGTAGGCAACGAGATCCGCGCCGTGAACTCAGAGGAACTGCTTGCGGAGCTCAACAGGCGACTTCCGAAAGCTCCTTAGGTCGCTGCTTTTTTTTTCTTTTCTATTTCTGTGTCGTCAGGGAGACTTCGTTAGGCGCGTCACACTCGCATTGCCGCGATGCGAATGGTTATTGCTGGGTTCTCCTGATCGTATAAACGTTTGCGCTGCACTTTGGGTGCTTTGTTGCGTGTAGCTGATGATGGACCCTCCCTTCCATTTATGTGTGGCTGCTGAGCAGTTGGTTTTCACAATCAGAACAAATATGTATCACTGAAAGGCGGAAAACGTAAAGCTCGTTTGCAGCCGTTGTGGGGGTGTATCGCGGAATGCGAAAGCGACCTATCCTTGATCACAATTATTGGTTTAAAGGACCCACTACAACGCAATTTCTTACTCTTTACACTGCCCATGAATTCTTTTGTGGGTGTGGGTGTGCTCCTCATTTCTTCTTCCTTCTCCATCCCTGCCCTCCCTCCCCCCTTCTTTGCTGCGTACCTGCTTTGTTGAGGACCCATATAAGGTGTGTCGTTGTTGTACTTCATATTGCTCCATGGCAACCAACACGGGTGGGCCGAGCTCCTTATCCTTGATTGTTCCGCCGCGTAGCTCTCTTTTAATGCAATCCCGCTCATGTCGGACACATCGGAGGGCCACGGAGTCAGTGAGAGGCACACCGACGACAGTGGCGAACATAGCAGCAGCAGCTACGCGCGTCGCAACACCATCACGGTGCCGACGGTGCAGCTCTTCAACAACGCCGATACCTCCCTCATCCCATCTGTGCTGCCGTCATCCACGCCGTCCTGTGTGGAGCTAAACTTCCACACCGCCGTTTTCTCGCGTAACGCCAGCTTTGTGGGAAGCGCAGGCGGCGGCAGATCCGCTCCGTTGGTCGCTGCAGTCGCCGTTGCTCGCGGTGAGCCGCGTCGAGCTCCCGAGGGTGGTACCGAAGGTGGTGAGGAAGGTACCGCGGACGCTGCAGCCGTGAAAGTCAGCATCGCACCTGCAATTATCGGCTACTTCGGTATGATGTTTGGAAACGGTATAAACGCCTTTCACAGTCAGATCCTAGATGCGAAAGGTTTCTCTCCTTATCAGATCGGCATTCTCGTGGCATCGAACCCGCTGCTCAGCATGACGCTTCTTCCCACCCTGAGCTACCTCGCCGACAAGTTTCGCTGTGAGACAAAAATGGTGCTGACGAGCATCGTGATTTCATCCGCCTCCGCGTTCGCCTACACCATGTCCTCTGCGTCCTACCTGGTAGTCATCTTCTTCCTGGTGATGTCCGCGTCGCGCATCGTCATGAACCCTCTTCTTGACCAGCGCACACTGATGATGTTTCCTAAGGACGGTCGGTCCAGCGCGTGGAGCTACGTACGCTCGTACGGGGCGTATGGATGGGGCCTTGGCAGCCTCGTTGCCTCGTTGATCTACACGGTGACCAAGAGCTGGGTGGCGGTGGCGGCGCAGTTCTTCGTTGGCCAATTGGGCCTGGCCTACTGCATGATGGTGGTGATGCCGTACGAGGAGATCGAGAAGGTGCCGGTGCGCTTCAAGGAGGTGCTCCACCTGCTCGCCACAAACGTGCGGCTGACGCTGTTCATCTTCGCCGTGACCATGATGGGCACGGGCTACAGCTTCATCACCAACTTCCTGTTTTTGTTCTTAAAGGACCTCGGCGGCTCCAAGTTCCTGATGGGCCTCACCATCGTCCTTACCGTCAGCACGGAGATCCCGCTGTTCCAGATGTCGGAGCGGCTGCACCAGATGTTTACGGAGCGCCACATGATGACCATCGCCATGAGCGTGTGGACCTTCCGCGTGGTGTGCTACTCGCTGCTCAGGAACCCGTGGTGGGTGCTGCTGATCGAGCCGCTGCACGGCGTCACCTTCTCCTTCATGTGGCTGCCGTCCGTGCACCTCGTTGCACGCGCCTTCCCGCCCAAGCTGTCCAGCTCCGCCACCGGCGTGCTCTTCACCTTTATGAGCGGCGTTGGTCCTGTGGTCGGCAACCTGGTGGCTGGCACGCTGTACAGCCTGGTGGGTCCACGCAAGATGTTTCTCTGCGCTGCCGCGGCGATGGGCTTGTCGCTTGTGTTTTACCTCGCGATGGACTACACGCTGGAGCGGCGTGGCGTGTCCGTTGTGTGCGACTACGACGCCGCGGACGTGACGATGGTGGACATCGAGAGGGTGAAGACGGCAACGATCGACGTCCACACTCGGCGGACGATGCGCCTCGCACTGAAGGGGGCAGAAGAACGGAGGATGCTGTGTCGAAGCCGGCCTCCTACTCGCAGCAGGAGAGTGAGGGCGTAAACGGCGGCCGCAAAATAGTACTCGACGTCGTTGAAAGTAAGTTACGGCAGTAGCTGGCATGCATCTTAAATTATGCCAGGCAGGTAGTACGCAGTATCTTTACATCAAAATATATATGTATATGTATTCTAACTGTAAGACTACAGGCTTTAAACGAAATTGCTGTCTTGCGGCACTCCAGCCGCTACGATTGCAGCCTTTTCTTTAGTTCATGTTTTGCTTTGTTTTTGGCCTTACGCCACATATTGTAGCAGTGGAACGAAGCGTTGAACGTACGATGGTCGTTGTGTGTTTTCCTGTTATCACTGTAGCCCCCATTACCTACGTTCTTACTGAGCACATCGTGACGCCACCGTCTTCCCTTCTCCTTTTTCTTTTGCTGCTCACTTCGCTTTTCTCTGCGCGTTGCACACCCAACGATGGGTGGAATTTCCAAAAAAAAACAGGTGATGTGTTTTTGAGCTGTATCGGTGCGTGGTGCTTCAGCGTTCTCAGTGCGACACAGAGAACCGTGGGCACTCCCTATCGGTGGCCTTGCGGCTGTAGCTGCGCAGGTGTCCTTCACACCACTTGTCGCTTTCGAGACGGTGAGAGTCGAAGGAGCTCTGGCGCATTTGGTAGCTGCGGTCCCTTTGTGCATCGTCGCGTGTTGCTCTCTCTCTCTCTCTCTCTCTGCGGACTCTCGTTCCTCTGCCTCCTGTGCATCCATTTTGCTAACTGCAAGGCAAACTCGCTCTTTCGTGTTGCTCGCACCTGCACCACTCTGAATAGTGCTTTGTTCGTATCAACGCTGCTAATTGAGCTCGCGAAGGTCAGTCGCTCGTCGCTCGTCGCTCCCTGAACACCAACACGTGTGCGACGTGTCGTTATGGTTGATTGCTTCTGCAATACTGCTTGCTGCGCTCATCTGAGCTCACGATGCCACCTACCTCGCGAGACCCCCTGCCTGGCGAGATGCACGACGATGACAGCGCCGGCGAGAACAATTCCGGGACAGCAGCCGCTGCTGGGGAGAAGGAAGGCTCCCCACTTCGCGAAGCTACCGATGAAGGCGTCATGAACGGCGAAGAAGGTGCCGCGGACGCTGCAGCCGTGAAAGTCAGCATCGCACCTGCAATTATCGGCTACTTCGGTATGATGTTTGGAAACGGCATCATTCCGTTTCACAGTCAGATCCTAGATGCGAAAGGTTTCTCTCCTTATCAGATCGGCATTCTCGTGGCATCGAACCCGCTGCTCAGCATGACGCTTCTTCCCACCCTGAGCTACCTCGCCGACAAGTTTCGCTGTGAGACAAAAATGGTGCTGACGAGCATCGTGATTTCATCCGCCTCCGCGTTCGCCTACACCATGTCCTCTGCGTCCTACCTGGTAGTCATCTTCTTCCTGGTGATGTCCGCGTCGCGCATCGTCATGAACCCTCTTCTTGACCAGCGCACACTGATGATGTTTCCTAAGGACGGTCGGTCCAGCGCGTGGAGCTACGTACGCTCGTACGGGGCGTATGGATGGGGCCTTGGCAGCCTCGTTGCCTCGTTGATCTACACGGTGACCAAGAGCTGGGTGGCGGTGGCGGCGCAGTTCTTCGTTGGCCAATTGGGCCTGGCCTACTGCATGATGGTGGTGATGCCGTACGAGGAGATCGAGAAGGTGCCGGTGCGCTTCAAGGAGGTGCTCCACCTGCTCGCCACAAACGTGCGGCTGACGCTGTTCATCTTCGCCGTGACCATGATGGGCACGGGCTACAGCTTCATCACCAACTTCCTGTTTTTGTTCTTAAAGGACCTCGGCGGCTCCAAGTTCCTGATGGGCCTCACCATCGTCCTTACCGTCAGCACGGAGATCCCGCTGTTCCAGATGTCGGAGCGGCTGCACCAGATGTTTACGGAGCGCCACATGATGACCATCGCCATGAGCGTGTGGACCTTCCGCGTGGTGTGCTACTCGCTGCTCAGGAACCCGTGGTGGGTGCTGCTGATCGAGCCGCTGCACGGCGTCACCTTCTCCTTCATGTGGCTGCCGTCCGTGCACCTCGTTGCACGCGCCTTCCCGCCCAAGCTGTCCAGCTCCGCCACCGGCGTGCTCTTCACCTTTATGAGCGGCGTTGGTCCTGTGGTCGGCAACCTGGTGGCTGGCACGCTGTACAGCCTGGTGGGTCCACGCAAGATGTTTCTCTGCGCTGCCGCGGCGATGGGCTTGTCGCTTGTGTTTTACCTCGCGATGGACTACACGCTGGAGCGGCGTGGCGTGTCCGTTGTGTGCGACTACGACGCCGCGGACGTGACGATGGTGGACATCGAGAGGGTGAAGACGGCAACGATCGACGTCCACACTCGGCGGACGATGCGCCTCGCACTGAAGGGGGCAGAAGAACGGAGGATGCTGTGTCGAAGCCGGCCTCCTACTCGCAGCAGGAGAGTGAGGGCGTAAACGGCGGCCGCAAAATAGTACTCGACGTCGTTGAAAGTAAGTTACGGCAGTAGCTGGCATGCATCTTAAATTATGCCAGGCAGGTAGTACGCAGTATCTTTACATCAAAATATATATGTATATGTATTCTAACTGTAAGACTACAGGCTTTAAACGAAATTGCTGTCTTGCGGCACTCCAGCCGCTACGATTGCAGCCTTTTCTTTAGTTCATGTTTTGCTTTGTTTTTGGCCTTACGCCACATATTGTAGCAGTGGAACGAAGCGTTGAACGTACGATGGTCGTTGTGTGTTTTCCTGTTATCACTGTAGCCCCCATTACCTACGTTCTTACTGAGCACATCGTGACGCCACCGTCTTCCCTTCTCCTTTTTCTTTTGCTGCTCACTTCGCTTTTCTCTGCGCGTTGCACACCCAACGATGGGTGGAATTTCCAAAAAAAAACAGGTGATGTGTTTTTGAGCTGTATCGGTGCGTGGTGCTTCAGCGTTCTCAGTGCGACACAGAGAACCGTGGGCACTCCCTATCGGTGGCCTTGCGGCTGTAGCTGCGCAGGTGTCCTTCACACCACTTGTCGCTTTCGAGACGGTGAGAGTCGAAGGAGCTCTGGCGCATTTGGTAGCTGCGGTCCCTTTGTGCATCGTCGCGTGTTGCTCTCTCTCTCTCTCTCTCTCTGCGGACTCTCGTTCCTCTGCCTCCTGTGCATCCATTTTGCTAACTGCAAGGCAAACTCGCTCTTTCGTGTTGCTCGCACCTGCACCACTCTGAATAGTGCTTTGTTCGTATCAACGCTGCTAATTGAGCTCGCGAAGGTCAGTCGCTCGTCGCTCGTCGCTCCCTGAACACCAACACGTGTGCGACGTGTCGTTATGGTTGATTGCTTCTGCAATACTGCTTGCTGCGCTCATCTGAGCTCACGATGCCACCTACCTCGCGAGACCCCCTGCCTGGCGAGATGCACGACGATGACAGCGCCGGCGAGAACAATTCCGGGACAGCAGCCGCTGCTGGGGAGAAGGAAGGCTCCCCACTTCGCGAAGCTACCGATGAAGGCGTCATGAACGGCGAAGAAGGTGCCGCGGACGCTGCAGCCGTGAAAGTCAGCATCGCACCTGCAATTATCGGCTACTTCGGTATGATGTTTGGAAACGGCATCATTCCGTTTCACAGTCAGATCCTAGATGCGAAAGGTTTCTCTCCTTATCAGATCGGCATTCTCGTGGCATCGAACCCGCTGCTCAGCATGACGCTTCTTCCCACCCTGAGCTACCTCGCCGACAAGTTTCGCTGTGAGACAAAAATGGTGCTGACGAGCATCGTGATTTCATCCGCCTCCGCGTTCGCCTACACCATGTCCTCTGCGTCCTACCTGGTAGTCATCTTCTTCCTGGTGATGTCCGCGTCGCGCATCGTCATGAACCCTCTTCTTGACCAGCGCACACTGATGATGTTTCCTAAGGACGGTCGGTCCAGCGCGTGGAGCTACGTACGCTCGTACGGGGCGTATGGATGGGGCCTTGGCAGCCTCGTTGCCTCGTTGATCTACACGGTGACCAAGAGCTGGGTGGCGGTGGCGGCGCAGTTCTTCGTTGGCCAATTGGGCCTGGCCTACTGCATGATGGTGGTGATGCCGTACGAGGAGATCGAGAAGGTGCCGGTGCGCTTCAAGGAGGTGCTCCACCTGCTCGCCACAAACGTGCGGCTGACGCTGTTCATCTTCGCCGTGACCATGATGGGCACGGGCTACAGCTTCATCACCAACTTCCTGTTTTTGTTCTTAAAGGACCTCGGCGGCTCCAAGTTCCTGATGGGCCTCACCATCGTCCTTACCGTCAGCACGGAGATCCCGCTGTTCCAGATGTCGGAGCGGCTGCACCAGATGTTTACGGAGCGCCACATGATGACCATCGCCATGAGCGTGTGGACCTTCCGCGTGGTGTGCTACTCGCTGCTCAGGAACCCGTGGTGGGTGCTGCTGATCGAGCCGCTGCACGGCGTCACCTTCTCCTTCATGTGGCTGCCGTCCGTGCACCTCGTTGCACGCGCCTTCCCGCCCAAGCTGTCCAGCTCCGCCACCGGCGTGCTCTTCACCTTTATGAGCGGCGTTGGTCCTGTGGTCGGCAACCTGGTGGCTGGCACGCTGTACAGCCTGGTGGGTCCACGCAAGATGTTTCTCTGCGCTGCCGCGGCGATGGGCTTGTCGCTTGTGTTTTACCTCGCGATGGACTACACGCTGGAGCGGCGTGGCGTGTCCGTTGTGTGCGACTACGACGCCGCGGACGTGACGATGGTGGACATCGAGAGGGTGAAGACGGCAACGATCGACGTCCACACTCGGCGGACGATGCGCCTCGCACTGAAGGGGGCAGAAGAACGGAGGATGCTGTGTCGAAGCCGGCCTCCTACTCGCAGCAGGAGAGTGAGGGCGTAAACGGCGGCCGCAAAATAGTACTCGACGTCGTTGAAAGTAAGTTACGGCAGTAGCTGGCATGCATCTTAAATTATGCCAGGCAGGTAGTACGCAGTATCTTTACATCAAAATATATATGTATATGTATTCTAACTGTAAGA